GCATAGGCAACATTAAAGTTTTCTTCCAACTTAACTAAATTCTTCTGGGCAGCCTTGGTAATAGCTTGTACATCTATGGGAGCAGCACCAGAAGCAGACGAAGCAGTATCCGGAGTGGATTTAATTTCATCCGTATCCTCTTCCATGGGTTCAGGAGCAGGAGAAGGTTGAACATTGTCCATAGCAGAGAGAGGAGAAGAACCAGCAAAAGGAAGGGGAGAACCAGCAGAGGTAGGAGTGTTTACAGCAGAGTTATTGTTTGACATTGCAAAATTCAAAGTAAAAAATGTGATAGTCGAGGATAGATTTTAAAAGAGAAAAATAATAAAATACTTTGAGACTGCTTATAAGTTTTATTAAGAGTGAAAGTAGATTAAAAGATTCAGAGGGTTCTATTCTAACTATCAGTTTGCATATTTATATATGTTAAGAGAAATCGGATTATGAATTTAGTTTGATGGATAAGTTACACAGCACTAAAATAGTGCTTGTAGTTGGATATGATATAATGTATAAGAAAATAGTTCGTGTTGTGATGTAATAATGTATGAGGTGATGAAGTGAGATTTAATTTTAATATTGTTTTATGGTGTGATTAGTAACAACAGTAGGTGGATCACCACACTAGGTATCCATTAATTCATACACTATTTCTTTATACTCTTTATCAGCAGTATAACTATATTAATATATAAGTAAATGAACCATTTATATTAATAGCTGTTCTATTCTCTCTCTGGGTAGCTAATCCATTGAGAGAACTATTAATATTAAGTTTCTCTTTCTTATAATTCTTGATTGATCTAAGAAGTTTCTCTTCTCGATCGGTGATATCGTAACTCAGTGGTATAGCATTCTGTATCCAACTGTCATTCGTATATCGTATTTAGGCCAATCATGCAATCTTTTATATAGAATTATGTACTCGAAGTAGGAGAAGTTGTATAGCAGTATACAAGCGTATGCGGATATGCAACATCAAAGGTTGTTTTAATTTCATAGTTTATTTATTTAGACGATTTGCTTAATTATTCTTTAAGTGGATCGTACCCAAATACGACACGTATTCTTAACTTGTTAAAATAACTCCTAAAGAGAAGATGCCGAAGTAAACAACTTTTTTTTATCAGTTTCTTGATCCATCTGTACTACCGTTTTCTTCAAAAACACATCCATGGCTCTCAAATAAAAAATTGTCTTCTGTTTTAACTATGCTCAAAACTATCCCCAATATGCTTTTCATTTAAGTAAATATTATACAATTGCATAACAACATTATCTGTCGTATTTGACGCCTAAAACCACGAATACAATTACTTCTTATCTTGTCACTCAGCTATAATACATAATATACACTATGTATTACTAGTACCATATTGCGAATACATTCCTATTGGTTCGACACAGTACCAGATTCCTCATATGTCAAACTGAGATGCAGACTTCATAATCGTTCCGAAATTATTCGAGTAGCTGCTGAATTTTCTAGTTTCTCATAAATTTATTTTAGTAATTCAAGCAAGCACCCTGTTATTGAATGGATAAACTGTAGTGCACTAGAAGTGCCGGATATGGGTCACTTAACTCCTTGTATATAACAATAAGCTATGATTCATATGTAACTGACTTCTAAATCCAATTCTACCATTTCCCAGTTTAGGGTAAAACGTCAATTCGATCTGCGTGTTTAGGATATCATAGGTAAAATAATAAAGTTAACTGTCACATCACATTAAGGATGGATACTAATGTAAAAGCTAATCATGAATCACACATTACCCCGCTTATTCTCATCCTACCGTTAAAGTCTGTACAAAGGGCACAACCCTGTGGCGAGTAATTATTTATTTTGCAAAAAGCAATACAATCGAATAGGCCAGGACTATAGAATATGAATAGATCCTGAGCACAAATGTTACTCTTGTCATTTGATGGTATAACTGTTGATCCCTCTTACTAATAGTTATATACTCAGTATGGAAGGGCTAAAGTTAAAGACATGTTGATTATTTACTAGCACCAGCTTATACATCATGATCCAATAAGGCGCTTAATATTCTCCCTAGAGCTATCAGGTTCTTCATATAAATATCCATAATTTTTCTCATAGACCATCATACGTTTTTGAATTAATTTCTTTATTTCGTCCATAATAAAGTGGTATCCAAGTTCTAACAGTGTTACTTTTGGTTTTACTTAATTTTTTGTTCTCCATGCAAAACATTGCGCAGGAATAATCTTGAAGTAATAATTGAATATAAAAAGGACCTCTATTTTTATCAGGACAAACTCTCCAACTTATAATGAGGGATTATAGAGTCTTAATTCTTTACTTGCTTTATTTTCCAAGTTACATTTCACTTTTTATTCTCATTATCACATCCACGTAAATTATATCATATCTTTCCTCCTTATTTCCAATGTCATTGTCACAACCTCATTTCAATATTTATTTTTTTGCTGATGGTATTGTACATGATGGAAGGGACGAATTATTAAGTGATAACGAGATAATGATTTGGGTGTACAGAATCTTGGGTTTTATACCTATGAAGAGTCATTTGCATTACGGAGGCCATAATAATTAGGTTTTCACCGCAAAATTTCAAGAACGATTTATTAAAAATTGACCGCAATCGCCATGATTGCGGTCAAAAATTGACCATATCGCATTTTTGGCGATAATATCCAATTTTGACCGCAATCGCCTAAGTTTAACTCCGAAAAAAAAACAAATAGCTTCAAATATTGATTTTGCTATCCTTAGAGGTTAAAAAATATTTATTAGAATAATTTAGTCGAAAAAAATAGTTCTTTACGACAATTATTGATGATTTTATAAGAGAAACAAAACGGATGATTTGGTTCATGGACTGGGTTTGAGATTTTGTATCACGTCAGATATTTTTTTTTTTATTTTGTATAAAAAAAATCTTCTATTTTTTCTTAGAAATAAAATCTTTTCTTTTCTTTCCCCAACAATATTTTTTTGTATTTAGCTTTGATGTATGTGTATGACAATACAATTTTTTTTTGTAAATATAGAGGTGCCCAGCCCCCATCCCATCCCTAAACATAAGGTAAACCAGTTAGTGGACTTCTAGCATCCGTGAAGGTAAGTTCAATATTCTTCTGTGCAACTAACTAAACCTGCTCTTTTTGATTGTAACCATTCAATTGTAATGTAAGCCAGTGATTATATTTGATTGTATTATACTCTAACACTGTAGTCTATAGATATAATGCATAGAAAACTCTCGCTAGGCTAGGCTAAGGTAAATAAATAAGTGATTGTGACCTGTGTAAGCCACCCATTAATAATTTTAATTATAGATATGTAGCTTTTCTATTCGTATAATACTCCTACGTATCAATACAAAGCACGCGATAGGATAAGGTAAATAAAATAGCACTGTAATCTACATAAGCCATTCACTAATATTTTTAATTTTAGGTATGTAGCTTTTCTATTTGTATAATACCCTTCCATTTTACCTGTAATTTCACCTCATAATCCATAATCCCTTTTGCCGTTATTATTTTATAAACATTTAATAAACTTATTCATAACATAAACACATAACTGTTCATAATACAAGGGTATAAAATTTGATAAGCAAGGGATAATTTAAGGATACCGCTGAAATACGACCAATAATAGTATCGCATTCTTGATAAATACGGCCAAAAAGTGTAGAAATTGATCGCATTCGCGAAGATTACGGTCAAAAAGTGAAGAAATTGATCGCATTCGCGAAGATTACGGTCAAAAAGTGTGAAAATTGACCGCCATCGCCGCGATTACGGTGAAAAAAATGACCGCCATCGCGGCGATTGCGGTCAAAAATTCATCGCATTTTTGCTGGTTATTATTTGATCAAAAATTGACCGCGATAGAAATTTTTCGGTGTTTATCCTGTATGCAAGACTTCTACATCGAAACCTTATTTACCAATAACTATTTTTTTTTTTTTAGAAAAATAAATTAACTGCACAAAAATGACAAGAAACAAGGCTGAGTCATGGTGTTACAAGTAGCCCAGTTCATGAGTACACAGTCCTTTTACAAAAAACTATAGTCTGCTATTATGATTAAGCTTTTTAATCGAACTTTAGAAGCTAACAATATACTTTCTGAGTATTTATTAACCTACAATTTAGTATGATTTTGCGAGCACAAGAGCTTTAAAAAGAAACTGCAGTCTAAACCGTTCAATGTCAAATGAATGCATTAGAGACTCTGATTGGACAAAACAAAGGCACAGATTCAAAGTTTGGATTACGGATATATTTTCAAGTGCTACCTTTCTGTAAGTTAAGAGCTGGCCATCATACTTTAATTCATATCGTTGAAAAAATTTGCCAAATAGCCACATCATATGAGGAAGTGTGGCCCGATCCGATGACTCCTAGTAGCACAAGGAATATTCTTTACAGATATACTAAATAGAATCGTTTTAATAATTTTTGCACAGAACGGGTCATTAGTTCAGTTAGGCTCAATTCGAAGATTTAATATGTTACTGTGAATGTCAAGTTTATAGAGAGAGACAAAATTGAGTAATTTTTTTTTCCGGCTTTATACTAATATTTTAAGATGGTTATAAAATTACACCAAGTGTAAATGCGTAATATCATTCATTGTTTTGCTCCCCCCCCCCATTCATATATTTGTTTGTTTATTTTCGTAGTCAACAACATCAACCAGAATTTATACAGCTATATATACGCCCATTTAAATTTTAATTACGAAGCTAGTAGTAAAGGGTACCAACTGCAGCCCATGGTAGTGTCCCCTCTCCCGATGAAAAGATGGAGATGAAACCTCAAAATGTATGTAAAAAAAAAAGAGCGTCCTACTATAATAAAAACAACTGTTTAAATTTCAACCACACCATACAACAATCTTGACAACACTGCTTAGCGAAGCAGAAATTTTTTTAGTTTCTGGGAGGTCTCATGTGTGTGTACAATCAGAAAAAATTGGAACAAAATAGTTTTTCTAATGAGGTCCGCATGACCTTTTCATGCAATAACAAATAAAACCCTTTGATTTGTTACGAAAAAAAACAATGACATGTGAGTTGACAAAAAAAAAAAAAAAAAAAAGGCAGAGAGGTCGATCTTTAAACAAGGGCGTTTTCATTACATAACACATTAATTATTAGCTAAACGAGATGATCCATAAGCAATAAACAAAATTTCAAGTGTATAAAAACAGCACCCTCTCTCTCTCTACGACATCCTTCCTCTTACATTATACAGCCATGTTATTTATACTCTTTGTTATTATATTACTGTGTAGTAGTATCGAAGGAAAGACGTTTCTATTCCCAATTCCTCAACATGTAGAGTGGTTTGGTACGACGTCCCTATTTCTTTCAGACCCAACCAAGTTTCAAATGCGAGGTATCCAAAACCCGCATCTTCAATCTGCCGCTACGCGTTACTTGACGCTAATTCAACAAGAACGATGGGTACCTGTTCAAAAAAGCACAAATGCTACTGTTCAAGCTACATTACAAGAAATCAGCGGTGTTCAATTTCAAGTGGCAAATAATACGGTTTCTTTGGGTATGCACGTGGATGAATCCTATCAACTCTTGGTATCTCCCTCTAGTGTGTTTATTCGTATCCAGGCTAACACATGGGTGGGTGGCTTACGTGCATTGGAGACTTTATCTCAACTGGTGACAAGGGGTGTTTCTAACGCTACAACTACATTGGTAATTCATACAGCGAATATCACGGATGCGCCACGGTACGGTCATCGTGGTATCTTGCTCGATACAGCGCGTAATTTCTACCCTGTTGAATCTATTCTTCATCTTTTGGAGGCGCTTGCGTACAATAAAATGAACGTGCTCCATTGGCATGCTACGGATTCACAATCATGGCCAATGTATATGAATTCTTTACCGGAGCTTTCACAAAAGGGAGCGTATTCGACAGAGGAAGTGTATCAGCCGAAGGATGTGGAAAAGGTGTTGGGGTTTGCAGAGACACGTGGTATTCGAGTGATTTTGGAATTGGATATGCCAGCGCATACGGCTTCGATTGCAGCGTCGCATCCGGAGCTGCTGTTGTGTGCAGATGAGTTTTGGTCGGACTATGCAGCAGAACCCCCGGCGGGACAGTTGAACCCGATTAAGGGGGATACGTTTCGATTGGTGGAGACGGTGTTAAAGGAAGCTACGTCTCGGTTTCCTGATGGATTGTATCATGCAGGTGGTGATGAGATTAATACGGCGTGTTGGGAATTAAGTGATGAGTTTCGAGCGTATACGATGAAATTCAATATGACGAGCAAAGAAGTATGGTTTCAATGGACAAAGCATGTATTGGATTATATTAGACGTGACTTGAAAAAGAGACCGATTCTTTGGGAAGATTCAATTAAAGATGGAGCCCAAGGGTATAGCAACTCAACCATTGTTCAGACATGGTTATTACCACCTTCAAAATATACAGCGTTAGGCTATGATGTGATTGTCTCGAATTATGATTATTTCTACCTCGATTGTGGTCACGGTGGTAAAGTAATTTTTTTTTTTTTTTTGTTTACAATATTAGAAAAGGGATCAATTACGAACTTTAATTTTTTTTGTTTTTTTTTTAGGTTGGGTGGGTAACGATAACCGGTACATCAGTGCAGCACAAACAGAGACTGCGGATGATGTGTTTAATTATGGAGGTATTGGCGGGTCTTGGTGTGCACCGTTCAAGACATGGCAACGTATCTACAGTTACGATATGATGCTGGATATAGCGAATGATACGCACAAGGGAAGTATACTGGGAGGGGAAGTTGCCATGTGGTCTGAACAGACGGGGCCAACCGTAATGGATGGTCGTATATGGCCACGATCTGCTGCTGCTGCGGAGATCTATTGGTCGGGAAGTTATGATGAAGAAGGTGAAAGACGTACAGTGGAAAGAGTATCCGAACGCTTTTACGATTGGGTCTATCGATTACAAGCGCGTGGCATTGATGCTGAACCTGTTCAACCGAAATACTGTGCTCAACATCCAGGTGCATGCAACCTTAGTCCTACATGAATAAAATAAAAACTTGTTATTTTTCTTCTTTTTTTTGCATCACAGGATGAGGGGGGGGGGGGGGTAAATGGGAAAACTTTTTTATTGCATATTCTATCTCGATATTATTTGACACTTAATAAGAGCCCCGTGTGAGAGTGTGAAAAAAAAAGAAGGGGCGTGATAAAATAAATAATAAAATCACAAGTATTGTCAACAGTAAAGATCCGAAGATGGCCGTGATAAATACAGTAAGTAGAGCAGACACACACAAAGAAAAAATCGCTTGTGTGAGACCCATAAATTTATTTGTCGTGTGATTTATCTTCATTAAGGACCGCCTCGCACAAGGCACTGATATAATGCAGTCTTTGCTTAATATCTTGCACAACCACCAAATGTGCTTCATCTTCCTCGCTGATATTGATGTCCATCACTTCAATTTCTTCACTGTCCGTCTATTTAATTTCTTCACTGTCCGCCAGTTCAATTACTTCCCTGTCAAGATTGATAGATTCTTCAATGCGTCCTGGTTTATGTACAGTAGCACCCGGCGAAGACGTTTTATACTGAACCGACCGAGGTAAAGCACTAATGATGGGACCCGAAAGAGGGTGAACTGCGCCTGAATAGGGTGTACCTGCAAAACATGTTTCGTGAGCTTAATCTTATAGCCGTTCTTGTGAGTATGATACCAGTAAGAGGGGCAACCCCGATGATGTATCTGCCATATTTTTTTCATTTCTGTACGTGTACTTTGACCTATCAGCAGGACGATGCTGACCTGTGGGTTGTGGTACGAGTATGCCACCGTGAGCTTCCCTGACGTGATTGATGACTTCCGTAGCGATAAAGACTTCTCAGCACAAATGAAGCAAGGAAAGATGATGATCAAAAGAACTTTGGCCTGTTTTTTTTTCATTTTTTATGAATTATTTCGCTGGCGCACCATACTATTTTCACTGACAGGGTAAAAAGAAAAAAGAAAAAGAAAGACGTGATTAACAACTTTTTTTTTAAAAATAGTGATGCAAAATCAAGATAAATTAAGCAAAGCGTGCACAGAAAATCTAGTGGGTGACAACAATAAAAAAAAAAGAGAAATAGTTATTTGCAAAAGATTTTATATATAAAAAAATGTGGAGAGAGAGATGAAAAGAAGATGGTTTAAGATTGCTTACACTCGGGAGCGTTTTCAGCCTTGTTAGCAGGCTATTTAAGAAAGGGAATGGTTAGTAAAAGTAAATCATGGGTGACTTAGATATTAAAAGAACTTACAGCATCATCATCATCCTCGTCATCATCATCCTCATCATCATCGTCCTCCTCGACATCTTCATCAGTCAAGAAGTCGTCTTCAAAATCGGACTCTTCCTCGTAATCCTCGTATTCAAGAGCCTTACCGGTAAAGAAATCAACGGCGTGGGGGATCAATTTCTCCTTGAACTCCTCACCCATTTCGTAATCAGCCTCCAACTTGGCGTCTAAACCTTCAGCCTCCTCTTCCTCGAGTTCCTCAGAGTCTTCGGGGAGAACAGGGGGACTAAAGAAGTTGAAGAAGGTCTCAGCGGGGACAGTGCGCTTGACGACACGAGTCTTGTTTGTTCCCTTGTGACGTTGTTTCTTGGTTTCGACAGTAACGGTCAAATCTTTACCTTCCTTCCAGTGGATATCACAACCAAGAGCATGATCATAGACGTAATCACCACCGCTGACGTTATCTTGGTAATGATAGGTCTTTGTCAAGACCTTATCAGTGAAGAAATCATTCTCGGTGAATTCAAACTCCAATTGGAAACCGGGCTTTTCGAGATAGGTCATACGCACATCAATGAGATGGCTGAGAGGCTCACAATCGGCATCTGTGATGGTCTCACTGATTTGAGGATGTGTCTTTAAAGCAGTCAACCAGAACTCGGGAATACCAGTCACTTCTTCATCATCCTTTTCTTCTTCGACCTTTTTCTCTTCCTCTTCCTCCTCCTCTTCGTCACTGTCCTCGTCTACCTTGGCACCAATAGCCACTTCTTCTTGTGTAGGTTCATATTTACCAGCAATGACCTCGGCACGCTTGTTGTAGTAAGGACGGTACAATTCGAGGTATTTCTTTTCTAAGGCCAAGACTTCTTCTTGGAACTTGCCTTCAAGCTCAGTGTGCTTGCTTTGGAGATACTTAAGACCGTTGATACGACGTTGAACAGCAGCAGGGAGAGGCTCACCCATAAGGTTACCTAATTTGCCTTGGAGCATGCTCATGAGAGCAGGGTTGCTAGCAGCAGCGCCTTTACAATCGTGTTAGTCTTATTTTTTCTTTCTTTACTCTCTTCATGTCCTTACCAGATGTGGTAATAGTTTCCATTTCTTCAGTAATAGCCGGGATGGAAGGGTTAAATTGAGAGTTAATAGGAGCTGTGTTAATAGGAGTGTTTTGAGGTGTAGGAGCAGTAAATTTCTTGTTCTTGATATCAACTAGTCCATGGCAACCATAGGTTAGTCATGGCAACCCTCTCAAATGTACATTTTATTTTTTATTTTTTTTTACCTGCTGACTGATCCATTAAGAAAAAAAAAAAATTGAAACAAGTTAAAAACCGAAACTAAATTTTTCTTTCCCCCTCTCTCTCTCTCGCTCGCACCGAAAAAAAAAAAAAAGTTTTTTTTTTGTGACCTTTTTCTTTGTTTTTTTCGTCCCCAACGAAAATCTGTCAAATTATATTTTTTTATTGTTGCATTGAATATGTGTTTTTGGGGGTTTTTGGTGGGGCCCCAAAAAAAAAAAAAAAAAAAAAAAAAAGATAGATATAGAAAAAAATTTATTCAAAGTCTTCAGTTCCGTGTTCAAACAAGTAGTTTGCAGCCAATTCTTTAATAGATATGTTAGTAACCCTGTCAATTTTTTTTATTTTTTTTATTTTTTTTACCTTCGTCTTTTTCACAAGCGAAATAAGCTTCAATGACCATACCTCTGTCAAAACCTAAAGCAACCAACTAAAAAATGTTGTATTCAGTCTACCGTTTCTTTTATATATATATATAAAGTATATCTGATTTTATCACATACTCTGTCAATGGCATCCTTCTCTTCTTGGGTCACTTGAACCATGGAAGATCCAGGAGGAGCCTCATCTTCATCTGCACCCTCTAATAAAGCCTGTAAAAATCCATTGGGATCAGCATTAATCGATCGCAACAATTCAGGGTTTGATTGACCCAACTGTTGAAGTAAAGGTTGAAGTAAGGCTGGGTTGGATTGCACCAATTGTCGAATTTGTTGGAAATGGGCTGTGTTTCTTAAATTGGCAAAATCGGGATTTCCTCCTAATCCTCCTCCACCTTGTGCTTGTTGTTGTGCTTGTTGTGCTTGTTGTTGAGCAGCAGCAAACAAGTTCAAAGGTGCGTCTAATAATAATAATAAAAAAAAAGAAGAGGGTAAGGGTTAGTTACATCAATTTCCCCATAACTATCCTATCATCTAATATTTACTGGGATTGACGTCGGATGTTGTATTATTATTATTGTTGGTGGTGGTAGGTGAAGTGGCTGCGGCTGCGGTGGCTTCGGTCATAGTGGCGTCTTGTGCTCCCTCTTGTTGTTGTTGTTGAGCGGCTTGTGCGTTCATGTTCATTTCGTCCAAGATATTTTGAGGAATACCCTACACATATATGATGACTCAGTATATTTTTGTCCTCTTTTCGTTCGTATTTCATATTTTATATATACTCACGTTAAAGAGGTATTCAACAGCTCTGTCAGGGTTGTTGAAACTAGCACGAAGAGCACGGACACATTGTTCACGCTCAAATCCCATCTCCATCATATTTTGAATCACGCCATCAAGCTGAGTTCCCGTCACTTTTTTTTTCGTGTTTTAGTTACTGCATGAATTTTTTTTTTTTTTTATGTGTATATAGTTACCTAATTGAGAGTCAGTTTCAGTAGTGGGTGTGGTATTTGTGTTGGTGGTGGCAGGTGTAGCGGGTGCGACAGGGGCAGCAGCAGCAACAGCAGGTGAAGAAGCAGCAGCAGGTGAAGGGGCAGCAGCAGGCTCAGGTACGGAGGCAGGTACGGCAGCGGGAGTTGTGGTGACAGGTGCTTCCTTGACGGGTTCGACTACAGACTTGGCAGCGGCCTTGGGCTTGGATACCATCAAGACAAGGAATTCCTTTTCACTTATCTTGTAGTCTTGTACCAACTTTTCATCAACAAGAATTTTACCTGATAAAACAAGGGTTAGTGGAAGAGTTACTTTGTTTGTTATAGACTATTTACCAGCAAAGATAATCTTTTGTTGAGCAACAGGGTGTCCTTGTGTTTCTTGAATCTTTTCCTTGATGGAAAGGATCTGTAATAGTGGATTAATCATTGTTCCTTTAAAGATGCAACCTGTGAAAAAAGAAAAAAGAGACTTACGGTGTCGGAACTTTCGACTTCCAAATGGAATTGTTTTTGTTGAAGTGTTTTAATGGTTAATTGCTGGATGTTTTAAAAGCAGTTAGAACATGAGTGGTTTTATTTATTATTTTCACTTACCATGTTTGAACAATAAAAATAAAACAAAAAAGAAAAAGAAAAAATTTAGTCAATGAGCGCGACACGTCGTCAACAACGTCACAAGCTATTAGGACAAAAAAAATAAAGGATTGAAACACCGATTACTGATTCTTTGTCTTGTGATGACCGTGCAGAAAAAAAAAGAGGGGGGGGGGAGTACAGTGGAGGAGAACGGAATGATGGCAAACTCTAATTTATTGGGGGGAGGAGCTCTTTTTTTTGATCATTCAAAAAGAGTTTGGAAACAACCACGGGGTCATTGGGAGAAGGAGGGGAACCCGATAAAGCCAAAAAGGAATTTTTAAAGCTCCTCTCCCCGCCTTTTAAACGAAAATGATATAAATAGGGCCAAGTGTTTGCAAAGTGCTTTTTTTTCTTTTTTTATTATTATTATTTACCTTTTGTTACTTCTAATATCACACAATGCTTGCTTCTATTCCTATACAACCTAGTCAACGATATCAAAGCATGGATTGGCCATTAAATGAATTAGAAGAAAATATGATGACACTAGCAACAAGTTCACAGATCAAAGTGACGACCGCTTGGCATCAGCATAAACTTGTCTCTTCCGCTGTGCGTTGTGAGGCTTGTCATCGAAAATTTCATTCAGTTGGCAATCTTGCCAATCATCAACAACTCTATCAACATTAAAATTCATCATATATTCCCCCCACCCATTCTTATTTATCTCTTTATAAAAATTACATCCCCCCCCATTGTACATAGTTACCAAAATAAAAAAATATTAAAAATTAAAAAAAAAAAATCACTTCCTAATTGGGTCAAGTGAAGCATGACAACATTTTGTTGTAATTTACCAACAATAAACCGTCAGTCCTCTTGTGTAACATTACTCCCTGGGTTTCTTTTTCTGCATGGTTCTTTTTAATTCCCACCCATTTTTATTTTTTATTTATTTGGGCGTATTAAATAACGTTCTTAATTCATCCGCTGTGAACCCACCACCGGACTCTGATGTAACATCTGGAAAGAGGTTAGTGAGTAAAGAAGGGAAAATACGGTTGTTCGATTTAGGGTCTCCCAGCGTGTATTGGTAGCCCCAATTTGTCAAACTAGCGGGTGTCATTTCCTTGGTTAGAATACGGTCTAGAATATCATAGATGAGTATTTTCTCTTTCTCTCTGTATATTTAATGTGGCATGTTAAATTTAGTTTTTTTTTTTTTTACCGTTACGTAGCAAGTTGACAGCATCGCTTAAAATAGCACGTCCCATTGTGTACGGGAGTCTTAACCCAGTTTGTTTAGTGCGCTCCACCATCAATCCAGCATACAGCTCCACTTTATCCGGGCTTCCGTATAATTCCTTGAGCGCTTCTTGCACCTCCACCTTTTCTGAAAAATCTTCAAACGTATCTAACGTCGTCAAGTGCAAGAACTTACGGAAATCGTTAAAGTAGCACGTGTCTAGAATACGCGCTTGCTGGATTCCTGCAATCTCCACATGCTCCAACGCAGCTGGGGTATTCTGACCATTACTATATAGTAGGTTAGTTTCATCATTCTCTACTACTACTACTCTTTTTCTTTATATATATATATACTAACCCAATTTCAGAGGCTGGTTGAGTGAAACCAGCACGCAGGACACGAATGATATCCGCATCAGGGAAACTACCTGTCTCCAAATCACGATGACTGGAAGCTACTGGCAAACCCATAGCTAATTCTTCAGGTGAGGCATGTACGAAATGCTCATTGAACCCCACGAGTAATTGATCAAAGATACTTTCGTTTTGTGCTGTCTTGTTAATCAATGAACGATCGAGACCAGGATGACGCTCCTGAGCACGACTGGATTTCATCTGAGCCGTCAAGAGATCCATGACCTGTGCAATCCAAGCTGAATCCTCCTGACCGATACCTGCATGCCAACGATAGATGGCGTTGAATTCGATCGATACGGCGTTACCATAGATGGGATTGCTGGGCGTGGCAAATGGGTCCAAGACAAAATCAGAATCAGCACTGGTACCGATAATGGTACGAATATAATCATGAATGATAATATTGGCGTAACATCCATTGTTAATCAAACGAGCCGTCTGGAATAATTTTTCATCTTGTTCTTCCACCGTAGCCAGACGCTTACCAGGACCGTACGAGAAACGCTCATTTTCATTGATCTCCAAAAGCTTTTTAGCAATGTAATTGTGGTTACGTGAGAAAATGATGATCAGACCCGCGACACCGGCAGGTTGGATCACAAGTCGCTTATCAAACCATTGATCATTCTTTAATAAACCATCCTTCATTTGTCGAACGGATTCTTGATCTGCACGATTGTAACCATACAATGAAGACCTTGAATATATTAAAAAAAAAGTGTTAATGTTACACACAATTTACACAGGTTTGGGGGTAATACTTTACAGGTCGAGATAACTGGTGGTTAAATTACGAGTAGGATCTTTGGAATCAGTGTAAAACAAATCATGCGTGATAATAATCGCTAAATACAGCAACATCATATTAATTCCACCCTTGTTGGGTGTGAATTGACCATCGGGACGTTTTAATAATCGATCAAATACTACTTTGGGTGAAGGAAGGTTGGTATTGTTCTCTGATACACTGGTGACTGAACGTGTATACGTAGATCCTGCTTTACCCTATCATTTCTTTTTTGTTTAGGTGACACACTCCTTTCTCTCTCTCTCTCTTTTTTTTAAAAAAAACTTACCACTTCAGGGTAGATGAGACTGTTAAAACTACCATCAGCAGTACGGAATTGATTACCCACATAGTTATTGTAAGGCTTAGGAATATCATCCTATTAAAAAAAAATAGCAGTGTTAAGGTGGGCGTAGTTTTAAAAATAGTTTGTTTTTTTTAAAAAAAAAAAAAAAAAGAGACATACGTAGAAATTGGCAATCAATGGCTGAGTAACCAAATAAATCAAATCACTATCTTCAGGTCCCAAATTACCCAAAATATTCATGACAGATTCAAAAGTGTTGTTACGGTCATTTTGGGGTGCATTTTTACTCAGCAATCTAATTCCGTTGAGTTTGAGTCCGCATGACAAACAGATAATGTCACTTTTTTTAAAAAAAGATCTTACCTTTCAGAAATGGCGTTTAATAAGGTGAGTTGATGCTTGATGGGTAAACCAATGATATCCTTGATGGCACCGGTTGTGGTAGGGTTGATGTTAAAAGCAGAACGAATGTTCTTGGAAAGTGCATCGATGGACCATTTGGAGCCGGTAGGTTGACTGGATGGACTGGGAGCAACAGCATCTGTTTTTTTGCTGGAGGATTTGAGGGTAGGAGCAGCCGCAGAGGAAGCAGCAGGACCAGCACGCTCTGTCTTTTTAATGTTGTCAGTGATGGCCTTGAAACTCTTGAGAAGATCATCGGGACTCATGTTTTCTTTAACCATATCTACAAGTGATTGGACAGGACTATGAGCTTCTGGTTGTTTCTATTAAAGAATGGTTAGGTATCGCGCTGAATACCGTGATTTTTATTAATTATTTACTTTGACTACAGGTGAAGGACCTAGCATTTTTATTGTAAGAAGTAGAGAGATAGAGAGAGAGAGAACGAAAGAAAAATAGAAAAAAAAGAGGGGGTTATCGTTCCCTTTTTTTTTATTTGTTTGGCTATTTATACTAAAAAAAAAAAATTATACATATACGCCACTTTCTTCGATCCTTTTTTTTTATGAATCTCCACGTTTTCTGGGTGTATATAACATTACTCATACAATGCATTAGAGTCATATAGAAGGTTTTTCTTTTTTTTATTGTCACATAGCCCTTACATGGACCCAAGAGATCATTTTTCTAAATCATTCCGTTTCTGCATCTACTGCCTCAGTGTTGATAGCAGTGAATGCATAAGAAAGAGGAAAAAACCAACAAAAAAAAAGAGTTTGTTACACACACGGCATGTTGATTCAAAAAGGGAAGTTATAATGCAAATCCATTACACGACGACGGGGAGTTGCATATCCGCTGAAAAGATGTCTATAAGCCCGTATATAAATAATTCCATCTATATATAACAAAAAAAAAGAGGCCTAATAGAAAGTGATTTTTGATATTTGTAACGCTATCATAAAAGGTATTGTTGTTGTTGTTGTTGTTGCTGCTGAAAATCTGTTTTAAACTCTACATGATTTGAAACAGTTACCCTGTAGATAAAAAAGGGCTATTTCATATATTTTTTGTTGGGCTTTTTGAGTGAAAACCAAGCCATTTCACAAAAAGCTCGTCATTATCTAGACTAGCAACCATTACACACACGAGATCATAAAAGGATGTAGGAGAAAGGGGAGGTCACGGACTTGATGGCTTTGCTTTTCTTTTTTTTTTTCAGGTTACCAAAACGCGCATAAAGTCACACGCCCTTTTGTAAAGGGGGGAAGTCTAGGTTTTTAACCATAGTATATTTTTACACCGGCCATAAGGAATGTACCATACGTAGCACATGTATTTCTGTGTAATGTCCCGCCATTTTCGTGTCGTACCAACACATTTATACTCGTGAACTTGTTTTAGCTGTAATAGCTTTTTAGATCCACTTCTATTGTAACACATCGCTTGGCAATTATTACATGTTGCGTAATGTCATCTTGCACACGTTTAGTTTAGACTCTTGTGAACAATAGAAAACCAAAAGACGCTTTATCTTAATTCGTGTGACATATTTAAAAGCCAGTTTTTTTTTTTTTTTTTTTTTTTTTTTAGGCTTTGTAAGCTCAAAGTGTATACTATCAAGAAAGGTAATTTCCGTTTTCTATTACACAAGACTTCAGGGCCGCTTTGATCAGGGTTTCATAAGTTTTATGATTGGTTTTTAATTTCATCTCCTCCGTACTTTTTTTTACACGTTTACATTTGTCATCTACTTTTTTAATACAAGTGCAGAGGAGGAGATGAACACCTTTCATGGGGTTTGGTAACATGTGTCCGGTTAGGTTCATAAGATTAATAAAACATCCCCTTTGTTGAGAAAATGACATACTTGTTTTAACGACACGAAAGATATCCCCCATAAACATATGCTTGATGGCTGTATATCGGTAACCAAAAAAAAAAAAAATGCTAGTTGATCCATTGTATTTGGCATGTTCTTTAAAAAAAGATGTGTATATCATCAATGGACCCAATTTTATTTTTTTCAAATAAGTGCATCATGGTATAGAATAATAAAGACACAATGTCAACACACTTTTACCACTACATTTTTACTCTTTTTAATATCAAGGAAAACAATGAGAAAGTATGCTCATTCCTATTAAAACTGCTCAACGGTAGTCCAATAATTTATTCTATTTGGCTACGCCGTGATCAAGTCTAGATGGATGCATCACGTCTTTAAAATTTATGCAAGAGTGTCCTTTTGTAACCTTTGTTATTGGTTATATAGAAGATTTGACAATTCTGTCGGGTTTCGTTGTAATCCTCTGTCAGACCTAATCCATTTATAATTAGCAGAAAACTAATGGTGCACCGCAAAAAAACATCTAATTTTGTACCCATTCGTAATAATATGTTTGACATGTTCGCTCTTGAAAACGCATAGTTTTGATATTCCGAGTGTCACCGTTTTGTCTTATTTTTATGCACCTTCCATATTAAGCAGACGCTCCATTTGCATAAAGAAAGATCAGTGCCTGTTGTAAAATGAAGGACTCTTGCAATTAACATGAAATGTCACTGATGTTGAACATATCTGTATGTCTTTGTAAATGTTTGATATCATTTAGTGAACTGGTATTCTTCTTTACATGAAACACGAGTGCTATCTATTAGATTAGTAAATAATAAGCGCAATAGAAGTGAGTGCTCTTGTCACTATTTTAACTCATCGTTTCGAATGGGAGTCTATTAGCTAAATGTGTAAAATACGCGCAAAATTGTGTACAATGCAAAAAACCGGAAGTGCGCGCAAAGACTGACTAAAACTCTCAGCCCTTAGTGGATCTTTACATAGACGTCAAAAACAAATTGCTCGCATTCCTTTTTTTTTTTTTTTTTTTTTTTTTTTTTTTTTTTTTTTTTTTTTTTTTTTTTTTTTTTTTACTTTTAGAAACCTAATTTCCCAAAAAAAAAATTAACATAACACATAATCGACTTTTCCTTGCTTAATACTTTTATGCTACCGAATTCATACAAGATTACCACACAGTGCTTCTTTAGTATGGCATTTCCTATTGATAAGAATCGAGTCATGATACTTTGACTAAAAAATCATCTATAAATTGAGCTGTAAAAATGAGTGTGTTGTTAAAAATGTGACGCCAAATTATTTAATTTTAACACTTTCGAATTACACTTGTGACATGTAAGATAATGATCGAAGCATATTGTCAGCTGATGATTTATTTCACATTTTAAAAACTAAACCGAACGATAATGACCAAAAAATCATTGTGTTTCCATGGAGGGTCACTAGAGTCGCACTAATACTTCGCCTTGTTAAACATCTCTTTGGTACTAGGGTTATATAATTTTTTTTTTTTTTTTTTTTTTTTTTTGCTTACTGGTCTCTTTTCTATCTTTTTTCCATTTAAACAATGGAGGAGACCTACGATTTCTCTCAGCATACGTATTCTATCAATATTTGTAAGTGACAATTTTTTATAACTGAATGATGTGACTAATTTATAAAGATTTCGAAAACAAAATTTTGTTCATCGGATGGGCTCTCGTTACGGATATGAAATCGTATACCGATCTTCTCATGTATAAAAGGCTTAAGTAACATAATAGAACCGCTATCTGACTGCATATATAGGAAAATACCGTCTATAATGTACAATATCGCTGACAAAAAAATATTGGAATGGGGCATCAACAAAAATCAGGAAGATTCGGCAGAAGAAAAAGACCCGAATATGATATACGTAGAAAATGTTTTTTGGGAGCTAAATAATATCTACCTGAGGGGGGATCACAGCAACGGCAACTTTAAACATGACAAAAATGACGATTACCTAATGCATGCAATGGTAGTGTTTTTGAGGGGATCAATAAAAGAAGTAAATAGAGATATTGATAGTGACACCCCTTTACGTCATCATTTTTCTATGGTCATTCCAACAAGCTGGGGAAATGATATACAAAAAGAACTGATTCGCCCACTATTTGTTCAGGCGGGACTTATCGCTGAAGGTGATGATGAAAAAAGATTATTGTTTTTTACCGAACTTGAAGCGCTGGTACAGTTTATGAAAAGGCCACGTGAGATCATGTTTGCGGTAGCTCCCAAGTTTGAAAATGGCAGAGAGTACATATTATACACCTTGTACTTTACATCGGAAAAACTATCTGTTACCTTGGATTTATTTTCTATTCATTACCCAATTTATGCAGTAATCTCAACCGAGTATACTTCGACATTACTTAAATCACTTTCTTTCAGTATTCCCTTTAATATTAACATAGAAAATAGCATTCAACGCTGCCTTCAAACAAGAGGATTTGACATTGAATTAGCAGAAACAAAAAACATAATGCATCTATTGAAAGTCCAATATTACAAACAAGAGGTAGAGGGATTTATTTAACATGTGACCGCGAGTGGTTTTTTAAACCGTTTGACATTTGTTGTAGTTTGTATCTAATACGGAAATAGTTGAAGATACAGAAAAACATACTCAATTGTATACTTCAAAACCGTTTGAAAACTTTGCTAATGAGTGGAACGTAAGCGATGCTAAAATCAAAAGTATACAGTCAATGACTATGGGTGATATTCACAAGGACTTGCTGCAATCAATAGAAAAAGAGCTTTCATCCAAGTTGGAACTTTTATTAGAAGGCATGGTCTATAAGAAACGTTTATCCATATCAAGGACAACTTGGTCGGGGTATGTTATAAAAAAAAGCTGCGGATTCAAGACGAATTATGGCTTAGAGTCAAAGATGGTGCATGGATGGTTAATGCTGTCGAAAACATTTTTTGAATACCAAACCTTTGTTTCGCCAGCACCTTATGGGCCATCATATCTATATCAACAGGATATAGTTGTTGGACATAGAGATCTAGTAATATCTGAAATATATTTATCGATTATCAAAAAACCACCAATTATAATATCTCGATATGCTGCGAAAGATGCAAAGATTACATCAATGTCGAAATTTGAAGGTTCTACGCCAAACTGCATTATAAGCATAGGTAAGACAAAAGACACGTATACGTGACTAATATGACCCGATATAATGAGAGCTGACATAATCTATAGATTTATCGCTCAAAAGCGTTAATGTTTCATGTTCGAACCAACTTCTTGATACTGGTACCATGCTTATAACTGATACGTAAGTAGTGCTAATTCAATTGTAGAGACGAGCAAAAAGTGTTTGGAATCTAACTTAGCCTCGCTGATATAGCTACAAGCAACCTTTGAGCACTTATTTTAGACATGAGTCTTTGAATCAACGTCCAGTACTATATATTACAAATAGGCAATACATTCATCTTTAAAACGACACATGAAAATCTATGATCTGATTAAATAATTAAATAGGATGAAGGAATACTTGGACAGTCAATTTATAGAGTACTTAAAACTATTTCCGAAGTATAATAACAGACGACAAAAGAGAAAAACCAAAAAAACCAAAAAAATAACTGGATCAAAGACTAAAAGATATAACCAAGTACACCATATTTATAATACAACGTAATGCCATTAAAAAAAATTGGGTCTTGTAAATTAATCTTGTTTTATTACACACAGAGTAAAAATATTCCAGGAAAGCAGTTTGAATTCACAGCCAGTCATATATGAAGCGATGATAAAAGCTTTGACAGATGTTGGGCTGAAGATTGAGGAAGGTCTTGCTAGTCATGATCTGGAAGGTTTTTTTGAAAATCCAGATACTGCTGAACAGTGTGTGTTTCTTGATCAACCAAAATACACAAGTCTTTTTATGATGATATACCTGGGGTATCTTAATAATCAGGTGGTATCTCGGCTACAAGAAAGCCTTAAAGGAGCTCCTAGCGAATTGGAAACTGGGTACTTTATATCTGTAGAGAGACCTCTGATGGATAATGTTTGCAGATCGAAGGAAAATTTCCAAAAAATGTTAATAGGGAGTGGCATACTACAGACAGAAAACAAGATTATAAAAGCGCGAATCGTCACTCCAGGAGAAATAGGAATATTGCCCATCGTAGAGAAACTTTTTGGATTAAATCTTCCTCTCAAGTCTTATTTTGTCTTGTCTAGATTACATACAACTTACATTCAACTCACATTGAGCCAAGTTGTTCAGATTCGGTCCTGTGAAAAAGAAGGGTCTTCCATCGTAGTCAAGGATATAAATATTCCGATTGAAGATATACATGACAGTATATGTAAGCATTTATGGGAAAAGATTGGATTGAACGGAGCGAAAAAGGAATGTGGATATAACAATGAAAATTGCAGCAAACGTTGTAATAAACATTCGATCCAGAATTACACCAAAGCTATAACGGAATTGAAACAGTATTTAATGGAAATTGTAAGCCAGATATCTACATGTCTTGAATTTATTTAACTTTACTTTCTTAGTTCTCACCTGTCAATATAGACATGGATTTGGATGTCTTAAAAAAGATTGAAACTAGTAAAACATGTGGATGTGGTATTCATGTATCTATTCGTAATATGATTGAGGAGGGGTTGAAACCAGCATTACAAAATGTTGCCGCAGTCATGACATCCTCAGTAACAAACAAAAATCTCTTTGGAATATATCAGGTGGACCATTTTTTTGTGATGGATGATACGCTTGCCACATCAAAGGGCTCCTTATTTTGTCCGGTGTTTTATAATCTATTACAAGAAGCAATTGAAAATAGTATCAAGTCAAAAAGATTAAATTCGCAAATGTTTATTATTCGAGAAAAACTGCATGAGTTGTTGCAACCAGTGATAAGTAAAACATGTCTTTTATACAACACTTTAATACATGGGAGTTCAAGAATAGCATCAGAAGATACTTATGCAATATACATGTCTGGTTCTAACAACGTGGGGTTGCATGTGTATGGTGACGGATACAAATATAATGAAAAAAATTATGTCGGTGGTAAAGAAGGTGCCTTAATAGTATTACGAAAAGGACAATTGTTACCACATACAGGAATAGTTAAGCATTTTAGATGGATAATTAGAAACCGTGGCTATTTTAAAAGAGTCCCGTCATTGATTTTAAGTAAGACATTGACCTATGATATGAAGTGAGTGTCTGATACTAACCTATTTTCATATTTTATATGTAGATCTAGTAAAGTTGAATTCGAACTATAACAGCCCTAAGGATATTGTCTCTTTGCATCGGCACCAACATAATCTGGTTGAAGCTTTCGATTATGATATATTTATAGCGGTATCTCAGATTTTTAATTTAAAAATAAGTTACAGTAATCATGACGCTGTTCTTCAATTTAATATGGAGGCCGATGCAGGGTTTTCTCCTATTAGACAACAGTTGACACTAGTCAACTCTTGAAATGTACGAAAAAAAAACCCAGACATCTTTGATTTTGATCATGGATAAAATAAATTATGACTGATGCACTACCCACAGACTGTATTATGCTTACTTTTTAGACCGTATCTCACTGTAAGAAAAACCATTGTCGAGAATGCTGAAATTTTTTTTGCGGCTTTGGACCCCACAAAGTTCTTGCTCAGATACTTTTTTGATGTAATTTAAAATTTCTTCATTATAATCGATGATAATTTTAACAAAATTCTCTGTAATATTAAGCAGCTAGTCAAAAAATTATATGGAGACGGAGTCTATGTGATTTATTAGTGATATTAAAGGGAAATAGTCACAATTAAGCAGCTAGTCAATTTTTTACTAAAGCAAAGGAATTAAAAGGTCGTTTGAAACCCGGCGCATTAAGGTCACAGTCGGGGTTAATTTTAAGAGAAGACATTTGATTTCCTGTTTTCTTTTGAATTTCTGCATTGATTAGTAAATCTTGACATTCAATAGTTACACTGGCACCAATAAGCTCCATTTGAAGGCTTACTGTAAAACAAATTCTTCTTCCATTTATACCATCAATATATGGCATAACAACATTGGCTTCCGCTACTTTAGCATGATTTTTAGTCATGTATGTACTGTTGGCATCGTCTTCAGAGTTACAAGAGAATATCGCTAATATAAAAATCAGCTGGCTTTGAGGGATTGTTTCCAATTATTATTATAAGTACCTATAACTGCACTGTTAGGGTATACAACATATACATCCTTCTTATATACCGGCCGCCGCTCGCCCTCTGATGTTTGATCTCTTGTTACAAAATACTCTATGCGATCTTTTTCAAAATTTTCGTCCCCGTCGGGGTCTTTTACTCTCCTTTCATTCAAATTCGTTAAGCTTCTGATAAAAGGTGCTTGCACCTCTAACCCAATGGATTGTCCGGTGCATCTTCTCGGTATCATACAGGGATTTAAAGCGTAAGAAACAGCGCCATGGGATATAGCCTTAACCCCTTCGAAGGGAACGCTGACATGACAAACACCCTTATACTGGTCTTTGATGCGTTGCTGCAGGTATCTGGATTGGGAAAAGCCACCGACCATTAAAATTGCGTCAATTCTGCAGCCTATTTTATCTGCCTGGTCTAACTGATCATCGATGAGGTCAAAAATACGATTAACAATAGGATCAAATATTTTCTCTTTCATATCTTGATTCCTCATTTTCAGCGTCTTATTCCCATTAGCCATTCTGTAGGTAGAATCTCTAGTAAGGTTTATAATCCCCTTTCCAGGCAAATTGATGTCGTAACAACTGTCGCCTTGAAAATTAGGCATAAAATCAAGCTAAATATCATTTTAAAATTAGTTGGGAAGAGCTATGTTCACATAATTAAGTACCTGTTACCTTGTGATTTGCTACAAAATCACGCATGACATCGTCAAGAGGAACATTTTCTCTGTCTATATTCACTCCAAACTTGCTATAAAAATCAGCTAGATAATCTTTAAATCTTACGTCAAGATAAGTTGAGCCGCAAGTATCACCAATACCGTCGCCAATTTGACAAATCATCGGGTCTGTTGTAGATGTATCGCTATCTTTCTTGTTCAGCTGTGAATTAAAAGTAACTAGATCTACATTACTTCCACCAGCATCACATACAATAAAGTTCATATCGTCCATTGTCTCTTCCACCCTGTTAAAATATTCGGTGAATCTCTTCTCACAAAATAATGCTGCTGCTTCGGGCCCACTGATTTCAAGAAGCTGGTCAACTTCATCTTTTGTATTTATTGTAGCTTCAATTGCAGCTTGTATCATGATGTCACGGTCCATTGAATTCCACATAACAGGTACAGTAATCACATAACGTATCTTGTACTTTTTTAAGAGCTTTGACCTGTTATAAAAAAAAAAATTCGTCCATTTCTTTGGTAACGATGTGCTCAATGATATGATTTTTGAAAAGCTTGAGGTAATCAGCAATAAATTTGATTGCATGAACTTCGTTTTTCGAGTCTTTTGCTTCAGTAAATCTTCCTTGTTTTCTCAGTTTTTCCAGTTCATTGGTGTGGTCATAAGAGTTTTTTAAATATTCAGGACATGAAAACAATTTAAAATTTCGCAAAAGGTTGAGGTTTTCATAACGCCTGGCTTGAATTCTTGCTTCTTCGCCCCAATACTTTGGCCTCATCTTCTTATCGTACATTAACAAGGTTGGGGTTTTCCGGACTTAGATAGATTGCCTCCAGGCCTAAAAATATTGATTAAAGTCTTCTTTGAATTTAAAAAACTCTTGAGTTTCATAGTACCAATTTTCCTTTATGGTCTTGATAGTTTTTTCAGTGATAGTATTTCCACGCTTATCTTTAAGTTGGACATAAGAGCACCCAGAAAAGGTGGCACCAAAATCTACAAAAAAGATGGCGAAGATTAGAAAACTAAATCGAATCCTAAGTTTTTTTTAGAAATTACGAACCAATTCCGACAATAAAGTCGTAAGCATCATTTCTGTTAACATTCTTAGTGGGATTTTCCAAGATTTTTTTTGATGTGAACACTTGTTCGCTGTTAAAGTAAGGAGTTTGTGATGATACGGGAGTGATTAAAATTGAAGAAACTGCGCCCGAGGAAATTGCATCCAGTAAAGGCTTATAATTGATAGCACAGAACTGTATTTCCCCATCGTATTTGTCCACAAGATGTGTGTATGTCTCACTTCTATATTTTCCAGAGAGATACAGCCTGTATTGATGGTCAGTTTCATCAGCATTTATTATGTACTCAGCTACGCTTTTAAAACATTTGTTGAAGACAATCTTTTCTAAATCTTCGTAAGTAAATTCGATGAGCTTTCCACTGGTATCATTTTGTGAGATAACGACCGTTTCTGCAGCGCGCATATCGTTGTATGTATACTGTTAGAACAAAGAGTTGGGTTAAAAAAATTTAAACAAAATGCAAATTAAATAAATATTGCCTTAACTTTCTCAGAGAAATTATCGACGAATTGGGAAATCAGTGATGGATTTAAATTGAAATAAGTCATATTTTCTGTCAAGTAATCTCTAAATTCGGTTTCCAAATTTATTGGGCCTTGCATAAGACTGTCAGAAATTGCTGTAATCGAACTAAATGATTCAGTGGAGGCTGCATGCATTTTTGCTATTCCGACAGAGATATCATCTACATCACAAAAAAGATAATTTTCGTTGTTTTTTATCCTAGTTACGTGTCTCTCTCTAGATAGTTGACAGTGAGAAGTAGCGGCTACTCTGGTTGTAAATAAAAGCCGATGTTCAGCTTCAGATTCCTCGATAATTCCTGCCTTGATAAAGCAATCTTTCATAAATTCCTGGCGATCAGTTGGACAAACGAGGCAGTAGCAAATTGTTTCGATGTCTTCATCAATAAACTCTTCGTTAACAAATTCCTTGAAGTGAAAATTTTTAATAAGTTTGTCATGAACCTGCAATCTTTTCAGGGCAAGTTGAACAAAATATTTCAAAAAATCTGTAAACACTTTTTTTGTGGTCAAACCATCCATCAGATGGCCAGGTTTTACATTTGAAGCATCTATATCAACAAGATACTGACAGATGTTAGAAACGTAAACACCTATATCATCGATATCTTCAAGTGCGATACCGCATAATGGGGTATCATTTTCATTTTTTTGATACATAATTGAAGAAAGAAATTCTCGAGAACGATTTTCTCGTTGATTAAATTCTTGGGAATAAGATTCTTGATCATTTAATTCTTGAGAATACGATTGTCGATAATTAACTTTTCGACGCCGACTACTTTGAGGGAGTTTCTTCAAATCTTTCCTATGTTATGCTCTTAGAATTTTTTATAAACGTAATATAATGTAAAATACCAGGATGAAACGGTTATAATATTTAATGGGTCGTTTACGTGAGCAATCGAGACCCATGAAGTGGTACTTCCTATGTCTATTGTATAAATTGTTATGACTTGTCTATGCTAATTCGATATCACCACTAACCTATTCCGATAATGTATTCTATCTGATTCAAAGTAGTCATGTTTCTAAAAAAGAAAAAGTGAAAAAGCGACGTCAAAAAGCTTATTATTATCTTATCCACTCATAAGGTTTTTTTGTCGTCGCACATACCTGTGTGTCACCCCGACTCAGCCAATAAATAATGCAAGAGTTTACATAAAGTTAAATGAATAAGGAGGTGTCCATTTTTTTTATATTTTGTTACTATCGTTTTTGTTTTTTACATCTATGTTTTTTACATCTATATCCAAGTGTGGTATTTGACAAAATATTACATAGAAAAGTAATGAGATAAAAGTATATTTTTATTAGAGGTAAAAATAGACTAAAAGAACTCTGCTGCTATGAAATAATTGATCCTTTTTATATTGCACAACTCTCCTGAGTTTTAATGATGAGTCAACCTTTCTGGTTTTGGAATAGATGTCTACTTTGTTTCCCGCTATAGGTTAAATGAATAGTACTCGTTCGAACTGTTTCCAGTTAACGTTGTCCCATATCAGTGGATAGGGAGCACGAGTATTCTAATAAATCCTTAGTATTACGAGACACTTATTTATCAGATCATGCAACGGTTACTGTAAAAGATGCATACTTGTTTGTCAAGTGTAATTGGCAATAGAACATAATAGTTGATCATTTATTCATTATCTTTGTAATGAATAAATTACGATCCCAAATATAAAATGTCTTATCGATATTTGTGTATTTGGTTGTAGAAGCTAGGTATCCATTAATTTATACACTATTTCTTTATACTCTTTATCAGCAGAATAATTATATCAATATATAAGTAAATGAATCATTTATAAATTAATAGCTGTTCTATTCTCTCTCTGGGTAGCTAATCCATTGAGAGAACTATTAATATTAAGTTTCTCTTTCTTATAATTATTGATTTGATCTGAGAAGTTTCTCTTCTCGATCGGTGATATCGTAACTCAGTGGTATAGCATTATGTATCCAACTGTCATTCGTATATCGTATTTAGGCCAATCATGCAATCTTTAATATAGAAGTATGTACTCGAAGTAGGAGAAGTTGTATAGCAGTATACAAGCGTATGCTGATATGCAACATCAAAGGTTGTTTTAATTTCATAGTTTACTTATTTAAACGATTTGCTTAATTATTCTTAAGTGAATTGTACCCAAATACGACACCAAGTATAGCCAACACGAAGAAGCTTGGCGCAGCTGTGCTTGAACTCTAATACAAATTCTAACATTGTCGGAACCAGCCTCCGATATTCATAGCTGTTTATTTTACGCCCTTCGTCAATGTTTCTTGGTTTTGACACATTGTCAAAAAAGGTATTTTACAACTTTTCTTTGTTTGTCTTTAGTCAGTTACTAGAGTTTTGCATCTCCACATAATCAATCTTGACAAACCGTACGTACTGTTACGGGAAGATAAATTGGTATCATTCATTGCCTGTTTAAAAGTTATAAATTAACATCATATCTTAAATAACAGAACTTTGGATATAAAGATTTGCCAGCCATTGTGAACTTTTGAATTGCTGGAATAAAAAATGCGTTTAAAGGAAAACAGTACTATTTCTTACATGATATAATCATGTATCAATCGAATACTTATTTTTATAGCTGTATTGAGCTCCAAAGGTTCATACATTTGATAAATGAAACAAAATCAAATATTTTCATGAACTATTCGCGCACGCTTAGAATAACATTTCAATCAGCGACGGATTAAATAATCAATTAATTTTCCATGTATAGTCTACAAACGAAAGAAGCATATATCTGTTATCATTAAATGGGTATATTGCTAAGTTAGGAGGAAAATGTATCGATAAAAAATGTATTATCATCTAGAAGGACCCATATAAGTTGCCCTATTACATGCGTATGTAGTTACCTTCCAGTTTCCCAGACGGTTTTTTGAAGCTTTGCTGCTTTTTTTAGGGAATCATCAACGATTCGCTTAGGAATGTAAGTTCTTCTTTGAGGGACGCCTTAGTCACCCCTTTATTTACCGCAAGTGTATATGCTTCTAAAGCACTGGCGATACTCAATCTTTCAAACATTCTGAAAGTGAAAAACTTACAAAAAAATGTTATCTTGTCGCCGATCCCATTTTTTAAGAAGTTGCATTCAACCGGAACACATTTTCGACCACGGTTTTTGGGAAAAGGTTTAACAATTTGTTTGTGTTAATTCAGTTGAACAAAACTTATATTAAATGATATGTAACCTGCGTCTGAAAACACATCTTAAAACTCCCACCATATTGCGGTAACTAGCCGCTGCTGTAATATCACGAACATCAGAACACATATCCTTTTCGCGTTTTAGTATTTGCTTGAGATACAAAGAAAAAATGATAAACAAGAACTGGTTTATGTCATGATGAGATAATCAATTTTGCATAAAAGGGATAGCTGCGCTACACAAAAAAATAACGTAAATACCCTCTGGAATGTATGCATGAAACTATACTTTAACATTCATCCTTATTATGTTAAACAACTACTACTGAGAGTTGTGTGGTGTCAGTCTTCCAATATTTTGGGTATATATGTACCTCGTTTCCCGTTTTATGTTTGATGAAATAAGTCTGTCCTATAACAATGGATCAGGAACTCTTATTTTCCTGAAACATTTATTGTCCTGAAACACTTTCATTATAAGGCATTGTGTAACAATAACTTTTTAAAGATGCATTGTTAAATTACGGAAGGACACCATTATGTGGACCATTTCCTTAAATACAATGAATATATAGCTTCTTAGTGGTGTTTACATGCTTAATTGCAGACAATAGGCGGCTATTCATTCATACACAATTTTTATCACGCTCTTATCAGTCGAATAATTACATCAATTGTAAATGAATTACTTATTTATAATAATGGCTGTTCTATGCTCTCAGTGTCGAGCTAATCCATAGAAGGAAATATTACTATTAAGGTTCTTTCTCTTATATTCGTTAAGTTTTTTAACTGTCCCGTCGGTAAATCATAACTCAAATGTGATGCTGTACATCATTTAACCCAATTATGCAATATCTTATAAAAAATTATGAAATTTAAGGCATAATTGTGAAGCAGTGTGCATGTGTATGCTGATACTCAAGTTTTTATTTCCTAATTTATTACACAAACAATTTATCTGCGTATATTCTAAAGCAAGTTGTGCCTAGGTATGACACGCTTTTCCGTACCAATGTTACCGCCTTTACACTGATGAAAGTTGCTGATGTCGCCCCTAGAATTATTTTTGTTAGTTAATAACCTTAATGACACACTGATAGTCGCTGACGTGAGCCTTGTAGAAAAAAAAAGTCAGCGCTAAAATCAAGAAAGTGCTTTTTTGGGTGGCCAGCGGAGTTGGTTCACCTCTGACTCTTCAAAATAAAGATACACCTGCTTGCAAGTTGAACTTTCGCTCATTTACTTTTAGACTTTTCAATCCAAATGGATCCGTACAATAACAAGGTATGAAGAAAATTGACCAATTTAGCATGATAATAACGCTATTTTTATTATTTTTTTGCTTAAACAGGCTTTAGTGAAAGCACCCTCTTTTAACTCTGCACCAGATTTCAAAGCAACGATACCCATTCCCTCTTTCTCTAGTGCGCCCGACTTTACAACAGATAAAGGTATTTCCTCAATTCAATACAATCATAAAAAAATAATTAACAACTCTGCAGACAAAGATGAAAGAAAGACTCGACGTGAGAGATCACCTAGTCATAAATCAAGTCGTAGAGAGCGATCCCGTTCACCTACTCATAAAAGACGATCCCGTTCGCCCAACCGCAGAAAGAGATCTCGTTCACCCAGTAGTCGTTATGAACGCTCTTCTCGTCGATCACGATCACCTCGTCATCGCCGCCATCGCTCCCGGGAACGATCCTCTCGACATGAGGTAAGAAAACACCAACTACAGAAAAGCGATCGAAACTAATGTAATGAATAGAGGTCCTCTCGTTCGAAAAGAACACCTTCTCCCGAAATAGTCCATACGTAAGATTTTACAAAAGTTGATGATAACTTTAAACTGAAGCTTCTCCTCTTTTTTTTGCAGTGGTACTTTGAGCACGGGAGTGACGTTTGTAATGGATAGAAGAGGAGATAAAGACAATTTAAAATATGGTGGCAATCATAGTTATGATGTGCCTATTTACAAAAGATCAGGAGGCGGAAGGGTTTTGGGATTACCATCTAACCAACGAATTGATAAGTCTGTTGTTAAATCTGGAACGGTAACAATTACAGATGGGGGATCCGGAAGGGTAAATAGGCTGTTGATTGACAATTAAATGTGAGAGATACTAACTATACAGCATACTAGAAAAAACAACGTTATACAGATTCGAATTATGCGTGGAAGGAATTGGACACATCTTTGAAAAGAATTCGCATCAAACCCAAAAAGCACAGTACCGATACAGATCCTTTTGCAACCCATTCGGGATTTATCCAATTTGATGATACCACCTCTAAAGCTCAGGCCAACGATGCCGAATCATTTATCACCAGCAATGTAGATTATCGATCACTGGAAGGAAATAGAGTGAAAAAGATAGATCATGAAGAATACGAAGAATCTGAAGAAGAGGGAGAAAGTTTTAACGATCAAATTAGACAGCGTACAATCGAATTTAATAGAAGACTGGACAAAGAGCCTAGAAATCCACAGCTTTGGTTAGATTTTATTCGATTCCAAGATGAAGCAGCAGCAGGACTGGACCCTACTTCTTCCAAAGCCAATAAGACGAGTTTAAACGAGGTCAAATTGAGCATTTTCGAAAAGGCACTCGAGAACATACCTTACGATCAAGATTTAATACTTGCTTATTTAAACTGTGGTGCTGAAACCTGGGAGACTCTTAAATTGTTAAGAGAGTGGGACAAGATGTTAAAGCAGAATCCGGATTCCATTAAGCTTTGGTCTGAATATATCAACTTACGACAAACCAACTTTGCCAGTTTTTCCTTTACACAGTGTGTACAGGTATTTGAGGATGCTTTAGCAACTTTAGGTAGACATGCAACGCGCCATCCAGACGAGGAAACACGAGAGAATATCGAGTCATTGATGGTCTATATACTTTTAAGAGCTTGCTTGTTTATGAAACAATGTGGATACCAGGAGAGAGCATTTGCAGTGATCCAAGCGTCTGTCGAATTCAATTTATATCAGCCTCAGCTATTCAATATGACATCGAGCAGATATGAGGATAAACTGAACGCATTTGCAGATTTCTGGGATAATGAAGTACTTCGATTTGGTGAAGCAGGAGCTCTTGGGTGGCAAGAGTACTACCGTGCTAGTAATAATGGAGAGGATATTCCTGAACCTGTTTTTGAAAAGAAGGCTTACGATGAGCAAGACGAGATAATGACACTACATGACTGGTATAATTTGGAAAAAACAAGTGAAAACAATGATCGTTTACCGCTTCGCATGAGCCAAGTGGATGATGATAACGTAGACGAAGATCCATATCGTATCACGCTTTCAGATGATATCAAGCCGTTTTTGTTCAATATTACAACCACGGGTGCCCGTTACAGCTTGATTTATAGTATCCTAGTCTTTTTAGGACTACCCTACACACCGCCCGATGTCGGAACAAATACACATTTTTTCACTGATACATTTACACATAATGATTTGACTTTGGATCATTTCTGGCCGGCCAAGGGAAGTTCAATGAAGCATTTGGTATGGTATGTGTCTGGTGTGCCAATGAATCCCGAACAAACCATTGAAATCACCAACCCTTATTATATACCAAATTCTTTTCCCGTTGGGCTATCTGAAATGTTTGCTAAATCAGGCACATGGTTCAAATCTTCAGGAAAAGAATTTATCCACAACAAACCAGATGAAGAATTTACCAGGTTCGTAGCACTTTTTTTTTCCTTTGTTTATTTATATTGGGATTGCAGTAAACTAAACAAAGGCTGTTTTCATAGAAATGCGTTTGAACAATTGTTATCTATCGAGAAATCCGAGCATTTGAGGATTTGCTATCTATCATTTGAATCAAGCTGTGGATATAAATTGTAAGTTATTTAAAGAATTAAGAGTGATGAAACAAGACTGATGTCATTTATTAAGGGGTCGCCGATTGGCAAAGAGTTGGTTGAAGGATCAGCGAACCAGTCTCACTCTGTGGAATGCCTTTGCGCAATTAGAGAAAAGTCACGATAGAATAGATGAAGTAATTATGATTGTACACGTAAAAAGTCGGAGAGAAGTATACTTATTTAATGATATACTATTTAGGCTCGAAAAGTCTATTTGACTGCATTGGCCGTGTGTCATACATTTCCAGAATGTGATCGAATGGCTGTACCCTTGTTATATTTTATGTTTGCAAAGCTTGAAATGGAAAACAATCGTCCTAACGAAGCACTGAAAATTCTAACTTCGATGTCAGATAATAAGCCATACAGTAAAGTAAACAAATCATGCATTCGTTCCCAAAAATATCTAAAAAAATTATTTTTAGATGAAGATGCGCCACCACCCACCACACTTTCAATCTTAAAAACAAGAGAGGTAAAAAAAAATTAAGGAGCCCCTAAATATAGGAGTTGACTAACATGCAAAAAAAAAAAGTATTTCTCTCAACAGTTAGCCCAGTTGTCCACTTTATCAGAATCTGATACGGAGAGAAAAGCAGCATTTTACAGTGTCGGATGTGCAGGCTTATTTGAATACTTATCAAGCGGTCTAGAGAGTGCATGTTTAATTTATGAGCATGCGCTTGATTATATTAAGGCACGTCAAGCAGAGCGAGGATATGAGTCCGAAATCATTTGGATTGAATATGCTGCACTACTCTACCGACATTCAACTAACAGGGATGTGGGAGGGTATAGACCAACTATTTTGCGTGATGCGATGGAACGTGCGTTAAAACTGTTTCCCAACAATACCATCTTTTTGTCGTTTTATATTTGGAATGAATCTAAAACAAAGATTCATAATAGGGTACATCAACTTTTGAATAGAACACTTAAACAGTAAGTCAGGAGGGATTAAAAGTGTATCATAAAGTATATGCCTAACTAAAGGAATCTGCATATTTTTAGAGATTCGAACGTGATTTTATGGCTGTCTGCTATTTATAGTGAATTACATAGATACAAACCATTTCAAGTAAACTCAGTGCGGGATTTCTTTGAAAGAGCCGTGTCAGATACAAGGTAAAAGCGAGAATAAGATTAAACACTCACACAGGGTAATTGACATAAAAAGTAGGACGAAATCCTCCATCATTCTGTGGAAGTTCTATATTCAATTCGAAGCACAGCAAGGAAATACAGAGAGAGCCTACAACTTGTTTTATAGGTCGATTCGTGAATGTCCTTGGTCAAAAGGTAAAAAAAAAAAATCAAAAGATCAAAAAACGTGATACACTTTTGACTCAATACAATTATGCAGAACTTTATCTTATTGGAATTCAAGCGTTTGAAAAGACAATGAAACAATCCGAAAAGAATGAATTGGTTAGTCTGATGATGGAAAAAGAAATCAGACTTCGACACCCAATTGAGGATGATTTATTGGCTTAGAGATAAGTTGTCAACCATGGATAAATAAGGGGAATGCTGCGAATAATAAACCTTTTTTGTTCCTTTCTTTCCTTTTCTTGTTTTTTCCCCCATTAAATAATTATGCTGGGCCGCAGAAATACAGTGAATTTATCCCAAGGCGAATGGCCATTATGTCGCTACTATTATACACATAACAATGGTAGCTGCGATGACATATTATTGTTTCCAAAAGAAATTGCTAAAAGACGAGAGACCAGAAAGAGACTATCACCGATCTGTAAAAAAAGAAGGCACACTTATCCTGTCGTATTTTTCGATCAAAAGATACTCCAACCACGTTCGGGAAAAATCACTCGAAGATGGTCCACCATTCGTACTACCAATAAACGGCAGACATTAGCCGACATCCTTTCTAGTATGGCCCGTGCTGACAACATTCTAAAATCTGGCAGTAACAAAATCCTCAATGAAAAGTGGGAACTAATGCGCTCATACAGAGGATTAGATTCCGAAAAGACCGAACAGCCAGCTACGGATAGTAATAATGGTCAAAGTAGCCATCCTACGGTAGATCAGCCTGTATTGATTATAGAGATGCCAACAGGAACCACAGCGACACTATTAGATAGCAGTATACATATCAGCAGCTCACTGGTAGCCAACCCACCCACATCTCTTGCTGGACAGGAGACGGGTCACAGTTCTATCGATATGGGCTCTCCTGAGCCAATAACGCCACTCCCCACTCCTCCTTCGCCGCCTAAGGAATCACTGGTCGACGTTTTTTTATTTTTATTTGGCTTTGTAATTTTCCCATTGTGGTGGGTAGGTGCTTGGTTTTACGTGATCCAAAAACAAGATGGCGTCACAAAGAGACGTGAAGTCTTCCAGCTTTTGAACTGTTGTATGAGTCTAGTAAGCTTACTATTGATCGGTCTAATGATTGGTTTAACCGTGGGCATGAACACATGACCGTGAGATAATTCCAACCAGTGTTATACCTGTATTCTGTAATATTTTTCTTTCTCTTTTCCTCCCTTGTTGTTCGATAATAATAGTAATAAATATGGGTCTTTATTCAGCCATTGTACCAAGAGCTACAGCTGCTTTCAAAAAACAGGTAATTTCCATTTACTAATTTATTTGGCACCCAACAATTAAAAAAATACCCCTTTCAAAGACGTCCGCTGTGCAACGCCATTACAGCCAGGCTCTGTCAACTTACTCTAAAGATTTTGTGAAATTAGTCGAGGTTGGACCCAGGGATGGGCTTCAGAACGAAAAAATACTCGTACCTGCAAAAGTCAAGATCGAATTAATCGAGAGATTAGCAAACAATGGTCTACCTGTCGTTGAAACCACTAGTTTTGTCAGCCCAAAGTGGGTGCCTCAAGTAAGCTAGGCATTATGTAATACCCTCCCTCCGTTTTCCCCCAACTTACCATAAAAAATAATTAAATAGATGGGTGATAATAAGCAAGTTTTGACTTCCATCAAGAAAAAGCCCGGCGTCTATTATCCCGTTTTAACCCCCAACATGAAGGGTTTAGAGGGTGCAATTGCTGCAGGTGCCGAGGAGGTGGCTTTATTTACTGCTGTCACCGAATCATTTAATTTAAAAAACACAAATTGTTCCACCCAAGAATCACTTGATCGTGCCAAACAAGTATTAAAAGCCGCACTCGATCAAAATTTACGAGTCAGAGGGTAAAAAAAAAAAGACAAGAAAAACGATCTCAACAATTACTAATTATTTTTGAAATAGCTATCTGTCTTGTGTTTTAGGATGTCCTTATGAAGGTACCGTTAAGCCCGAAAAGGTGGCTGAAATGGCTAAAGAATTATATGACGCTGGCTGTTATGAAATTAGTTTAGGTGACACCATCGGTGTCGGTACCGCGGGTTCCATGGCAACGCTATTAGAACATGTTTTGAAAGTTGTGCCTGCTGAAGCTGTGGCGGTGCATTGTCACGATACCTATGGTCAAGCTTTAGCTAACATTTTAAAGGCTTTGGAATATGGTATTCGTGTTGTTGATAGCTCTGTCGCCGGCCTTGGTGGCTGCCCTTATGCTCCCGGTGCCAAGGGCAACGTCGCGACCGAAGATGTTGTCTATATGCTTCACGGCATGGGGTTAAAGACAGGTGTAGATTTGGATGCACTGATCGAAACTGGTCAGTGGATCTCAGATCAGTTGGATAGACCTACCAATTCTAGAGCAGGCGCTGCTTTGATGGTGGCCAGAAAACGTAAGCATGATCTACAAGCCGCTGCCAAAATGGAACAAAAGGCATCGAAACTTTAATTTTTTTTTCTTTTTTGAAATGTCTAATAAATAAATATTGGATATTAAATATATAGCCTTGTCTTGGGGCATTTAAGTAATATTTATCAAGGTGTCATTATAGTATGAGCATACAATGAGCAGAACAATTAACAGGATGATCGCTGTCATATACATCTGCATAACATATTATTCGTTGTCCTTTTGTTGCCATTTTTCTCAATTTTCGGAACTATTTATGCGCTGCTTTGAAAGATAAGCAAGAATGGCTCATGGAAATCAAAATTTCCAGATCAAAACGGCAAACAGAAACACAATCTAAGTACTTATTTTCTTTTTTTTCTTTAACCAATTACATCTAGAACCGCTTATTTTTCCGCCCTATCAACGGGTTATACGGTTTGAAGAGCAAAATGATTTAGTCTGAAAAACTTATTGTGTAGTGCATCATTTATAAAATTTTACCTCAGACGACTAAATGTTTGAAGACGAAGCATATTTGATGAGTTAACTAGAAGTATTAGATGTTGTCTAATATTATAAATGGGATTATATACAAAGCTTTTAACCAGGTTGTGCAAAGAGACAATATCATTAACACTATCATATATAGTTTGAATGCAATCTTATTAGATCTGTAAATAAGAACACACGGTTAACGTCGAGAACCCTTTTTATAACCACGAATCAATTTATTATGAGAATGATTTGTATTTAACTCAGTTAAGGCTATCTGAGGCGCCATTCCTTTTTAATAAATAAAGAATTATCTCATCCTGACAGGCTGTATTTGCTCAACGAAATTGCAATCAAAACTCTTACTTTATTACATAAATAAAAATTATGATATCATTTATATATCAATAAGCTTTTAATTTGTTTTAAATTAGGGCTTGTGACTAAACAAAAAAGTGATATAAAATCTTGAAAATAGCAAACTCAAGGCTTACATGTTATTGCAGCTTGACTGGTGGGGCAAATGTGTTATCATCTTTCTTGCGCTCTGTTTTGGATATAAATGTCTCATTTAGTTCTTGGTATATCCCATGAACTTATTAATTATATTACATTATTACGAAACGAATATGAGGATGTGGAATGGCGGTTCAGATATTAAATGACGATGATAATATAACTACATTCACATTGACTGGCATGTCTCAAACTGTATAATACTGTTGTCTTTTATTAAATTTGAATACAATATCAAGTATGCCGGCTTATTTTTTTAAAAAAAACTTCTGTGACCTATTTGTTAAATTAACCAAGGAGCCATAACGTATCAGTGCTGGTATTAGATGTATATTATTATACAATTTTGACATCTGAGAGTGTTCATAAATTATGAAACAGGCATCATTCGGAACACGATTGTAAAACCCAGGCATATTCTTGTGTTTGTTATAAAATAAAAACCTGGATATCTTATCCGCAAGAGGTATATCACAAACAAATATTTAAAGTTAAATAAAATGACCTCGATGAGCTATTTTCTGTGCCTGTGCCTGTGCCTGAGAAAGTAAATGACAACGTGGACAAACCCAAATCCCTCATATGTCCCCACAATAGCTGTACAACATTACACTGACATTGTATTTTTACCAGATATGGGCATTAATCCCTATAAGTTTTATCTGAAAATCAGAGTATTCAATGTGATTTTAATAAAACATATGCGACTATAGCATATGAAAAAGTAATAGTAAGTGCGAATCGTCATAATGTAAGGACAGTAACAAATAAAAGCATCTATTCGGAACGGAAAGATTGCTCCTTAAGATGACTCGTCAGAAAAAAAGGGATCTTTTATCGTGTAACGGGGACGAGTAAGAGTGGTCTCCTCAAATCAGTTTAAACCGATGATAAGGTACGATAAGATAATCCTCAAGATGAGAAGACACACAATAACAATAAGGTTATATCCAATCATATTTATTTTTATGGCACGACGGATTAAAAAAAGGGGGGTGTGGGAGATGCGCTAATGTAAGCAGTAATAAAAAGGAGAAGTGGGTATATACTCTAGCAATCATGGGTATAAGAAGATAGCATTGTATCTAAATGATGACGAGAAGAATAAATTTTGGTACATATAGTTGATTTTGTTAGCGGTATTAAAGCTTTATCTAGCCGGGCCTCTGACTTTTGAATCTTTGTTGTATGATGGTCATCATCTTGCCTTTTTCTTTTTATAGTTAGGGAGCGGCAATGAGGCGATAGCGGTGGTGATGTGATATTTTCTAACAACGTGCGTTGTTGTTTGTGAGCGTGCATCAATAGCTGATCTCCATAGGCCTGCATATCTTCCAGCTTGATGTGCAAATCAAAGTTGCATAAGAAAAGAAACTCGAGCTCCAGCTGATTTAATTCGCATAAGGGTAACCCTCCCACCTATTAGTATTTTTAAAATCATATCAATGGATGTTTAAATTTTGTTTGTTATTGTTAGTACCTTGGCATATCTTGTATTTGGATAGAACACATCTGAAGTAAATTTAGATGCTACTACAATACTAACAAGATGATGAATACAAGGAGTACACTTAATTTGTTGTTATTACCTGGTAATTAATAATCTATGTACCGTCAAGGAATTTACGGCATATCTCGTCTTTTTTAATTTGGCAATACGATCAAAATACATCAACAACGATAATAAGACCTCGTTTGAAAAGGAGGCAAATTTCAAAATACGCGTGAGGTAGGGATAGATGCCAATGTTAGGTACTGCACGGGAATGAAAATGCGTTACTGCTGATGGGTCATTGGTGATGATCAATTTGTCGTTGGTCTCGATAATGGAAATAATCAAGTCGGATACAATTTTTACAAGTGAAGATACTGGATATTCTGCTATATCTAAATGATATGTTTGTGGCATTCAATACTGTAGAAAATAAAAAATAAAATAAAAAGAGTAGAAAAAAAGAAAAGAGAGAGAGAAAAGAAGAGGATAAAATATACAGTAAGTAAAATTGAGCAAGCAAGTGCGGGGCTTAGTTTCTCAGTAGTGTCTCCCTTTATTTCATCATTGTCAGCCAATGTAATAGCATATTTTGCGCATATGTTTTTGCTGGAATGTTTAATAAAAATTGGCCGCGTGTTACCCTATTGACATTTGGTTGGATGGCTTTTTTTTATTAAATGCCAAAAAAAGAAAAATTCAACTGGGGAAGGCGTGTGATTTTTTATTCTTAGGCGTGTGTGGGTCTTCTTCTTCCGGGAGCTACGGGTCTTTTAAATCCACCTTTGCTACCGCCCAATAGTTGGATACGTTCGCCGACTGTACTGCTTTCTTGAGCTGTATCTAACTCCTCTGCGAAATAATCTGCAGTTAAATCACTTAAATCACTTGTTTCAAACTAGAATAATTGTAAGTACAAACAGACTGAATTTCAATTTATTTTCTACCTTTTTGACAATTTTGATAGAAGCTTCACTTTCTGCTGCTGTTATAACACCTGCCTTTGAAGATGAATACAACATGCGTTCTCTAATTTTAGATGAAGAGGGACATGTGTAAATAAAGACTATATGAAGGTGAGTAACTAAACAAAACGTATTATGCTGATCATACCAAGTGATTCCTTTTCGGATGCACTACTTTTATAAACATAAAAAGTAAAGCGTGGGGCATTATCTGTAATAGTTGATTTTAACTCATTTGTAGACACCTGTGCGGTTTTATCTAAATCGATCTTTTCGTTATCCAAATGCTGCATTTTACAAATAAGTCATCGTTTCATTTCAAATTGACCATTTCCCAAACTCACCAACGAAACAAAATTGAAGGAGCGATCCTCCTTAGCAAGATGAGAAAGAGCCTCGACAGCCTTTTCTGTTAAAGGAAAAGCAATTCCTGGAGTAAATGACTTGCGTGTGGTAGTACCTTGATAATCGGAAACAGTTTGAGCCTCTGCGGCCTTTACCTCTACCAACTCTTGCTCACGTCTAGTTAAAGGGGCTTCTGCAGCTTTATGAGCAAGATGTTTCTTGTATCCTTCCCAAGTAAACTCTGACTGTGTACTGATGTTAAAACATATCCCTTCTATTCTTTTAAAGCTGCTTACCTTCTCAGTTCCATAAATACTATCTACAAATCTATAATCACCCAATTCCCTTGTCAAAGTGGCTCTGGTAGAAGCGTACAACATTTTATCGCGGACTTTGGCATGATCGGGTACATAACAAAGGAACAACCACTTGTATTCGTTGGTGGAAGTCTTTTCATCCAGTCGGACAAAGATATATGCCGGTGTGGTTGTATCGAGATATTGTTCGATATTATTCTTATAGTCTTTGCGCAGGATGAGTACCAAACAAAACCATTATTTGTATGCATATTGTTTACCTTCTTCGAATCCATCCTTAACAGCCAAGGTGCCGTTGGGAACAAGAGACTCTATTTAGTAAGATGAGTAACGTTATGCTTGTCAAAAGTTTAAACTTACCATGTTCGATAGAGACACGAATGATGCGAGAACTTCCGCTGGATACGGCATCAGCAAAAAGTTTGGAAAGTTCCTCAGAAACTGTGTGATAAATTTAATAAATAAAATGGCAATATGCTTTCTTTAAATTACCTTGAATGCCACTTTGATGAGACATGGACGCGATTTATATAAGATTGAATGAGAAACAGAATTCAAAGTTCATCTTTTTTTTTTTTTTTTTAGAGAAAAAGGACATTACTGAGTTTGAACTATAATAGGTAAGGCGCACAACATGCACTTTGACTATGTGCTGGTCTGGTTTTTTAAATAGCTATTATTGAGTCTCTTTTTATAATGTTGGAAGGAATGTATTCACTTAAATCAACCAAAGCTTTTTGAGTGGGATTGATATAAATTAATTTGAATCAAATCCTGAGACAAACATAAAATTAAAAGATTAGGATTTTAGAGTGACAGGAATTTTCATTGGCTAAACTAGTTTGATAATTATCAGGGAAAAAAAAACTTTTTTTTCCAAGTTGTCAATTGTTTTTTCCTGATTTACCAACATGACGAGACTTCCCAGTCCAGGAAACAGAATGCCAAATTCTAAACAGAACATACTCGCACCCATTCGATTAACTGGGTTTCATGAACAGTATAAACGTATGTAAGAAGCGATCAAGCGAAATGTAAAAGAACTCAAGGAACTAAACAACATATTTATCATATAGATCTATTTGATGACGAGAAGGATTTTACATTTATCGTAAGTGTATATGAATACAAGGGTGTCCTTGTGTGGGAATATTGATTTTTTTTTTCATGGTTAGAAACTATTGGAAGCAATTAATATGAAAGCACTTGATTTTCCGAGTTATTCTAAATTTCCTCGAATGGATCTATCAGCCCTTTACTGTTTAGGTGTTACTATTCAAGAATATGCACGATATCTAGGTACAGACCTTTTGACCGAAAAACGAGCAACAGAAAACTTGACACCACTAAATACCCTATATGATCAAGAAGAAATTAAATCAAGGCAGTGGCTCTCGATCATCAACTCCCAACAACAACGTCGCCCTAAAAAACAGATTATAGAAAAGGCGAATCCTTCCCGTTATGAACAGATGCTGAGATTGCCAGAGTGGAGAAATAATTTAAAAAGGAAGCGAAGCGAAGAAGCAAATGCAGAAGCGACTAAGATACGACGAGAAAAGAATGACATAAGAGTTCAGAAAATTAAGCTCGAAAAGGCATTACGACAAGAAGAAGAACGACAATTGGTTGGCAAAAGACGAGCGAAAACTGAATACATATTACCACCAACACCACCCGTAGACATTTTTGATATGTCAAGAAAGAAAGCGAAACATGCAAGACCATTGAAAAAGAAAGGAAAAAATGTAAATTCTTTTTAAAATAATACCCCTCGCTACTAATGCCTGTTAATAAATAATCGAACATTCTAAGCATTAATTTTTTCTTTTCTGTTTATTTTACTCAATAAATATTCTTTTAAAATGCTTCCCAATGTATTGCTTGCTCGAGACTTGTCATTAGAAGGAAAACGGATACTTATCAGGTAGGAAACCTAATGATGATTAAACAATGACTTATATCCCACCAGGACCGATTTCAACGTCCCTATCAAGGATGGCGTCATATTAGACAATGACAGAATTTTACAAGCGCTACCCACAATACAGTATGTCCTTGATCAAAAAGCGCATACAGTGATAATAATATCTCACCTTGGTAAACCAGACGGAAAGATGATAGAAGAATATTCATTAGCACCTATTGCTGCCTACCTTCAAATTCTATTACCGAAGCAACGAGTGCGATTCTTAAATGACTGCATAGGAGAAGATGTCAAACGAACATGCTACGACTCAAATGAAGGTGATGTGCTTCTATTAGAAAATCTCAAATTTCATGTTGAAGAAGAAGGATATCGTCCTAAAGACGAGCAAGGACGAAGGGCCAAAGAAGATGAAGATTCGATTAAAATGTTCCGCTCCAGTTTAAGTCAGCTAGCCGATATTTACATTAATGATGCATTTAGAATCTCGAATAAAACCTATTCGTCTATTGTGGGTATTCAGCTGGAACAAAAAGCAGCAGGTTTACTGATGCAAAAGGAACTAGAATCATTATGCAAGATGATGGAGACACCTGAACGACCGTTTATAGCTATTTTAGGTGGGGCTAAAGTATCCGATAAGATCCAATTGATTGAAAAAATGTTGGATAAAGTCAACGTATTGATTCTGTGTGGTGGATTGTCATTTACATTTTTAAAAACCTGTAACAACATGAAGATTGGTAATTCGTTGTATGATTCCAGAAGTGACTGTGAAGAACTGGCAACAAGCTTAATGAATCGAGCAAAAGAAAAAAATGTGAAAATGGTGTTACCTATTGATTTTGTTACTGCTTCTGATTTTAACAAGATTCCATCTGTCCTTGGTTACTCAACCGACCATATTCCTGACGATATGATGGGCTTAGATTGTGGTCAGAAGTCATGTCAGCTGTTTCATGATGAGATATTGAATTGTAAAACAGTGTTCTGGAATGGCTCGCCGGGAGTATTTGAGTTTGAAGATAATTTTTCAAAGGGAACAAAGGCGATTTTAAACTCGATAATTCAGGCTACAGAAAAAGGTGCAACGAGTATCATTGGTGGAGGAGGTTAGAATCACAAGAAAAAAAAATAATGCACATTTTGAACATTAATCATGTAAGATAGATACAGCTGCAATTGCTACTAGATGGGCTAGTAGAAGCCAATTCTCTCATGTTTCCACTGGTGGTAATGCATCCTTGGAGTTTTTGGAAGGAAAAGAACTAGTTGGTGTATCTTCATTAACAATAAAACCATGAATTCGGGACTTGAACAGTGTATTTTATTGACTAAAAAAAAACAAAAAAACTTCCTCTTTATCTAAAACCATGTCGCTTGTACAGTGTATACAAGACCAAGCTTCGTACTACAAACAGCTATCAGCAGAATTAAGAAAAGAAGCACATTTAGACAATGAACTCTTGCTACTTAAGACCGAACTCGATCGACTCGTCGAAGAGATTCGTATAAAAAAATCAGAAGTAGCCTCACTCGAAGACTATTCGTAAGTATTTTTAAAAAAAAAAGTTAATGTGTTTAATGTAAACTAAACATGCGGTAGTAAGAAAGAATTTCAAGATGTGCGTAAAATGAAACATTTATCCTTCCGATCAGCAGCAGCGACATTGTCCGGTAAGAAAAAGGAACTCGTTGCAAAGGAAGAAGCAAAATACCATCTTGCCTTTGAAAATGAGCAACGAGCAAGGCGAGATCTGGATGTACTTGAGACGAAATATGAGACGACAAAATCCAAAGTAAACTTTACTATTTATGGAAAACGAGAAACAAAACTCTAATTCATATACTAGGAACAAGAGCTGTCGCAACAAAAATCACATTTTGAAGAAATAAAATATCAGTATGATACATTATTAGAACAGGTTAGTTTATTTTTATTTTAGAAAATAAGCCAACTTATTAAAATTGTGATAGATTTTTACATTAGATGATCCAATGTTCCCTTTGGAACCTCGTTTAAAAGCAGAATTAGCAAATTACAAAGAGCAGCGCTTATTGGTAAGTGGAGTTTTAAACTGAGTTGCTTTGTAGTTGACATTTTACAGGCAAACAGGGATCGAGGGCGGTTTATAGAAGCGGAAAAGGCGCTAGGAACCTGTCTGGTGGACACTAAAAAGGTGATCCGGCTATTGGATACTGTGGTTAACTACGTGCCTTTTGAAATTTTTGGTGGGCCCATTATTGATGAAGAACAAATAGCTTACTTGGATGGTAAGAAAGAGTCATTGTGATCATATTTCAATATTCATCGAGATTTTATAGCGGCAAAACGAAGAGTTTGGGAAATTCAAAGGCTATTGAATATAGCAAGAACTGTGTTACCTGAAATCCCTTATCCTCAAACATTAGACGTTGTTACAAACAATCCATTGTTACAGATGCAGATCACCTTGACCTATGTCGATATATCATGGAAAGGTGAATAATAAATAAGATAAATCAGTTACATTATCCTTATACATCTCATTAGCAAAAACAACCCAATGTTTTGGCATGTTGGCTACTGCCTATCGAAATATTCAAAATTCGCTTACTTGGGTAAAGCAATATCTACAATATGCAACTACTGCTCTTGGTAGATTGAATGAAGCGCTCGATTCGACAAAGGTGGCATTATATAATGAACGCCGTAGAATAATCGAAGCGGTTTTGGCCTCATCTGATGGAGCAAACCTGCCTTCATTTACTACGACTTATCACGGTAGTAGTGAACCTCCTCCTCCCGTGTACGAAGCTCCAGCAGATAATAATTCAGACTCGCACGAGAACCAACAAAATCATTTGCCAAACATCCCAAACAATTTGACTCCAGCTGCTTCTATATCAGATTTCCCGCTAGGAAATGATTCGCCCGTTATGCCTGCAGCACAACATTTGTCGACCAGTGATAGTACTGTTCCCCCGCATCCGATCACCCCAGTTTTTGGTAACACAAATATGAGCCCCTCGTATGTGTCTACAAATGTAAATAATCCATTTAAATAAATAAATGTCACATTGATGATGCTGCAAAGTATTAATAGAATTAAGTTTGTTTCTTTTATTTATTTCAGTATGTAAATGGTAATGTAACAAAATATGTAGAGTGAGGGAATATATATACAATTTAAGTGGAAGAGTCTATTTTATCAAAAAAAGATAATGAAATTAGCTTTAGATCATGTTGTATGTGATTAGTTATATAACTTACAGCCAATGATACCACAAGCAGCACGGTCACCAGCGTTACCAGTGGTGTTGGATAAAGGAGAACCACCTAAACCAAGATCATCTTCACCGACATGAACAACGATACCGCGACTTTTTTTTCAAAAAAAAATTAGTTACCCGGAATACATTTTATATGAAAAAAAAAAAGGGCTTACCCGATAACGGAGTTGCGGCCATATAACTTGATGGATTCGCTGGTAAGGTTGAATAAAGCATTACCGTCAGCATCAGCGCTGATGTTACCAAAGTCACCAACGTGTCTATGTTCAGCATCGGGACCACCGTGAGTCTCATTGAAAGGGTTGAAATGAGGACCGAAGGTAAGACAACCTAATTAATCTACGTCAGTATGCTATGTCTTACAAAATCATGATTTACGTACCGCCGGAAAGATCTCCAAATTGATGAATATGGAAGCCGTGTTGTCCAGGAGCTAAACCGGTGATGTTGTAAGAGACAACGGTGGGGGCATTCTTACGTTCTTGGGTGAAGCGAACGATACCAGTAGCATTGGTGGTGGTTGAGGTAAGGTAAGCGACAGCAGAAACGGACTTGGCATCAGCACAAGCGAGAGCAGAGGCAACAAAGGTGGCAGCAAAAGCAATGGTAGCAGAGAAACGCATTTTTAAGTAAAGATGGTGTAGTGAAGAGAAAAAAAGAAATTGCAATGTTAAATTATGAGCTTTTATATTTATTTATTTTGGGTCGAATTGCGCCCACCCCTGCCTCACATGTAGGTCAGACAATAGACCCAGAGGATAATATGTCTACCGAAGTCCCATCTTTTTTTTTTTCATCTCCATCCCATGCTAGTAACATTATTTTTTGATCAGATAAACAATTTCATGAGGAGTTTTATATATTTTAAAAGCTAGTCTAAAATAAAAAATCTGATAAAGGGGGAAATTTTATACAGGATCACACCAATTGTTTACAGGTAAGCAAGAAAGGTACTTGCAATCCGGGCAAATCTATTGCAGAAATAAAAAAGTTGATTCAGTGCTTGCTTTACTCTACTCTATTAATAGTATAATTCTTACTTTGCTTGGATCTTCGGCTGAGTAAAACTCGCGGATTGAAATAGCGAATAATACAACCAAAATGACTAAAGCCACAGCCCGTACAATCCAAGTAGCTATTTTGATATTTCGTGTAGCCTTTGGACGCATGGGTGCAATTACCATTCCTATAAGCAGTCCCGTAGCAAAACCACCTTTTTTTAACTGATTTAGTCTCATATTACTTCTCTCTTTGAATTTTTAGTTACCAATATGAGCAAAATTATCTAAACCTGGCAATAAGCCCAAAACAAGAGAAATGATAGTTGAAAATAATAAACTCATCAAGTCTCTTACAGGATGTGGCAAAAATTTCCAGTTGATTAGCACGTCTATAAACATGTAGCCGATCAGCCCAAATAATGCGCCCGAGCAACCCGATGATGCGCTTAAGTTTTGTGATAACATGGCTGATAATACAAAGCCCCAAATTCCCGAAGCCATATATAATACAACGTATCGAGGCGTACCTAACTCTCTTTCAAGATCTACACCTAATCTTAAGTGTGTCAACATATTAATCAAGAAATGCACGACACCAGCATGCATGAAAATAGGCAAAATCAGACGGAAACTCTGATTGGGTGTACTCTCGTACCCACATAATTCTTGCACGCTGCAGGTAGAAGATTCGTTGGCGTAACAGTTACCGATCGAGGTATTTTCTGGGAAACTAGGGACGGGTCTTATACACGGTGTAAAACGTGCTCCTATATTTACCAAAACCTAGATAAAGAATGTATTAGTTATATGAAATACCTAGCAATTGAAAAATAAATTTCACACACCTGAAAACTTGGACCAATCATCGGATTAAAAGGGTTAGTTTGAATGACACCTCCTGTCAAGTTGTGATATTTAACAAATTCATAAATTAACATAGCCGCCATTGCCAAGGCAGAAATATAACTGAAAATAGGTGTTTGAATTGGGCCGATAAGTAACCTTAAATAAAGTGGTCGATTGTAGCCACGAGGAGGTAAGACTTCAATGGATTGTATCAAAGGATATTGTGGTTGGCCATAATAAGGTTGTGCTCCAGGTGGTGGTCCATAGTTAACAGGCTGTCCGGGTGGTGGTGTGCCGTAGTAAGGTTGTCCGGGTGGTGGTGTACCGTAATAAGGTTGTCCTGGTGGTGGTGAATAATAATTAGCATTCTGCGGTGTACCTGAACGAGAAGGTTCAGTTGAATCCAACCTTTGGAATCCTTTTGAATTTCGTCGTTGCAACTCATGGCCTTCATCATGGGAAGGAGGTAAAGGTGCCGAGGAATATGTCATTTCTACTTGTGAATTTGTGATGGAAGGTGATCTGGAAGGTAATTGTACTCGATTAGAACCTTCTTGATCATTAACTTCAATCAATGGCTTTTTAGCATCCATTATTATTCTTTATTATTTTATTTGATAATAAAAGAAGAGAAAGAATGATAAAATAAATGTTTACCTGTTATATGTCTATCTAGATCAAACTTTACCTAGTTTGTTACAAGTAAGAAAAAAGAATAGATAGAAATGAATCTATTTTTGGCAAAAGGAGAGAAAAAGCCAAACGTCACATGTGCCAAGAAAACATTAAGGTCGTACAGAGGCTTGAATGAAAAAACAATGTTGGCTGGTTTTATTTATTGATCTATGTCATTATGGTGACTTTGCTTCCGTATGTACTATTTGTAGAAGCTGCTGCAGGTTTTATCGTATCACCGTATTCTACTGTGGCCTCTTTATTATATCTTTCGGATGACATGACATGAGAGCCCTCAGCTCTTGTAGACAAATGAATTGAATTACTCGGTAGTAAGGAAGTAACATAATCAATAAAGCATGCTGGAGGAGGCCAAGTATATAACAAATTCTCTATAAATCTAAGCGCATAATCCATTGCCAGCATTGTAGGAAAATAATCCCAAGAATTTTTGATAAAAAACCAAACGTAGACTGCTCCAAAACAAACATACCAAATATTCTGTATCATATAATACCAAATCTAAAAGCATAAGATGAGTCAACAATTACAAATCGATTCAGTATTTTCATACGTTACACCTAGTGCTGTTGTTCTGGAATATCCCTCGTTCATTCTGTTCTTTCTCCAGTAAATGAGAGGTTTAAAAGTATAAGTAAACATCGATCCGTCACCAAGCATAGCTACCACCACACCAGAAATAAACATCCATTTGGCAGGAAAGTCTATCTTATGGTTGATTCCTAGCATAAAAATCTGAACTAACAATATCATACAAGCCAAACTTGAAAAGATGATGGCTACAATCACAAGGGGATGCTTCCAGCTTTTTCCATCTACTCTTAATCGATGCGCTACGTCAAATAACATCAAGAAATGAACAATCGTCATGAGTAAGGTAGAAATAAGATAAACCAGCGAGTTGCTATTGGAAGAAATATACCCTTCGACATGTAGTGTGGTAACTATGGAGGCGGGTAATGTCAAGATACTGTAGACTACAATAATATATCTTAATTTTTTGGGATGTTTATAGGCTTGATATGCTGTTAAAATTGAAGCAATAAAGCAAAATATACTGCTTGCCAAATGTCCAGGGAAAGCAATTGCCATTAAATCGCTAAATTCTGTTCAGGGAAAATGAAAAAAAGGAAAAGAGTCAATTTGGAAAGAAAAGGCGGTTTGTATATATTGAGGTTCATGGAAACAAAAGCTTATTCCTGTACCCCCTCAGAGAATACTGTTTAGCTATTTGTCCTATGTACGTTTTAATAGTAGTACAATTTAAAGGGCAAGCACCATATTTTTAATGGTCTGCCACACCATGTGCTTCCATGAATTATAAGAAATCAATGGCGGGGGTTCGTTTTTAAGCTTTGTGCGATATTTTTATGGACATTTTTTTCCTTTTCATGTTCACCCTATTGCAAACAGTGTCAAGACGCTGTGTCCAATTGAGCGGGGATCGTAAAGTCCTGGCCACATTGCCTACAAATTTCGTGATACGTCGTTCTTTAGTCACTTCTCTTCACAAGATGCACGCATTAGACGACCCATCCGTCGAATCTTACTTTATCCCTGGCGCCAAAGTCTTTGACAGGTTTTTTGATTGCCCACTTGGTATATTGTAAATTAAACGTGGCCGGCACAAGTAATTAACACAATTCGCGTGTAATTAATTGTAGATTATGACAATGAGGCAAATAGTTCCAAAATCCAAGTGTTTGTTCGCCATTTAGTCCCCGTAGATAAGGTGGCATCAATCAAAAAAATGCCTTTTTTCCTTTACCTCCAGGTATTTATAAATAGAATATTTATATATAGTATAAGCTGATTTTGTTTATTGTGCAAAAAGGGTGGGCCCGGGTTTGAGTGTGCCTTGCCTGCCAGCGGAACTGGAGGCTGGGTCAAGGTAGCATTCGAAAAAGGGTATCAAGTTTTGTTGATCGACCAACGTGGCACTGGACTCTCCTCCCAAATTTCTAGCGAATCTCTTGAAACTCTCTTCAAAACAGACGAAGAAAAAGCGGATTATTTAACTCATTTCCGTGCTGATAGCATCGTCAAAGACTGTGAAACCATTCGTAAGCAATTAACCCAAGATAGAACTAAAGAAGAGGAAGAGCGTATCACCCTATTGGGTCAAAGTTTTGGTGGATTTTGTATCACCACATATCTTTCTTTATTGTAAGTCTGTCTTATTTATATTGGTAACTTATTTTCTGAACAATCCTTTGCTATTAGTCCAAAATCAATTCAACATGCGTATATCACGGGTGGTGTTCCTCCACTTGTTGATACACCCGATAAGGTTTACAGAGCCTTATATCCTCGTCTTTTGAAAAAGAACAAGTTGTACTATAAAAAGTTCCCTCAAGATGTTGCTCGTGTCCGTCAAATTCATAAGTATCTTTCTGAAAACAAGGTAGATTTACCTAACGGTGGCCGTCTTTCTGTCCGTCGTTTCCTCTTATTGGGTATTTCATTTGGTGGATCTGGTGGATATGATACGCTGCACCAAATTGTTCAATCTGCATCTCATGATCTTGACCGCATAGGAAAGTTGAGCTATCGCACACTTGATACTATTCAAGGAAACCAAAGTTGGGATACCAATCTCATCTATGCTATTCTTCATGAGGCCATTTATTGTCAAGCCAATCAATCTAGCCGTTGGTCCGCTGAGCGTTTGATATCTGAAGAACCATTCGCTAGTGATTTCCAATGGCGACTCGACGAATTAAAGGATGATCAACCTGTTTACTTTACCGGAGAGATGATTTATCCATTTATGTTTGATGATTTTGCCGAATTGCGTCCTCTTAAACGTGTTGCTGATTTACTTGCTGAAAAGCGCTGGGGTCAGCTTTACGATACAGATGTATTAAACAAGCTGGAAGGTCCATTAATCGCTGGCGTATCTTACTTTGATGACATGTAAATTTATTTTATTTTTTTAAAAAAACACATTCATTCAATCTAACTGTTATGTACTAGGTATGTCGATAGAGAATTATCAGAACAAACTGCTGGTGAAATGAATGGTTTCCAGCAATGGATTACTAACGAGTTTGCTCACAAGTAAGGATATATAAAAAAAAAAAATATATATATGGGGGTTACTTACCTTTTATCTGTAGTGGTCTTCGTGCTGATCCAGAAAGAGTGTTGAATTATTTGATCAAGCTCGCAAGAGGTGATGAAGGTTACAACCGTTAAAGTAGTAGATGTAACATGAGATAATTTTTATATTAAAAAACGTCACACACGTTTCATTTGGACAAAAATAAACCTGCGGGCTCAACAATGAAAAGTAACCATGTTATTGCGTATTCTAAATGCGTATTTGTTTATGTGATGCTGTATAAAAGAGCGACTTACAAATTGTTGATGAGAATGAGTAATGATTTACCGCTTTTTAAAATTCCTTTCGTTTCCTTTAAAATTAACGCCTCAACACTCTTCAATGATGATTCTGCTCAATACGCTGTTTATCAAGATCAACTCAGACCGAGAAGAGGATATAGACATATTTAACACATGAAGCAAAACGGCAGTTTTATTTCGTCTTGTCTTAATGATACAATAAATAATCGCTACTCCAAAGGTAGTGCTCTGTCAAGGATGACGCACGTTAATCATATTGAGCTTTCTGTTTTCATTACATTGTTTTTTTTTAACCAAAGCTCACATCGCAGGAGTTTAAAAGCGTGGACAAAATAGTATCCAGAAGTGTTAGAAATACGAATGACTTTGTGGAACACACGATGCATGTTTAAACATAATGCCGAGATATGATTGAATTGAGTGTGGTGGGACGACCTCCATTTTGATTATCTTGACATTTAGTGAAAATCTATCCACTGTTATGTGGCCAAATTTAAGCAGTTTATTTATTTTTTTTGTTTGAAAAAAAAAAAAGCAGTAATTCTTCTGCTGTCAAAAAGCGAAACAAATAGTCTAAATAGAGAAGCTGTCATTTCATTGGTACCTTTGAAACAACGGTTTTTTTTTTTTTTTTTTTTTTTTTTTTTTAATGGACTGACCCGAGAAAAAAAATTAAAAAAAATCATCTTTTCTTTCAACTAAAAAAATGTCTTGGGTGGATCGATTAAACGATTATGTTGCTCACTCCCGAGCAGGAAAGTACTTTCAATTAGAAAATTCCGGTCATCGTAGAGAGCGTAAGGGTACAAAGTTTTCTACAGAACTTCGTGCCGGTCTCACTATTTTTTTTGCCATGGTAAAACAAACAGGCCATTTTTGGGAAAATTCGACATTTTATTTATTTTAATTATTTGCAGGCCTACATTATTTCTGTAAATGCCTCTATTATTTCAGAGAGTGGTGGTCCTTGTGTCTGTAATGGCACACCTACTGATCCTACTTGTGACTTAGACGCCGAATACATGGCATGCGTCTATGAAGTTAAACTTGACATGATTATGGCTACTTCCATTTGTGCAATGATCTCTTCTATCTTAATTGGTGTCTTTGCTAACCTTCCTCTTGGTATGGCCCCAGGGTAAGCATATTAAAAATCAATGATTTCACATATCTCAATACTAACTTTTTTTAACTTAGTATGGGTTTGAATGCTTATTTTACGTACACTATTGTTGGTTATCATGGTTCAGGTCAAGTCTCTTATGAAACCGCCTTGGCTGCTGTATTTATGGAAGGTGTCATCTTTTTCATCTTGTCCATGTTTGGTATTCGTCAATGGCTTGCTCGTGTGATTCCTATGAGTATTAAAGTTGCAATGGGTTGTGGTATCGGTCTTTACCTTTGCTTCATTGGGCTTCAATCTTCTGCCGGTATTGGTTTAGTTCGATTGGATTATTCGACGCTAGTCACATTAGGTGGCTGTCCAACGGAAGCTTTGGATGAACATGGCAACTGTCTCTATGGCCATATGACCTCTCCCACCGTTTATATGGGTCTTTTGGGTTTGATGGTCATGTCACTTTTGCTTATGTTCCGTGTTCGTGGTGCAATTTTAATTGCTATTATTGCTATAGCTATTACTTCTTGGCCTCGTAATAGCCCAATCACCTATTTCCCTCATACCGCCACTGGTGATAATATGTTTGACTATTTCAAAAAAGTGGTGACAGTGCATAAAATGCAACATGTACTTGGAAGATTTAATTTCGACTTTAGTACAAAAGAAATCTGGATCGCACTCATCACCTTTCTGTATGTCGACATTTTAGATACCACAGGTACAATGTATTCAATGGCACGTTATGGTGGATTTACTGATAAGGCTGGTGATTTTGAACACTCCACCAAGGCTTTTTTGGCTGATGCCTGTTGTGTTTCGATCGGCTCTTGTTTCGGTAGTTCCTCTTGTACTGCATTTGTTGAATCGGGTGCAGGTATCGCAGAAGGTGGAAGAACAGGTATTACGGCTATCACTGTTGCATTTGGTTTCTTCCTCTCCATTTTCTTCTCTCCCATTTTTGCAAGTTTCCCTCCTTGGGCAACAGGTCCTGCATTGATTATTGTTGGCTCTATGATGACTTCAAGTGTACGTAATATCAATTGGGATTATCCTGGTGATGCTATTCCTTCCTTCATCACTATGGCTGTGATGCCATTCACTTATTCTATCGCCTATGGTGTTATCGGTGGTATTTTTGCCTACATTATCATTAATGGAGTGGTTTTGATTATCGATAAAGCTTCTGGTGGACGTATCCATCCTGATTACTCTCAACGTGAAGACTGGTGGACAGCTGTCATGGGTCGCTCTTTCTTACCCTTGTGGATTCGTTTCTTAATTGCAAAATCACGTGGTCAAGAATTTGACTGGCATCAAGATGAATTTGATGATGACCCCGTTGACGAAGCTGAGCGTTATACCTCCGATGATCATAGCCATACTGTCGTATCAGATATTCATGAAACTCCATCGACTACTGGTATAGAGGATCTCCGTAGAAATGAAAAACATTAGAATTTGTAACTATTCCCTCCCCCTTCCCTCCTCTCATCTGTATATCAACTCAATATTTTTTTTTTTTTTTTTTTTTTTGAAAATTAATCCCCGGGGACTTGCATTAAAAATTAAATAAAATCTTTTCCTTTTTTTTTTCCTTTTATACATCATAAAATGGATTCAGGTGCGGGATACTTAAATGAAGGCCCCATATATGACTTAAAAAGTGAACGGAATGAAGATAGGCACCTTGAGAAGATTGATGAAGCATATATCAAGGTGATCAGAAAATTTCGAAAGAGGTAAAAGAAATAAAAAACAACATTGTCAACTGTGATTGAAACCGAAAAAAAAAATTAGGGCAGAATTACAAGGAGGATACAAAAGCTTACCCGAACTATGGCTAGATTTCGCGCCAATAATTTTGAAAACAATCCATTTGAAGTCGTCACCTGTACAACGATTGTTAACCTATACGGGTGATTTTCACGAATTTTGTGATGCATTTAAAGAGGACACGGATCTTCATGAGTATAAGGAGTATTTCGAAGCCATGGACTTCGCTTGGTGTACCATTCTTGCCCACAGTAATGTTAGTGCAACAGATAGAGTACGTATTATCAATGTATTAAGAGACGGTCAAGACAGAGCCTCAAAACTGGGCCTACAAGAAGTCTATGCACACGCAACAGATAAAGCTGACGATGATGAAGATTGAGCTGGGTCATTCGGAGTTGAATTGGTTTCAATGCCACAAAAATAAAAACTTTTTTTTAACGGCACTGCAAGGGTTTGTTGTGCGTGCGCAATGATCTTCTTACACAAGATTTTTACTTGTAAATATTTACAATGGTAAATTAACCATTTGATTACGTTATGCTGTATTCGATATTATCATGGGCCACTCCTAATGTAAAATGCTCGTCCATAAGAGCCCTACATCAACTGACTCAAATTATTATTGTTTCCTTAGAATGAAGTGACCAATAATATAGCATTATTTTAAAGTGCTCGTGTGTCAGGAAAAGAAGGATAGTTTACTGTTGTAACACATCAAATATTGCAAAAGAAAAAGAGGCGAGATCTCTTCGACTCCGATAAAATTGAAAATTGCTGAATTAGGGTTAGAGAGAGAGTATTTTTGAACAAATAAGGACCCAGTTCTTAAAATCTTGTATAAACCGCGTTTGGATTTTGACAATGTTAACCAGTTGCTCTAAAATTAGAAGCAAAAAAAAACAGGTAATTGGTATTACTATTATTATTGTCGGATCACCGCTATTTGTTATTAGAGAAAAAAAAGTATAATGAAAGCACTTGGGTAATTAGGTTATAAATAAAAAAAGGCCCAATTTATTTTAGTTTCGAGATTTTTTGTATAACATTTGAAGGTCCTTCATTCTATATAAATGGGGTACCTTTTTTTAAACAAGCTTTTTTCTTCTTTTACCTTTTTTTATCATCCCTTAAAATGAAGTTCTCTATCACAGCCATTTCAGCACTTGTTTTAGCTACTGCTGTTTCATACACCACTGCTGATTCTTACTCTGATGCTATGAAGTCTTGGTGTGGTGGTAATATATAGTTGTCAAATGTTTTGTTTTAAACAAATATTAATCTTTCTTTTTTTTTGCACAAAAAAAAAAAGGTCTTGCTGTCACTGCCCCTAAAACTTCTACTGTTGTTGTTGCTGGTGCAAAGACCAAGATTACAGTTAGTAAGTGCGATTTCAACAAATTTTAACACATTGAAGAAAAAATTTAACACCAATAATAGCTAGAAAGGCTGACAAACGTACAAAGACAATTACTGGCCTCGATGTAATGTAGCACAATCTTAAAATAGCTTTTTCTTCTTTTTTACTGACGACATTTTTTAGTTGTACTCTGTATCAAAAGATGGTAAAGCCAAATATGTTCAGAATGTCTGGACTGGTAACTACGCTTTAAAGACATCTGCTACCATCACTGATGCTGTTCCCAAGAACGTTGCCGCTGGTCTTTACTATTATCGGTAAAGTAGATTTATTCAAGTCGTCTGGTTATACCTGTGTAAATTAATTTATTTTTTCTATTAGTGTCTGGATTACCAATTTGGTTGATGGCCAACATGGCCCCGATTGTATTGAAACTTCTAGCACTTTCAAGGTCACCACTGGAAGCCACACTAATGCAGTTGGTGAACTTGAATATGCTGAATCCCTTCATGATAACAGCATTTATAACGAAGAGTTCCAAGCTGGTTGTTTCGGCTTATCTGTTGACTATCCTAAACAAGGCGACACATTCAAGACTAACCAACATATCCGTATCCAAGCCAACCGTGACAGTTCTTCTCAAACCGATGCATTAACCAAGGTTGAACTTTATAAGGGTGACGAATTAGTCAACGTTGCTTGGTCCGGCAGTGAATCATTCCAAAATACTTTCACCTTGAAGGATCATTTAGTCTTGAACGATATTGATACCTCTGCTGATTATCATTACAAGATCCATGCCACTTCAAACAAGGCTGATAAGACTTGTGTCTTCAATTCAAAGAGCTTCAAGATTTCCAACTAAATTTTTTTTTTCTCTTAAAAAACTTTTTATTATTCCCCTTTTCTAAAAATAAAAATATCTAAGTAAAATTGTTTTTATATCTCTCCTGTGCTAGTCTCCATTGTTTCTCTTTTTTTGATTCATTAGTTGGTGTTTGCGGTGTAGACTGAATACCTAAACCGGCTCGACTGTTTCTACTAGATGGACGCACAGGTTCTAATATACCATCGCCATGTTTGCCTAAACTTTGGCCTTGTTGCCAACCCAGTTTTTGTAGCATTTTGTTACCAATGCCTCCGACGGGTGTATGATAGGACGTTAGTGGCGGTTTTGGTACTTGCGCAATCATATCTGGCTCTTCCGGTTGAACAAATTTTTCAGGTTTAGTATGCTTTCGTCTAATTTTTGCTCGATCAACATAATTATTTTCGTGTTCAGTTGTGGGTGTATAGAGCTTCTTTGCATTTTTTATCCACTCTCTTCTACTTTCTTCTAAATCAACATGAATTTGTTGACTTTGCTTCTTTTCTTTCTTCCCAGTTGTGGTTTCGATAAAGTCACTTGCTAAACAGTCTTGACAGGGCCAGCCCATGTCATGTATATGCACTTGTAAAGATGTCGATCCAATCCGCACAATATCTAAATGCCTTAATTCATAAGGTAAACTTGCCTGTTTTGACTCGGATAACCTTTTTTCGTTAACAAAGGTACCATGTTGTGAACCATTGTCAATCATGTAGAATAATTTCTCTTTCTTGTCGAGGTATATCATGGCGTGATACTTACTGACAATCATTTCTGGTAGACGAAGACGGCTATCCCAAGACCGATCTCGGCCAATGGTTAGCCCATTTTCATCCACAAGCGCAACCTTTCCTGATTCGAAATGGGGAGAAGACTGTATTACAAGACGTATAGAATGGGTGCCTTGGGGATGACCAAGCCAATATTCGTCTGTCAAAGGAATATATGATTGTGTAGTCTCATCGTAAAATGAATATTCTTTGGTAACTGTATCAAGCCAAGCTTGTGTCTGCGAATCGTAGATATAACGTTGTGGATAAATCTGATTATAATCGCCATTGATCCAAGCCTCGTCCCGTTGATACATAACAAGCTGCTTTTCATGAATCACATAAACACCTGTTTTTTCATCAAATGTCCATTCATTTTGATATTCTACCGTCTTCGACGTTTTAAGATAGTTGTCTAATTCAGAACCAAAGTCTTGATCATTAGGCATGTTTACATTAGGAGAAAAGCAAAACAAAAACTGGGCAAGCCTAATTTTTATTTGAAGTGGCGAAAATTTGTTACTGTATGCAGCACACGATTTGAGATAAATGTTACAAATAAGGAAGAAGGGATCCCGAAATACAAATTGACAGAACTCTGTCTGTTACGGCGATTTCTCTGATAAAAGCTGAAGGCCTACCTTTGCCATTCCCAAATAGAGAAAAAGATGAAAAGCATATTTTTGGATGCATTAGTGCCTCCTCTACGCATGCCTCAATCTCTGCAAATGCTGATACCATAGAAAGATTCAGTTTCGAAAGCCCAGTACTGTGGAGCGGCTCTTCTGGCATCAGTTTTAAACCTAAAATATTTCTGGTCATTTTATCACGAGTATATTATGACTTTATATAAACTACCCCTTCTTTCTTGCAGTTTATATATCCTATTACATGGCTCCTCTTTTTGGGCCTACATAAAACTAACGTTGCTTTCCCTATTTATTTTAATCCCAAGCCCATCACCATAGTGGCTGATAGCAGCAGTAAAAGACATTTATTGACTTATTTTATCAGTCTTCTAACGTAAATGTAATACTCGATGTCTGTAAGACAATAACTTCAATGAAATGTAAGATCATCCCTTATTTAACACATTTAAGTTGCTCTAGTATTTATATCATTTGGTAGTCTAAGTTATAAATGTCCCATATCATATAGTTGAGACATTAGCATAATGACCGGCTAGATATGATAGATGAGATCTTGATCTGATAGCCAGACAGAGATATGATACTTGAGACCTTGATACCATGGCTGAACTGGTATGTGATACACCAGTAACTTATCATTGGAAGTGTTTTCTCTTTCTAAATAAGGCTCTATTCTTTTATGTAGAAAGAGTTGATCTAGACGTACTAAGGTCGGTACCAACAGCAGTAGCTGCACTTGATTCTACTTGACAATATGGTATGCTAAACTCTATGTATCACCAACAGCTTTTTGCTTCTTTTCAGATAAAAGAAACTGTTAATACTGTTTAGGGATGTAAAAAAACAATTTATAGAAAAAGGTAATTGGATAAATATGTGTTATATGGATACAACAAGTTTTCATATTTATAACAAAAAGAATGCCGTTAACTTCATAATGAATTATTTTATACTTTCGTCTCTATTTGTTAAATTTGTATTACAAGTTTAGTTTTAGGTTATTAATAGCATTTACTAGTACCTATATTGTCTATGCCCTTGTAAGCCAGATAAGAACATGGCCAAGTAAAATAAAGCAGAAGGGGTAGTGTCGTTCGTAAAAATTGGACAATAGACATTTAGTACTTCAATGCTGTTGAGGAAATCATAGATACAATAATAAAATTAGCTATTACATCCCATTAAGGATGGATAATAGTATAAAAGCTAATCATGAACCACGCATCACCCTCCTTGTTTTCATCATGCTGTTAAAGTCTGTACACAGGGCACAACTCTGTGGCGAGTAAATATTTATTCTGCAAAACGCAATACTATCAAATAAGCCTGGACTATAGAATATTAATAGATCTCGAGCATAAATATTACTCTTGCCGTTTGATGTTTTTTATAATTGTTGATCCCTCTGACTAATATTTATGTATATACTCAGTATGAAAGGCTAAAGTTAAAGACATGTTTATTATTTACAACCACCAGGTTATTACATCATGACCCAAAAATACGCTGAATATATTCCCTAGAACTATTTAGTTCTTCATATAAATATTTATAGTTTTTCTCTTAGACCAGGAGAGCGTTTTTTAATCATTATTTTTTTCGTCCAAACTAAAATGGTATCCTAGTTCTAACAGTATCATTTTGGTTTTACTTTAATTTTGTTCTCCATGCAAAACAAATGCAATAGTTGGCCAGTTGCATGTTTTGACATTGCTCATTTCTGTATACATTTTTGCCTATTTAAAAGAACAATTAACTCAAAAAGTACTTGCATAATAAATCGCGGATCACTTTCGAATCGAAACTATAAGCAATAAGTTATCTGGACCTCTTGGATCATAACCCAACATTACGACTACGCGTACCCTGGCTGTCCATAAAAAAAATGTATGGCTGCCCTTTAAAGACCAGTGTTAGACTATCACCTAAGGTATAGAAATGGATTTTAATCGAAAATTATAGGCAAGGAAATGTTTAAAGAACAGTGATTTTTGTGATCAGTAGAATGCGTAGGACATGACATCTGGCCAATCAAAAACGTTACGTATTATGTAATAACACGTGTTTATCACGTGATTTGTACGTTTTTTATTTCTTTATAACAGTGCTAAAATATTTATTACCATCAAAAGGCGCTCTTGGTTTAGTGGTAGAATTTCACCCTTCCAAGGTGAAGGCCGGGGTTCGATTCCCCGAGGGCGCACATCTTTTTGCACTCCGGCCGAATAACGCGAGACGTTTGTGGAGTCTCGCACATTTTCTTTATAATGTAAAACATGTATATGATTAACGCTACCTTATTTTTGTGATAGTACCTCAATACACTCGATATAGATTAATCGCTTAATATGTGTAATCCAAAGAAACACAACAAGATAATAGTTTGTTCATAATTAGAATTTAGAAAGTATGTACTACACGTATGACTAAGACTGTGCAATATTTTTTTTTAAAAAAATTGGTTTTAAAACTTCACGGCAAATGGCCATATTTAATAAAAGTTTAATGGAATTACTTAACCCCTTTAAGCTTTCAAATAAAAGCGGAAAGATTTCTAAAAGATATCTATAGCCTGGCCAGATTTTAGTATCCAGGTACAACGTAAACACTGCATTTTAAATATCAGCCTTTATTAAATCATCATAAAATACAATATGAGGTTGGAAGATGTGAGCATAAATTTTATAATACCACTGCTCAATCAGCTACTTATTTTAGGATTGAACTGTCTTATAGATCAACTAAACTTTAATTTAAGATATGTCTCTCAGAGAGTCAGCTTTATCTTGGAACCGCCCCCCCCCCCTTTTTTTTTTGTTAAGAAAGTCTTAGAGAAATATAATCTCCAATCAAACAAGTAATAAACCGGCCATTTTATGCTCCGTAGATGTATAAAATAATATTCTTGCTTCTACACGTGCCAGCATGAAAAAAATCAGTATTTTACGTCATAAATACAGTATAATGCCGTAATAAAGTGGTATCTTTTGAACTAATTAAGTAGAAAATAGATTTCTGAACATTACCCAGAAATTACAAACGCCCGGAGTTTCAATAACAGTATAAATAAGCAGACATTCTCACAATTCTGTCTTTCTTTCTGATGCATTTGAAAACGTTATATAGACGTAGAAATGAATACACTTTTCCATTCAAAAGACGATAACCCAAATTACGTTGTTGTATCTATAGCTTTAGTACAATCAGAATTGTTCTGGATGTGCTCCGTCATTTTCTGTTTGCTTCGAGAATCCAAGTTACTTAATGAACGTCCAAAAACCTCGACAGCAAGAAATAGGGCTTACTCAGAATCGGGCACTTCCTCTAGTCAATCAAAAAAGAGCGGTCATATCAGAATAGACAATTGTATTTTACTAAACGAACATGACGAAACCAGTAAACTTAGACGCCGGCTAAGTCTACCAAATGAGGTTGTTGAATTTAGGCTTAGACCATCAGCAGAGGACGAGCTTGTTGGCAATACATGCCCTCCGTTGTGGTGGCAAAAAACTCGAGTGAAGTTGGGACATGCAGCTGTTCACGGTGACTCTAACTATACTAAATCAGCTAGTAGTACATTAAGATCATCTGCCTCCATATCGTCAATTGAATCATTACCAATAAGTGATCTTTCAAGTCCATGTGGTGCATCCCTAAGATCATCTACTGTATTTACTTCTGTAAACGATAACAATTACGCTATCTCTTTAGCGCCAGTCTCGACAAGGAAATCAATACAATCTTGTTCTTCAGCAGAGAGTGCATCATTAAATGAAAAACAATCGACCAAGAGGAAACTAATGTCTAAACTAAACACCGCTTTACTTTCACATTATAATCGTAGAAAGCAGTCAATAGACCCTAAATCAATATAAGATGTAAAATAAAACTCTGTACAGTACATACAAGTCGTTTCATATAGCGGATTTTAAATAAAAACTTAATATATACATAAATATCTTTTGGAGGATACATATACTTCGCGAAATGATTAATAAATAATGGGCCACTTATTTCCTCAAATACGGGCGACAGATATAGCGAAATGCATGTCTTCTGTCAAAATTAAACTGACTGAATTTTGCGAAAGAAGTGTTGCATTACAAAACAGAAAATTAAAAAGGTAAAGGAGTTGACTGTTGTTACAAAAGACTGATCCTGTGACTGAAAGAGCTTCAAAAAACAAATCAGATATTTTTTTTAAGAGATGATAAAAGGGATCATTTAATTTTCTACTTAAAATCGTGTATTAGTCATGTAAAACTTCAAGCGAATACTTGGATTTGTTTTTTTTTCCTAATAATTGTAGCTATTCAGGCCCACTTTAAAATCGTATAACATTTATGAATTTTTTTTTTTTGAAAGGTTTGAATAAGTTAGTGTCATAAATAAAGACGAATATAAACAAAAATGTAGAAATGATATTGAAACAAATTATGTGTAAAGTTATAGATTTAAGTTATTAAAGATCATCAGTCATGGCCTTTGGGCCTTCATAGTGCGCTTTTCCCCAACCTATCCAAAATGTTACAGTGGCTGTAATTACTACAATCAATCCCAAGCCGGCATAATTAAAAGTGTTTGCTATTTTTTTGGTTTTTAGTACAGATTTTATACTATTGTTATTCCCTTGTATACCTGTGATCGGCCAAGAAGTGGGTAAAATAAACGCAAGCATAGCAAACACAGCCCAGAAAAAACCAATAAAATTAATTGCCCTACTCCATCTCCCTAAACTGAATCGGCCCCTTTTTTTATCAGGCGCAATCAAGCGACATCCCAAGACCATTGCTTGAAATAAAAAAAAAGTTAACAGGAAAGTCGTTTTTCTTATTTTATGACATCATACCATAACTAAAATGAACTGTAATTGTTGTTGCGCTTACAATGGTTTCAAACAAGTGTTCTGAAAGTGGAAATGGCAGAATTACCATACAAGTCATTGCTACTGTGAACCAAACTGCATTTCCAGGTAATTGATGAGAATTTATTTTTTTCAATTGATTACTCATTGGGGTGGCATGGTCTCTTGCTAAAGCATATATCTGTCTTGAAGTCACAGTAATTGTTGTAGCACCAGTGCAAAATTGACAAACAACAATAAGGATTAGAAATCCCATAGTTCCCCATATGCCAATTGCATCCTGCATTATATTAATTTTTTTCTACTCGATGTATTAATTTATAAAAGCTTACGTAAAACAGCTGTGCTACAGGCATATGTAGTGTAGAGTTCAATACAGATTCAATATCTCGGATGGAAAACAAAAGAACAATCAAGAAAGCAAGCCCAACAACCCAAGAAACAGCAATAGAGCATACCATAGCTCTACACATATCCTGTTAGTTGTCCCCCTTTTTTTTTTTTTTTTTTTTTTTTTGATGCCAGAAGTATAGCTTACATTGGGGACGAAATATCAGCATCCTTCGTCTCTTCATTAACAGATGCCGCACATTCACAGCCTTTAAAAACCCATTATTAGTATCAAAGCTTATCTCCTTTTTTGGAAATGTTACTTACCGAATAATGAATAAGCTGCACCAATCATTCCTAAAACTAATACGTAACCAGGATTTTCGAAACCAGTCTGATTCTGATAGTGGGTGAATACCCAACTAGCACTTCGATGCGGTGCGAGTGCAGATAAAGCTGTGATAATGACCAAAAGACCAGTGCATGACCAAAATACACTCCACTGATTTAAAATAGCCAGCCCACCCATGTCACGCATATTCAGGTAACCATGTAATATTGTTATGGATATTGTAATGAGCATTAAATATGTTTTGGAGACATCAATATCAAATGCCAGTTTTAAAATGGATCCAATAGACAAAGCTAAACGTACAAAATTAATTTACCGGCAACTGGAGATGCTGTTCAAATGTGTACTTTTTTACCTACTGTCACGTTGGTTGCACCAATCGATATAACATTCGCTAACGAATAGGTCCAACCAGTAATAAACGCCCTATCAAATAAAAAAAGAATATGTCACATTTCACGTTGTGATCTGCCTAATAGTTGAAACTTACGCAATCGGCGCCTTTGATTTTCCACTAGGATGACGACTCAGCAACTCATAAACCCAATAATAAAGACCTCCGCTAGTTGGATACAAGGAGCATATTTCGGCTAGCGAGAGCGCTATACACATCATAAAAACTGCTACGATATTCCAGCTTAGAAGCATCGTCACAGGTCCACCTCGTTGCAGTACTGGTTTATATAGAAATAGGTTTAATTTTTGGTCGTACAGTATCGGCCACACATGATTTACCGGTTTGAAATGTAGCAGATGTGTTTGATAGTATACCAATATTCGAGAATGCAAGACCTATTACACAGTTATAAATTAAAGTAATAATAAAAATGTCAATTTCATATATACCAAATGTTGCAAATGTGGATAATCTTCTTTGTAACTCCTATTTTATTGAGACATTTAAAAGATATGAAACAGTAGATTTTCATTCGGTGATTACCTGCTTATAACCTAGTTGATTTAGCCTTTCTTGTCCCGGATCGATACCAGAAGATAATGGTTTTGTATTTGATGCGAGAGTTCCATAGTCAGATTTTTTATTAATGGATATCTTTTGTTCGTCAGTCATTTGATTAAAAAAAAAGAGAGAGAAAAAAAAAAGGAAAATATGGTTGTGTCGCGTTTTTATTGTATTTAAAGGGTGGGAATAAGAAGGAAAAAAAAAATTACTACTTTTGTCCTTTACCCTGCTTAATCAACCACTGAAGAGTGACATCTATATTGATATGGTTTTTAGCAGAGATTGAATAGCAGGAAACTTCTCGATTGGTGATGGATTTTAATTGTCTATCAAGATTTTTTTTAGTTATCTATCTATATTTGTGTGTACATATATTTAGTCTTACAATATATCTACTAACTGTTCAGAAGTTAACGCCCCTTCTAAATCGTTCTTATTGCCAAGTATGAGTACTGGAATATGAATAAGCTGGGGTCTTTCCAGTAATCCCTTAAGTTCTACTTTTGCAGCTTCTAATTTATCATGATCTGCGGCATCCACGACGAACCTGTAACACAATTCATACGTTATTATGTAAACATTTATTTGTTTACATTCTATACTTTACACAATTGCATTTACTCCTCGACAGTATCTTTCCCACATACTTCTGAAACGTGGTTGTCCACCAATGTCCCATAATTTCATGGTCACATTACCCTTTGTTACTTTTCTCATATTAAATCCAACAGTCGGAATCGAATCTTCGACAAATTGCCCTGACTATTGTTGCTATTAGTCCTTGTTTTACTTTGTTTTTATTATTAAATACTTACTGCTATAACGTTTACGAGTGTAGTCTTTCCACTATTTTGTAAACCTACTAGGGTTAGTTCCATTTCGGTCTAAGCAAAGAGTTATTTCAAGCCACTTTTTTTCTAAAAATTTCTGTTTGTTTTACTTTAAAAAATAAGCCTTTCAACCATTCTAAAATTGATTGCAAGATCTGCGACATTATGAATTGAGAAATGAGGAAATTTTATTATACAAAAAATAAATAAAAAAGAAAAAGAAGTACCAAAAAAATAGATGCACCATTTGCTCATCAAAGTTCCACAATTAGAGATACCTGTACCACGTATTTTGGAGACAGAAATACATCGAATGACCCCTCTTTTTTTGAGTGAACATTTTTAAACTCGCCCACTACAGTAAAGAGCTAATCCTTTCATTGTGGGGCGTTGTCTTAAATTCTTTTACTATTTTTCTGAACTTTATAACGATAGAGTAAGTAATGATCGATTACGGAGGAAGCGTTCTTAAAAATACAGTAGGATTTCGTGCTCAAAAGTATGAGTTCGTAAATGTCAAATGAACTCAATCCAGCCTTTGAAAGACTTTCCTTGGTCGGTAGTCAGATATGTATTGTAATCCTCATCGGATTTTATTGAACAAAGACTGTGTAAGTACATTATTTTGCCAACCATGTTGAAAGACCTTTTGGTGAGACGTTATTCGAAATCTTATTTCTGATATGATACCTACAAAGAACAAACAAGTGATATCTATGATGTCTTTAGTTATTATATAGTCACAATAGCTCTTAAAATTAGAACTTGCATGCTATATCATTTCTCTCCATTTATAAAAAATCGCATTTTGATAAGCAGAAAATGTTAAATTGATTTGTTTTAAAGTGTAACAATCCCACAGCAACCAATGACTGACTCTAGAATGTACCCACCAATCAAATGGGAACAACCCTTTAATTTTTTCAGAATACAAAATAGCCATTTGTGCTTTTTTTTTTATTTTTCATCTCTTTATTAATCTCCAATACATATTCAAATGAGTGCCTCTGATATCAAAGAAACCGCACAACAAGTTGTTGAAGGACCTAAGCAATTTTTCAAGGAGGGTTTCCAATTTATTAATCGTTGTAAGAAGCCTGATCAACAAGGTAAATATTTAGACAGGTTCATGGGATGACAAAAATAGGGAATAGCATTTAATAAGGTCCATTTTGCGCACATAGAATTCCTCAAGATTACTCAAGCCGTTGCTATGGGATTTGCTGCTCTTGGTGCTCTCGGTTATATGGTTAAGGTAAAAGCATGGACAAGTGATGAATATTGAACGATGACGGATTAAGTATTGATCATCATCTTAATCATCACGCGCTGATTATGTTGAAGACAAAATTACTAACTATTAACGCGTCTATAGCTCATTCATATTCCCATCAACAATATTCTTGTCGGCGCTGCCTAAATACATTTAATTGATATCTGTATATAGAACCTCACATCATCCAAATTAATCCTTCCAATCAATTCTACAAAGACGTTTGGTACTCCTTTTTTTTGTTTAAATATCAAAACAATTATAATAATAATAAAAAAAAAAAATAAGCATACCATTAAGTACGGGTTTATGGAGATTATGTCAGCTCATCCAATTAAAGAACGAACACGTTCTTTGGTCAATATAATTTTTTTCCAAGCATATTATGCGCTAAAATACTTTATTTAAATGGCAGTTTCTATTTGTATTGAGCACATCCACCTTCTGAACAGAATACACCAGCTGTATCAGTGAAATCATAGCATGCATCATTGATTAGGTCAGTACAAGGCGTGAAGTCAAGATTATCACACACCACTCCGGCAGACGTATTAGAGCAGACAATACCACCAGCTAGTTTAAATATATCACATTTGTTTAGGCTATCAGTACTACAGTCTCCAATTCGATTAGCAATATCCCGAGCAGATTTGAGTTCTTCAATCTCTTGATCAGTAAGTTTAGGCTCTGGTTGGTGGGGGTAATTTATGTGATCCTCTGATGGCTCCAAAATTGACTCTATAATAGGTGCCTCCATGATAAGACCGGAAGTCGCACTTGGGATAGGTATAATTTTAGGAGCATCTATGAGCTGAGGCGACGCAAAGGTTAACGGAACCGGATATATATTATTGGGTTTTACAAAACTTGGTAATTTAAGCGATACAATAGGTAGGTGTCCCATTAATTTTGCTTTAGGAACGCCTTCTTCTTTGTTTAGTAACTTTATTACTGATGAAGATACTGGGACAGTGTCATATATCAGATTACATTCAGTTACTACGATGGTAGAAATCGCAAAGATTATGGCACAATAAGATGAGAATCTCATAAAGAAGGACGAATATTTCCCCTAAACATTTTCTCAGACTTTGTCAATTTTAAATACGTAAATTATCGGAATGTGTCTGCGTGTATTCTTATTTAATTTAACAATGAACCAAAAGGTAGCCCAAATTAAAGAACTTACATAACCTTCCCGTGAAAAATGCGCTTCGTAAAAGCCATGCTTATCCCAGTAACTAAATGACAAAATCGCTATTAAGAACATTATAATTGTGGTATAATAAGCGGGGGTTGAGACTCATTATCGTCAGAGGCACTGCGCCGATTTGACTTACAAACAGAGGTTAGAACAGTTAATTTCATATTTAAGGATGCGTTTATTAGCACAACCACTTATGAATCTTGCATAAAGAGAATTGGAGTAACGTTTAAATATTGAAAAAAAAAAAACAATTTAATCTATAATTTGCTTTGGGCGGGTATTAATTTACTACGCTTATCTTGCTCTCTCTTAGATAAGCGAAGAATTCCTTCTTGGGCAGTAGTTGCGACCAGCACGCCATCTCTACTATAAATTCTGCCAAACACAACGCCACGACCACCATTTGTGCGAGGACTGTGCATATCATATAATAACCTAATTACAAATGTTGGCATCAAAAACCTTATTTCTGAATCAAAAACTTACCAATCATCGGCTTTAGCGGGTGCGTGGAACCACATAGAGTGATCCAAACTGGCCAGCATTCCAATTCCTCTAGCAGGAACATCATTTGCTTTGGCTGCAGTTCCTACAAAGCCACTGTCTGATGCATATGCGATCACACAAGCATGTAGTCTCTTATCGGACCCAAGCTGACCTCTGGTTTTAAACCAACGACGCTAAAAACGATACAGGATCAATATGTTTCCACACGACAAATAACTTTACTTACAGCGACAAACGTTGGTTGTGGGATTTCAATTTCGCGATAGTCGACGGGAGAGCTTTCCTCAATGCGAAGCCTGAGATATTCGCGGTATTTAGGTGGTAAGTCATTCTGGTCTAATGCTTTTTGTGTCAATTCTACATCACTAATACGCATTGTCTATTTTAGAAAGCAGTTCAAATCAGTGTATCATGAATACTTACGATGGAAGTGATTCTGGAGCAGGAGCTTCGGGCATTTCAGTTTGATGGTTCAATTGCTCACTGGTATCGAATTTTGTGAAACTAAAACTGCATACGAAGATGGGTTTACCTCTTTGGGAGGCAGTTACAACTCTGGTAGCAAAAGATCTTCCATCTCGAAGACGCTGTACTTGATAAATCACTGGTACTTCAACATTGCCAGGTAAAATAAAATAACTATGGAGCGACTGAACATAATTTTTAAAATCTGGATGTCTGCCTAGTATATAAACCTCTTACATGTATATCCATCTCGTCAGTAACTGTATGAAAGGCGGCCCTTAAAGCTTGAGCTACGATCTAATGACTGTTAAATTGGTAATTAAGCTTATTTATGGGTATGTTTTTTTTACCTGTCCACCAAAAGCACCACGCGCACCAGCCGGTAACCAGAGCTCCTTACTCATGTACAAGTTCACATCCACTTCTTGTACTTCGACCGCGTTTGCCATTCGGGCTCCAAAGTCTTCGTCGTTCTCATCGCCATACTTGGCGGTAATAACGGGGGTTGAGTTTTTTTTATCTGCAAACGAGATAACGGCGGGAAAAGTTGAATTGGGCATAAAAACAAGTTTTTAAAGAAATAGCAGTGATTGTAAAAACTAAAAAAATATGCTTCATTATATTTAATTTTTGCTTCACACAGTCACAGTGTGTGCATCAATTTATAATGACTAAAGCCAAAAAGCACGGTCATTGGAATCACCCTTTTTAATACATAACGAATTACAAATTTAAAATGGAAAATGAGTTTAGCCATTTAAACAGGAAAGAGTGCACTTATTTACGCGGAGACTAAATTGATTTCTATTGAAACATTACCATGCAACTGATGTGGTTGGAAAAGACTATGACTGGAATATGTATATAAACAGAAAGAGAACCATTAATGTCAAAATTGAAATATTTATCGAAACATAAATTTAAGTAATGACATCTGTCTTGGACCAAATCAAGGATTTTACGACTGTTGTCGCCGACTCCCGGTGACTTTGAAAGTATGCTTCATGGAGCCTAAAAGTTTTAAAAATAAAAATTCTGACTTTTCTTTCTGTTGCAGCCATTGTACAGTACAAACCTCAAGATGCAACCACAAATCCATTATTGATTTTAGCTGTATCCCAAAATCCAAGTATGCCAAGCCTATCGATGACGCAATTAGCTACGCTAAAAGCAAGAGTAGGTAATTATTCAATCACTATTTCTCAACTTATCCTCACTAATTGTCCATTAGTGATTTGGAAAAGCAACTCGATTAGGCAGTTGATAAGCTTCTAATTAATTTCGACAAAGAAATACTGAATATAGTTCCAGGTAGGGTTTCAACAGAGGTTGATGCGCGTTTATCGTTTGATACACAAGGAAGTATTGATAAGGCTGTGCGTTTAATCGGGCTTTACAAAGAAGCGGGTATTGACAAAGACCGCATTTTAATCAAGATTGCATCCACTTTTGAGGGTATTCACGCAGCCCACAAACTTGAAACAAAGCTGGTATCCACTGCAACTTAACTTTATTATTTGGGTTTCCTCAAGCAGTTGCGTACGCCGAGGCAAGTGTTACTTTAATTTCCCCATTCGTAGGGCGTATCATGGATTGGCACAAGGCTCATACTGGCCAAGACTATTCAGGCTCTGATGATCCTGGCGTGATTTCTGTTACCAAAATATATAATTATTACAAGCAGTACGATTATAAAACTATTGTTATGGGTGCATCATTCCGGAACACAGACGAATACGAACAGCTGGCTGGCTGTGATTTTTAAACAATTGCGCCCAAATTGTTAAGTGAATTTCAAATGGACAAAAAGAAATTGGAGCGTAAATCAACACTTCAGGGTGGAAAAAAGGTGGAGAAGGTTTCCTATCTCAATAACGGGAAACTTTTCCGATAGGATATGAATGAAGATGCGATGGTTACTGAAAATTTATCTGAAGGCATTCGTAACTTCGCAAAAGCTGAAGGACGTTTTGAAAGCAAAACTAAAGTAAAACAATAACACAAAGTGTAACACAATCAATTAATGTATAAAATTTTACTTGATCCGCTAATAAGCTTGGCTTTTTAATGCTGTTGAATAACCGATTGGTCGTGAGCGCGGCTTTCAATTATTTATAAAAATACAAATTTGGCGGATATGAGGCTTATCCAAATGCATTTTAGAAATTACAAACAACGATTGCATTAAAAGCGTGTGGCTAATTTTTATTTCATTTTTTTTTTTTAGAAATGGGGTAGGACAAACAGGTATTATATATAAATTGAAATGCTGATTGATTGGTTAATAAAAGCACTAAGTCCGTTTTTAATGAAAGGGGGGAAATAGAAAATACCCTAAACCCAGCCCCAAGATGGTGATACCAAAAGAAATGAGTCTTATTTATATAATTAAACCAATCTTCCTTTTCTTTCTTTCTTTTTCACTTTTTTTAGACCAGAAAATAAATCAGGAATATGTATCAACCTCCACCAGGTCAAAAGTCGGAACACGACCAATTCCCACTTCAAGATACTCAGTTTTCTCATCAACCAGCTGTAACTCGTTCACCTTTTGATGATGACAACTACCCAGCAGATCAACATATGCCACAGTACGATCATCAACCTCTCTTAGATTCTGGGGTTGGGCCAAACCTCCCATACCCACCCGTTAATAACAGTTATCCTCCCTCCAGCCCCGGAGCTTCACCCTATCCTCAGTATAACTCAAACTCTCCCGTTGGTGGTCCCCCCACTTATTTCACACCACCTTCACCAAACATGCATTACGGTGAAGCCCCTAGACGTCAACCTCGTCGTTATAAGACCAGTAAGTCTTTTATGGGAGAAAATTCATATGGATATATTTTGTACTAACACTAATTTATTATTTTTAAGCTCGACAAGTTAAGTTGACAAAAGGTAATTTGGTTTTGGATTGTCCTGTTCCCACCAGTTATCTGAAGGATGTACCATTGAAGGAAGGAAAAGAGTTCACTCACATGCGTTATACTGCCGCTACGTGTGATCCCAAAGATTTCGTTGGAGAAGGTTACACTCTTCGTCAACAAATGCTTGGCCGTAAAACTGAATTATTTATCGTCTTGACTATGTATAACGTAAGTAGACACACAAAAGGATTAAATCGGGTATGACTCTAAACATAAACACACTTATCAGGAAGATGAAGTTTTATTTGCACGTACTATGCATGGTGTAATGAAAAATATTGCTCATCTTTGCTCCCGTGATCGTTCCAGTACTTGGGGTCCTGCCTCTGGTGGACCAGGATGGCATAAAGTTACTGTTTGTATCGTTTCGGATGGTCGTAACAAGGTCAATCCTCGTACATTGTCATTATTAGCATTATTAGGTGTCTACCAAGAAGGTGTCGCCAAAAATGTTGTGCATGGTAAACCTGTTACGGCTCATATTTACGAATATACCACACAAATTTCTGTCGATCCTGACATGGAAGTGAAAAAGGCCGGTTCAAAGAATGTCGTACCTTGTCAGCTTTTATTCTGTTTAAAGGAAAAGAATCAGAAGAAAATTAACTCTCACCGTTGGTTTTTCCAAGCATTTGGTCCTGTCGTGAATCCTCATATTTGTGTATTGATTGATGTTGGTACCAGACCAGGTGGTACATCTATTTATCATCTTTGGAAAGCTTTTGATATCAATTCCAACATTGCCGGTGCTTGTGGTGAAATTCGTGCTATGGCTGGTACTGCCGGTGTTGCTCTTTTAAACCCTTTAGTCGCTGCTCAAAATTTTGAATACAAAATGTCCAATATTTTGGATAAGCCTCTCGAATCCGTCTTCGGTTATATTTCTGTTTTACCTGGTGCATTTTCAGCCTATCGTTTCCAAGCCCTTCAAAATGATGTTGATGGTCATGGTCCTCTTGAAAAATATTTCTTGGGTGAAACTCAGCACGGTGGTGACGCTGATATCTTTACAGCAAATATGTATTTAGCTGAAGATCGTATCTTATGTTATGAGCTGGTGGCTAAGAAAAAAGCACATTGGGTTTTACATTATGTGTCTAGTTCGTACGGTGAAACTGATGTTCCTGATAAAGTCGATGAATTTATTTCTCAACGTAGACGTTGGTTAAATGGTAAATGACATGTCTATTCATTAGAGAAACTGAATACTAATAGTAATTTAGGCTCTTTCTTTGCTGGTATTTATGCGCTTTATCATTGGCGAAAGGTTTGGGATTCTGATCATTCTTTTATTCGTAAAATGATGTTCATGTTCGAGGATGTTTACAACACTTATAATCTCATCTTTTCTTGGTTTGCTTTGGGAAATTTTTATCTTACTTTCTATATTTTGACTCGTGCTCTCGCGCCCAATGATGACGGTACAGGTCTCTCCAACCCTCCCTTCTCCGCTACAACCGCAACACTTTTACATAACATTTTGAATTATATCTACATTATTCTGCTCGTCGTACAATTTATTATTGCCCTTGGTAATCGCCCTCAAGGTTCAAAAATGATGTACACATTTTCTATGGTATTCTTTGCTCTTCTCATGATTTATATGATGTTTGCTGCAATCTGGATCACCGTTGTTGGAGTTCAAACAATTGTCCAAGGCTCAGATGGATCTTTGATGGAAATGCTAAATGAATCTACCTTTAGAAATATTATCATCTCACTGTGTTCAACCTACATCATGTATTTTGTGTCCAGTTTTATGTTTCTCGATCCTTGGCACATGTTTTCCAGTTTTATTCAGTATATTCTCTTATCTCCCAGTTATACCAACGTTCTCAATATTTACGCATTCTGTAATACACATGATGTTTCTTGGGGTACCAAAGGCGACAATACGGTTGCTACTGATTTGGGTGTTGTAAAAGCCAAAAAAGACGGATCGGGTGATTTGGCAGTAGAGGTTGAAGTACCTACCGAGGAAAAGGATATCAATGCAGCCTATATTGATGCTCAGGTTGAATTAACCAAGAAGGTCGAACCAGAGAAATCACATCGTGATGCCAAAACAAAACAAGAGGATTATTATAGATCTTTCCGTACTAGATTGGTATTATCGTGGATCGTGTCCAACTTAGTGCTAGTAGTTGCTATCACAAATACTTCCGTCATAACAGTCGGTGATCGTTCCGCTGCATATCTTGGTTTTGTACTTTGGTCTGTTGCTGGCTTGTCTTTAATCAGATTCACTGGATCTACGCTTTATCTCATCTTCAGAATTTTCACCGGATAAATATTTCATTTATCAATAATTATTTGTACTTACCGCTCACACCTACCTAAAAAACCCAAAAACATTTCCTTATAAATGTTAAGTCAGTCGATACCATTCCTGATAATTTATAATAAAAATTTATACATTTATTCATAAATGCCATAACGTAGAATAATAAATATTAAATTGCATAAGATAAACATAATCTTTATTCGATATTACATGGTGTATTTACATGGCATCATTTTACATTTTCGCCAAAAGTTTATGAGATTTAAGATGATTTAAGGTATGTCCACCTCATTCGCTTGTGTTTGTTCTAACAAGTCAGTAGCCACTTCTTGATTGTCAGCTTCAATTGCTTCAATATCATCACCCATGTTTTTGCTTTGGCCAATATCAGATTTATCCAGTGTCAAATTTGGATCATGAGTCTCATCGTAAATCAACTCACTGGGAACCAGATCGGTGTTGGCCATTTCCCTTTTCTCTCCTTTGCCAAAATAATTTAGATCCACAATATATCGAAGGCACTGCAATATGACATTATGTTCTTGTTGTATTTCTCTTTCCAAAAGCTAAATAATGTTTAGAAATATAAACTTGATCACAAGGAAATGGGAAACTTACTTTAAACAGTAAATTTGGTTTCTTTCTAAATGTGGGAGCAGCTTTAGGATGCTTTTGTTTCTGTTTTGATTCCGGCTTTTCGTGAGAGAATTCACATTCATCTCCTTTACTGCATTTATCAACCAAAAAGTACTTGCATTTCCTCTTTGGACGGTCTTCTGGCAACAATATTTTACCTACAGCGGATGGATCTTTAGACGATACAGCGTCTTTTTCAAGATCCATTATATCATTTTCAGAGTCTGAATCAGAGTCATATTGTGCCACTAAAGAGTTTTTTTTTTCCTCTAATTTTTGCTTTTTCACATTCTGCTGCTCTTTTCTTTTATTGGCGACACGTTTCTTGGTGGATATTTCACCTCTTGCTTCTTTCTCGGCATCCTCCTGTTCCTACAAAATTAAAGTTGGGTTAGCAGAAAGCATTTTTGTGGTGACTATAATAATTTTATACCTTTCTGGCGACATTATCCTTACTGGGCCAGTTCTTCTTTCTAGCAGCAATCCAAGCTTCCAATTCCTCAGGAGTTTCAATTCTAGGAGCATTTGCAGGTATAATACCATCAGGACGGGATCTTGATTCCTCAGAGTGTCAGCACGAAAATCAATAACAAATAAACTTTAAACTTACGGTTTTTTGTCACTCTCTTTTTTCTCTTTTCCGTGAAAATTTTCCTCATGTTCTTGTAAAGCTGATTTTAGGCACATATGTTCACAACTAGGACATTTTATATGAAGCTTTTCATGTTGAGCAACGGCTATTGAGCTCTTCAACCATCGATTACAACATAATTTAGGTCTGAAAAATAAAATTAGTTAAACTTTTAATTGGGAATATGCCATAATCAATACTTTGTTGCGGAGTATGGGTCAGGGGTTTCCTTTGTAGGTTCTTGTGCGCTAGCACTAGCGTTTGTCAAAGATAGATCGTCATAATTAATCACTGATCTCTGATCTTGGGTTCCACTGTAATAACTGGCATTATAATCAACCTGTTGTTGTCTACCTCCAATCACAGACGATATAGAAGCAGCTGCCATGGCACCTATTGCCTGTCTTTGTTGTGATTGTTGCTGAAGTTGATATACCATAGAAGTTAGAGCATTCGAAGGATCTCCTTGAGGAATCTGGGGCTGAGATGAAGAATAGTACTGTGGGTAGTAGTACTCCGGATAATTTCCGTACGCAAACCCGCCAATATTCTGGCCATTATCGTTGTTTTGGCTGTTTCCGTCCATATTTGTAGAGTAAAAAGAAAACAAAAATTGTTTTTATGCCAATCTTCCAGTCACAACACTGAAAACCACCATACTTTTCTGTGCCGGTCAAATAAGGTCGGACCAAAAACGATTTTTGCACATGGAATTTTTTTCTGGCGCACCATACTTTTTTTCGAAGAAATGAATTTAAACGATTCACAACAATCTTTAAGTGAAAGCCAATTGTTAATCAACAGCCTTTTGTCTGTAATTAACCCCGCTGAAGAAGTTAAAGATAGTTTCGAGGAGATCTTTGATAAACAAAACGACGAGCAAACCGATGCTGGAGAGAAACTGACAGATGAGTATGACTGGGAATGTCTTACTGACCCGGAAGAGGAGGATATCAGCATCAAAGCTACACAACCTGTTCTTTCATCTGCTGAGACTGTCCAGCCAAATGAACGCGTCATTGAGGTGAAGGCTGCTTTTGAAGCCGAATTTCCAGTTGGAAAAACATTCTTAAATAAGGGAGCCACAAGACTTCAAAGATAGATTTTTTTAATAGACGTACTACTGGTAGTGACAGGTTAATTGAATCATAATGAAAGTGGCACTTTCAAATAATTTTTAACATAACTCACTCTATAAAGGATGTCATTGCATTATATCGAACGAATATTCATGTAATATATGCAAAACGTTTATACGACTGGTATTCATTATCCCTAAATTGCCGAAGCAACTTCCTGTTGATTTGCAAAAAGGTTTATCTAAAATTTTAGCAGCGTATCATCAGGTTATTGATTTTTTATGATCATTTAAGATTATAAGGGTGTTACATGTATTTATTCATGCCGTTTTTTAACTGATTTACTTACATACCATCATTATTTTAAAGAAAGGTATTTAGAATGCTACATCGCTTTCATCTTTCGATAATCCATTGAGTTAGGATAAATCTTTTTTGATAATATGATCATAATGCTACCTGTTTATTACAAGATTTACTTTAAGATTTATATATCACTTAAAAACGTTGTCACATCCTATCTTTCTTCCTTTAACATCCTCCACTTTGTCTCAAGATGAAACGCAAATCCCAAGTGGATGATAAAAGAAGTATACACACAAACTTTTAATACACTTGTCAAGTAAAGATTATCCACCCTGTCCCAAACCTAGATTAATTATCCTGTCTATGTTACATACATCCACGAACATCCGTTTCATCAAGTCCCACCACTCCGCGATGTGTGTCTTAAAAACTTGTATTAAATCATACCCTTAAAAAAAATTCATTTACAAAAAAAAAAGACGGGTAGTTAATGACACTTTCTCTTCAAAATAGTCTCAACTTCCTTACTCTTTTTGATCTTTAGCTTCTGATTTTAATGTTTCAGATTTACAATTAAATGTAGATAATTACACGAATCTAAAAAATTCAATTTTCTCCAATAAATAATGATACAAAAAATTAAGCTGAAACTGAGTAAGGCGAACATTTTTACTGGTTGTAACTGATAGAATAGAGCCGTTCAAATATGGATACCTACAGAATGTATTGAAATAAAATCAAGTAAAAACCTAGTCGCTGGGATAAATCATTTCATAAAGACCACCTCAATTGATTTTTTAGAAATTGGAGATTCGTTAATAAGCAAACTAGTTTTTTGCGCGTCCCAACAGTGCTCTTACAATAGCTCACCACTTCTTCTAGTGGCGACCCACAAAAAAAAAACCTTAATAGTAAAGCTTCAAATCCAAAAAAAAAGAATTGGATCTTTTTACTCTGTCTGATATGCTTTTAAGAAGGAAGATCTGACGCACATTGTGTTGACATCCTTGGAAAACTTGTATTAAAGACAGCAATCAGCTACCAAACCTCAAAGGACGCCAGATGTAAAAAAAAAAAAAAAGTTGCTTCACTGACCAATAAGAAATACAGAATAGTTGCATGAATTCTTAATGCATTTTTGCCATGAACAGGGTTTGTTTTTGACTTTGCTAAGTATATTTCAATAAGCCCATAGACGGTATAATAACCTAGTGTTCTACCCTTTTGTCTGGCCTCTTAAATAAAACGGAAAAACAGTAAAGGAAATACGTGGCCGTTCCCCCTGGCAACGCCTTTTTCTCCAAAATGGCAAGTGTGTGTCTACTTGTCTACATTACTACTCGTATTTACCTTTGATGATAATGAGCGCCCTTCGCATATAATACTATCAGGGAGTAAATCTGCTTAATTAGATATAAAAGCCTTTCGATGTAAAGTTGGATACATAGCAAAACAAGTGATTACTTTGCTATTGGACTCAACCATCCTACTCTTACCTTGATTGCTCCAAATATGAGCGATAAGTGTCCGTTCCACATCATTTAACAATCAACTTAGAAATCATTGCGTCCAACATCCACTCAATACAGATCCAGAAACGAATGCTATATACAGATAAGATATCATGAAAAGTGTGATAAATATTTTTATTTATTATTTCAAAAATGCTGAGAATGTTGTTTTTTTCCAGAAAGAAAATATATATATGTATAAAAAAAAAAACAAAAAGTTTAAATCTAGTTGTTTTCCTCAGGCTTCATGGCAGGGAACAAGAGAACTTCCTTGATGTTGTTAGAGTCAGTCAAGAACATGGCCATACGATCGATACCCATACCCCAACCACCGGTAGGGGGGAGACCGTATTCGAGAGATTGACAGAAGTTTTCATCGATTAATTGAGCCTCGTCATCACCAGCAGCCTTATCGTTAGCTTGTTGAGCAAAACGTTCACGTTGATCAAAGGGATCGTTTAATTCGGTGTAAGCGTTACAGACTTCCTTGGTAGCGACAAACATTTCGAAACGTTCACAAAGACCAGCACGATCACGATGCTTCTTGGCCAAGGGGGACATCATTTGAGGATGGCCAGTAATGAAAGTAGGGCTGATACATTCAGTTTCGAGGTACTCACCGACAAGTTTATCCAACATACGAGCATTGGTACGAGGAGCAGAACACTCAACGCCATTCTTGGCACAGAGGTCAGACAAAAATTTGTTGGTTTCGGCAGTGTGAAGTTGATCTCCAGGAGGGAAAGTACAGTTTAACTTCTCTTCCAAAGTTTGGATCATATCAAGACGTCTGAAAGGAGGAGTGAAATCGATATCCAAAGCGGGACCCTCAGGACCTTGAGGATGGTATTGGATTTGATACTTACCAAAGAGCTTCATAACCATTCCGGAAACAAGTTCTTCGGTCATCTCCATCAAATCGTACATATCAGCATAGGCCATATAGAACTCACAGGTGGTGAATTCAGGGTTATGGGTCATATCGATACCTTCGTTACGGAATTGACGTCCGATTTCATAAACACGATCAAGACCACCAACAACCAACATCTTGAGGTATAATTCGGGGGCAACACGCATGAACATATCCAACTTTAAATCGTTGTGATGGGTGACGAAAGGCTTAGCAGTGGCACCACCAGCAATTTGGTTCATCATGGGGGTTTCGACTTCAAGGAAGTTACGAGAGTCAAAGAAAGAACGAATATAGGTGACGATCTTACTACGGATAGTGAACTTGTCACGAACAAAGTTGTTCATGATCAAATCAAGGTAACGTTGACGGAAACGCAATTCCATATCCTTGAAACCATAATTGGCCTTGGGCAACATACGAAGACAAGGAGACAAGAGAGTGACCTTCTTGGGGAAGATGGAAAGTTCACCACGCTTGGTCTTACCAGGTACACCAGTGACACCAACAACATCACCACGTCTCAAAAGATCGTGAATTTCAGTGTAATCATCACCTTCGTTGTCTTGGAGAGCAGCCATAATTTGAACCTTGACACCCTCACCATGTAAATCGTAGAATCTCAACTTGGCACCGGAATCACGCTTGTTGTGGATACGACCAGCAAGAGAAATAACTTGGTCATCAAGACGTTCACCAACTTCTAACTTTTCAAACTTTTCAATGAAGCTGGGAAGACTCATCTCAACTTGGAACTTGTGAGGATAAGGCTCAGGGCTGGGGTTCTCACGGAGCTTGTTGATAGCCTTGGAACGCAACTCAAAGTATTGCTGTAAAATAAAGATGGTCAGCAGACCTTCCACTAACCCACATGCACACTTCATTTAACTTACGTTAGGGTTCAATTCTTCCTCACCGTCTTCAGCACTCTTGGCCTTGACTTCCTTGGGAGGAGCAGCAGCGGCCTTGGCAGCCTTAGAAGCTTCCTTGGCGCGGACCTTTTCACGTCTCTTGAACTCACTATAATTTAAGGTTAATGACATGACAGTTACCAAAAAAAAAAACCCAAATTAATACGTACGACTTGGAGATCATCTCACCAGTGACGGGATCCTTTTGAAGGTTCTTTTGATCAACAACAGGTTCAGACATTTTCAAAATGTATAAAGTAAGGGAAAGAAGAATGGAAAATAGAAAATATTTTTTTTTTGACTAGGTAGAAAGAAAAAAAAATTTGTTTCTTTGGCGGCATTTTAAAAGAACTCACGGCAACACGCACACAAACACGCACAAACTGATTATCTTTCATCTTGTTGAATTTCCTTTTTTAATAGTGCTATTTTATTTCATAATTTACTTTTTGCGCAGTGAGCGAGAGACCTCATCTAATAAATCCCACATGCATTCTTCAGCCATATAATCACTGTATCTTTGACTTAGAGGTTTCCAATCTTTTTGATCGGAGGGTGGGTATTGAAATTGTGGGCCAAAATTACAAGCAACGACGCCACCTTTAAAGACACTGACTGCAGGATAATAGCCCAAGGTACCATCATCTTCCACAGGCGGATCCTCTGTCCAATGTTGATGTCCGAAACTATCAAATTCATCATCCTTTCGCTGTACACTATTTGGATCCTCTTCCTTTTTTGATGACTGCTTTCTCTTCTTTTTTGCACGCTTCTCCATGATAGATTGAGGTAACCGACCGAAATCTTCAAAGTCAATCAGATCTGTGAACATCACGCCTTGATTCACGCCATTCTTATACACAGTAATATAGGAGCCTTCTAGTATTTTGGGTTCATATTCCTCTTTGTCCTTTCGATACGGATCTGCCAACGCTTCCATTTCTTTGCTAGGTCGATAATCCTTTTCTTCAAACCATAAATGTTCCTTGTAAGCAATTGGAATACGTCGTCGTGAGGCACTTTTAAACTGTTCCTTTTTCTTCTTTGGTAAACTGATATAAAGTCCAATTACATCACCTGATTGAAAAGGTTTACCATATTTTTCGGGTCGAGAACAAAACATTTTATCCCCTGTTTTATCTCGATATCCATATCCATACGCATCATATCCCACTGGTGCATTCAAACAGGCTTAACCGAATGAGTTAGCAAATGATATATATATATATCTTTCAATGTTGCTCTATTTTCCCATGAATGTACCTTCTCGCCTTGCCCAACCGATACGGACATGTGGTCCATCTGCATCAGGACCTGCTGCTGTTTGAATCCTTGCTTCCCAAAACCAGTTACCTTCCTTTACTCCTACATTGGCTCGACACATACGAAATCCTTTATCAGTAGTGACAGTCAATCCATCTTTAGTGACAGAAATATAAGAACTTTTATCGGGTATACTGATGGTGCATCCACCCAGACTATTTTCTGCTTGTTGATACGCTACCAGAGGTAATATCGAGGGTTCACAGGGACTGTATTTGAATCCAAATCGATTGAATGGATGGTCTGCGTTGGCTGAACCGGGTGGAAATACCGCTGGCACTGTATTTGGTGTAAATGGAACAGGTGAAGAAGATCGTGGTGAAGGTGTGCTCGATGCCCATTTGTTATCCGATTGCGGTGAAGAATCAGGTTCTCTACGTTTCTGTGCACGAGGTATAGAAGCAGGTGCCTTACCACTATGCTGCATTTATGAAAAAAAAAAAAAAAAAGGTAAGAAAGCAAAATATAATACTAGAAATTATGAATAGTTTTACCTGAGTGATGCTGGGTCGGACGTGCCATAAGTTGGAATCAGCCAATCGAAAATCCGAAGCAGCAGAGCGCTGTCTTTCATCACGAGCAATAAAGGTATCTTTAGAAGAATAAAGACATGAGCCGAGTGTTGCCCACCAAGTGGTTGTTCGAGCGCGTTCAGTACAGAGACTTCTCCAGTGTTTATCGACATAAGGAATGATTTCCTTCTTATTAAAATAGTAATTCTCTGGGTGCCATTCATGCATGATGGCAGCGTTTTTGCTCTGAAAGATCTCATTGTCGGTATCACCAATACGACAGAGGATTTCCTCCAGGATCAGGTTGGCTATGGTGGTAGAGCAGATATCTTTCCAACCTGCTGTGGTGCGTTCGAACGTCTCGGCATGACTGGTCCCGTTACAGTTGCGACATACGAAAATGTAGTTGGTTGTAAAAAGTAAATCGGGCGGGCTAGCGACTGACGTACACTCGGCATGAAACCAGTTCCTACACGCTTTAAAAAGGGGTTAGGGATATTAATTAAAGAACAAGAAGAAAAAAAAAAAAAAAGTCTCTTACAGCGGCATTGAATAGCGATTTCTAATAAGTTACGGTCTCTTGAACAATAACAATATTTGTGATGTGTATTAATCGTGTGTGTATCATTCCAAACAAGATCACCCATTTTCATGTTGCTCGCTTCTGGAAACAAGACAAAAATATAAGAGGGCTCTTTTGAGTTTTTAGGATTGCACACACTGTATTGTGACGGTCATTTAATTAGGCTCACTCATGCCAGTTTTAAAGCAGAAAACCAAGAAAAACCTTTTATTTTTTTTTAATTGACATAACTAAACCATGGCTAAAGCAAAAAAAGAGTCAAGCGTTCAAAAGACACCTTATACCCGTAGCAAAAAGACAACCGAAAAGAACAAAAAGCCCTTGACAAAGTCAGAAAAACTTAAAAATGCAGACATGATTGATGATCTTGACAACTTGATGGATGATCTTACACCTCATTTAGTAAAGAAGAAGAAGAAGCCTATCCAAATCAAGAACGATTCCATGGACGAGGTAAGCAGTTATAATTTGTACTTGTGTAGAAGAAAGGGTTTTCTTATTTTGTATTTAGTCTTCAAAGGTGGAGCAAGAGCAACTTGCGTACGAAAAGACACAACATGATATGGAAGCAGCACTTGGTTTATTAACTAAATTATAGACAATAAAAGAGAGTATATATTTTTTTTTTTTTAAAAATTTATTAGTTGTTTACTGTTCCTTTTTTTTTTTTGGTTTATTTTTAAGCAGCCACTTTTTAAAAAGAGGTGAGCGAAAAGCAAAAAGTTAAAATGTTGTGTGTATAAGAGAGAGAAAAGAGATATATAATTGGAAACAAAGAAAAGTAAACAATTTTTTTTTTTTTTTTTGGGTGAAAAAGAAATAACTTAGAAACACTTTCTGTGGACAATAGAAGGACCAGATTCGTCGTATTCTTGCTTTGAGATCCACATTTGTTGGAAAGTGGAAAGAGAGGCCAAAATAGAACCACCAATCCAGACAGAGTACTTTCTCTCTGGGGGAGCAACGATCTTGATCTTCATGGAAGAAGGAGCAAGAGCAGTGATTTCCTTTTGCATACGATCAGCAATACCAGGATACATGGTGGTACCACCAGACTAAAAGAGAGGTTAGTATAGATACATATATAAATACACTTGATATATTACCATGACAATGTTGGAGTACAAATCCTTACGAATATCAACATCACACTTCATGATGGAGTTATAAGTAGTTTCATGAATACCAGCAGATTCAAGACCCAAAAGAGAAGGTTGGAAGAGAGCTTCGGGAGCACGGAAACTATGAAACGAGATTAATACATACATATATATACGAAAACAAACACTCTTATAGAAAGTTACCGTTCGTTACCAACAGTGATGACTTGACCATCAGGAAGTTCATAAGACTTTTCGAGAGCAGAAGATTGAGCAGCAGTTTGCATTTCTTGTTCAAAGTCAAGAGCAACATAACAGAGCTTTTCCTTGATATCACGAACGATTTCACGTTCAGCAGTAGTAGTGAAAGAGTGACCACGTTCAGCGAGGATACGCATCAAGTAATCAGTCAAATCACGACCAGCCATATCCAAACGCAAAATAGCGTGAGGAAGAGAGTAACCTTCATAAATGGGGACAGTGTGAGTGACACCATCACCGGAATCAAGAACGATACCAGTGGTACGACCAGAGGCATACAAGGAAAGAACAGCTTGGATAGCAACATAGAAGGCAGGTGCGTTGAAGGTTTCAAACATGATTTGAGTCATCTTCTCACGGTTAGACTTGGGGTTCAAAGGTGCTTCAGTCAACAAAACAGGGTGTTCCTCGGGAGCAACACGAAGTTCGTTATAGAAAGTATGATGCCAAATCTTTTCCATATCATCCCAGTTGGTAACAATACCGTGTTCAATAGGATAACGAAGAGTTAAGATACCTCTCTTAGATTGAGCTTCATCACCAACATATGAGTCCTTTTGTCCCATACCCACCATAACACCTTGATGACGGGGGCGACCGACAATAGAAGGGAAGACCTATTCATTTCAACCAAACAGATGAGATGATGTTTTTTTTTTTTTTTTTTTTTTTAAAATGAATAAACTTACGGCACGAGGTGCGTCATCACCAGCAAAACCGGCCTTACACATACCGGAACCGTTATCAATAACAAGCTTAAGGTAGTTGGTTAGTAAACATTCTCATCTACCATCTACTCGTAATACTTACAGCAGCAACTTCGTCCTCCATTTTTAAAAAAGAATTGTTTATTTGAAAGAAAAAAGAGAGAATGCCACAAAAAAAAAAGAGGGCGTTTACAATAGCCTTTGAGGGGACGCGGTGACGCAGGTCTCTAAACCTGAATTATCATTGGTTAAGCTGTATTGGAATAAAACCAACTCAGCTTTTCTTTTATGGCTCAGTTCCCCAACACAAAAAAAAAAACTTCTCGTGTTTTTGATATGCAAAATGAGGATCCTACAACCTCTATTTTTATATCTTGTCATGTTTATAACTACTCAAGTAATCAAAAAGAAAGAATATATCTTATTTATAGATATAAAGAAAATGGAGACAATGAAATAATAAAAAAAAAATAAAAAAAATAACTGATATATCAAATATTACACAAGTAAAGTTACACCGTGTATTTTGCTCTAATTGGAAATTATTCTACAAGTCCCCCTCGTTGGATTTATACTTTCATTTGTCCTCTATCACCAAATCGCATGATTCTTGTCTGGATTTAATTATTAACCAGTCCACTCTTTTTTCAATAGGTGCTCTCAAGGTAAAATTCGAAAAGCCGGTGGACCCCTTTTTTGGGTGTGAACGGATTTTTTTAAATTGAACAAAAAAATAATTTCATCGATCAGGTGATGCCGTGACGGTTCTTCACTTTCAAATTTACTAAAAGACCTAACGTGATTTTATTAATAAAAAAACGGAATATTCCTTTTCGCTTATCTTTATTTTTTTTTAAAGTACCTATTTACCATGAACCCAATTGACGAAACTTTTTTCGATATAATGCAAGAGCAACTTTGGATGGGAAATGGTGCTGACCGTTTTGAAGACGAAGATCAATACTTCGATGCCGTGATGGAAGAAATCATTAGAATTGACGAAGAGTTCGATTTAGAAGAGGAAATGCTTGAACAAGAGGTTGCCATTGCCGAAGAGAACATTATTGCCGACTATGCTCGTCTTGAAGGCAACTATGACGTTTATTCCTTGTTCCAACTTTGGGTCAGAGAAACAATTTTGCATGCAACCACTTTAATCAACTATGACATCTTTTATTACATCTTCATAAGCAACCCTGGGATGATGACCCGAGAATCGCACAGAAGGGTTGTTAGAACCGAGCGTATGGACACGTACGAAACATACTGGACGATAAAACATCCCAACTTGAACGACGATCGTAACAGCCGCCATAGCTATAGAGCTCATTATCGAGTCAACAAGTCGACCTTCGAGTGGCTCGTCAATCGTTTGAGTAGATGTGCTGCTTATCTTGGGTCAATTCTGCGAGGTGGTTACTCTGTAGAAGTGCAAGTTGCGTGCGTGCTTTGGAGATTTGCTAACACGCATTTTGGTTATCGAATTGCCGAAACTCATCTTGGAGTAACTGCCGGATCATTCAATAATTTCACTAACCGATTTATTGATGCCATGTTGGAGATTACTCCCGAACTTATAACATGGCCCATCGAAGATAGACAGAGAGCTTTGAACAATGCTCGTGAGTTTGCAGAACTTGGTGAACCTGGTGCTACGAGACTTTCTGGTGTACTCGGTGCAATTGATGGCAAGCTGGTTGTGATCCAAAAACCAGCAATAAATGGAAACGCTTATGTCGATAGAAAGAGTCATGCATCCATGAATTTGATGGCAATTTGTGATGCCCGTACTCGGTTTATGTACGTAAAAACTGGGCATTCCGGTAAGTTCATGTGGAAGGATAAAAAAATGATACAGCAGCTTACCGTTTGTTATTATATTAAGGCAGAAACCATGATGCCAGAGTATTCACAAGCAGCGTGATTTATCACAAAATTTTGTTGGATGCGGCCAGATGGTGTCCTGCAAACACTTATATTTTGGGAGGTAAGTTCATTAATTATTTTAAGGTATACAAAGCATTAACGATGAGACCTAGATTCGGCTTACCCTTTGCTGCCAAATCTCATTGTTCCATTCCATGGCCGACGTGAAAGCACTGCGGAAGAAAAAATTTTCAATGCAACCTTTTCTAGTTCTCGAATTAAAATTGAACATGCATTTGGTGGGCTCACGTCCAGGTGGAGATTCCTTTGGAAGCACTTGTATATGCTCAGCGTTGATAGAATGGCTAAAACCATCATATCTTGCTGTGGTTTGCACAACGTTTGTGTAAACCAAAATGATATCGAAGAGGCAATTTTGGATGGAAACTTGGATTTTGAGGGATTTGTTGAGGCAGACCGTAGAAACCAATTTGAAAATGAAGTGAACTTCGAACCTCCGCTTCCTTTCCTCGGTACCGATACTACCATTGATGCTGCAGGTATGCGCCGTATTAAGGCAATGTCTATCTTAAGAAGAAACAACATCATGAGGGGAACAGATAGACTTGCTTAGTTTTCAAAAGGTTTTATTATATTAAATATATTTTTTATTTAATTATTGTTGTCAGTAGAAGATGAACCAAGATTGGTATCACTATCGCCTCTTCGAATTGCTGCAAATCTATTCATAATAGTCTCCATATCAGAGATACGTTTACGTCTATCCTCTTCCAAATCGGCCTCTCGTCTACTTCTTGATTCTTCTAGCAGTCGATATCTCTCTCTGGACTCTTGTCGTCTTCTTGTTTGCATATCTTCCAATGCAGTCTGTCGATTACGACTGACCCTTTGCAACATACTGTCAAGGTCACGAATTCTTTGCTCCCTTTCTTCCCGTTGTACCGCTGCCATTCGATCCATCATCTCTACACCGAGTTGGCGGGCATGTGCCATATGCTCCTCTGACAACTGACGAGCAGCCTCGATGGGATCAAAAGTTGACGAAGACTGCTCACCAGAAGTTCGATTATTTCTCGAAGTGCGGGTTGATCTTGGTGGAGGTGGTGCGGATGTAGGTGGAGGTGGAGGTGGTGCGGATGTAGGTGGAGGTGGAGATGGTGCGGATGTTTGTTGAGGTGGAGGTGCGGATGTTTGATGAGGTGGAGGTGATGCGGATGAATATGGAGGTGGAGGTGGTGCGGATGTATATCGAGGTGGGGGCGTTGCGCCTGTCGATGCTGGTGGTACTGCGGATGCTGATGTTGGTGTTGGTGTTGGTGGTTCGGTTGCTGGTGTTGAGGTTGGTGTTGGTGGTTCGGTTGCTGGTGTTGAGGTTGGTGGTGGTGCGGATGTAGGTGGAGGTGGTGGTGCGGATGAGGGTGTTGATGGTGGTGCAGGTGCAGGTGCTGTTGATGATGATGGTACTGAAGATCCTTCAGTGGGGTATCGATCGGCCAAAGCTTTTTGGATCACAAGTTGATCGACTTCCGTAGGTGTCAAGTACGTAGTTTCGGGACCATCGGATCCAATGGCATCCATTAAATCAACGTCGTTTGATCTTCTATATGATCGAATGCCATTCTCCTCCATGTTGACGCTTTCGTAAATTACCTCAGGTTGGATGCTAGGATCATCCTGAGTGATCTTGGCAATTTCTTCATAGTATGGTATGTCTGGGACAGTTCCACCAACTCCTGTTTCTCTTGCTGCATTTCTGGCTCTGGTGAATCTGGCTTTCATGTCTTTCCACTTGCGTTGCATACTGAGATGCGTGACATTTGCTATAAAAGCCCTGACTGCATCGGTGTTTGCATATTCAGCCATCTTTTCTTTCAAGAGAGCTGCCGAATGAACCCAGATAAACTGTTTCAAGGCAGTATCTCCTCTTCTCAACAAGTGATTGTAGGTGCCTGCCATGATCTCAAGAAGGATACAAATTGCAACCTCAGGCCATACGTTGTATGGACGTGAAGGCCCATTGTCATCTTCGACATTAGCGTTGTTGTTCTCAGCTTGGGCATTGCTGTTGTTGACAGGAGTGGTATTGTGCTGAACAGTAGGTTCAACAAACACAAAGGTGCCAGCGTGTCTGCCACGTCCGCGTCTACCTCCACGTCCATTTCCACGACCACGTCCGCGACCACGTACGTTGTTGGGTGTGTTGTTATTTGCTTCAGTGTTGTTCATAGTAAGGTAAGTGATAAAAAGTAGTAATAAAGTAAAAGGGAGGAAAAAAATAAAAATAAAAAAAATGTGGATTTAAAAACTTTTGTTATTTTATCATTTCCTTTTCAAGCGAATAATTTTGAATGTACCATGACTTTGATCAGATTTTTATTTCCACCCATATATGTATGTGTGTTATTTTGCCCATTTTTAGATCGCTTTTTCAAGCACTTCTTTTACTATTTTTGTAGAAAAACTGGGCAATTTATTTTCGGTTTCCGATCTTGAGAGCACCTAATAATATCAAAAAAAAAAAAAAAAAGAGAAATACTAGCATCTTTGATTTAAATTAAAACAATATACGTAGTCATATCCCGACATTCTCATTTCCTCGTGAAAAACCAAACTGTCTTGGCCCACTAAGCCCTTTCAAAGCATAACAACCCCCAAGCCCATCAACTGACTGGGAATGCCAAGTTACAGAATACACTGACAACCTTTATTTGTTCTACTGATTTCCCTCAAGACTTTTTATTTTGTCTGTCACTTGATTTTTTCTTCAGATGATATTTGTAAACACGTATGCGTACACTTAAAATAGCAAAGGTTATTGAGATACAATCGCTGCAAGCCTTATTTTTTCAATGAATTGTGTCTCAAACTTTACTTCTAAAATTGTGTGTAACTCGAGTTTCGGCAGAAATCAAATATTACATCACTGCTATTTTATCATTGGTGTCACTGTGAGATATTTTTTTAATCTGTGGAAAAGAGCTCCGACGGGCATATATGTCAGCCTTAGGAAAATAAAATACTGGTAAGCTCTTATCGCGAACTAAGAATGTACAGAAAAAAGTGGAACCTTGATGGAAAGGTTGTAATAGAATCGGAAAACATGTGATCAAGCTTACCAAGCCGGGAAACATTCCAGAAAGGTCCTCGTTTATCAGTAACAGTCTCTGGTAGTATCCCAATATAAGAGAATATCCAGTATCTCACTTGACTTTAATAAATGATGTAAATACACTTTTTGCTGTCTCAGTGTTTCAAATTATAATTTCTGGATATACTCACTGCAAATAAAAGGATTCAAAAGCCAATCATTAGTCCCATTTCACGGCGTAAACCTGTTCTATTTTTTTTATTATTCATATAAATATTTAGAAAAAAAAAAAAACCTTGTTTTTCTTCTTTTTTTCTTCCAAACATTATAGTTTTATTCATTAAAATGGGTACTCTTGTCGCAATCGCGTGACTAATTAAAACTTGGAAAATGTATATATTTTGGTTAATAGAAACACTTTTTACAGGCCATGGGTAAATAATATCTGCAACATGTTGTGAAACATTTGCAACCACAACAGCAGCAGCGACCTCATCAGCAACAACTTGAACAACAAAAAATGCAAGCCAAAAATCTAAGAAAGACGTAAACTTCACTTGTTCTCTCTTTTTTTCTTTTTAAGTATTCGACCAAATTAGGATTATGCTTCCTGGTCACTTTTTGCAGCATTTAATTTTAAAATACTTACATCAATAGGTGAGCTCAATCAGCGATAGAGGAAAATATATTAAAATTAACAATATTTTTTATGAAGTACTAAAACCAGCTTGAATGAGCTGATTAGCCATTCACAAAGAGGGAGGAAATGTTTTTAAACAGCTTGTGTACTGACAGGATTATTCGTAGAACTTTTTTTTGTAAGGGATGCCCTGGATTGTAATATGGGTTACTTCAATCAATAGGAGATTAATCAATACTTTTATCACAGCACATCAGATCTTGGCCGTAATAATGCTTTCGTCGCATATTATCGACTTAAAAAGTTAATCATAATCGAATATAAAGGGTTTAGTTTTATTAATAGATAAAAAAAAAAACTAGCCTCAAAGCCCAGCAAGACAAACATCTTTCGTAATCATCTTTACAGAGTTTATGTCTGCTGTGATCTTATTTAATTTTTCTAATTGTACTTAACACAAGTTTTACTAAAGAAAATCGAGATACAACGCAATCACAAAGCGTAGTTTCGTTACTATACTAACCTGCAGTGATTGCAATGAATTCTGGAACAGAGGCGTGTTTGTGGCGAAAAACGTAGTCAAAATTTTAAGGCTGCTTTGGTCAAACAATCGACGATCCGACATTTTATTCTCGGCAAACGTAGCAACGCGCCACATAAAACGTGGTTGGTTTTTCTTGTTTCTTTCATTTGATATACTCCAAATGAATATCTAATGCATTTGCGAGCTCATGTACTAAACCTTTCAATGAAATAGCGTGTTATAAATTGACATCAATGCACCTGAATTAAAACAGTTTGATACTTGCAATGTGTAAAGAATAAATGCTGCTTCAAAGATGAGAATAATCTAAAGTTGGATGATGTATGAAGAAGGTGGGATCAGTCTGCTCGATGGATCATGAAGGTACGGCACATTTGGAAGGGAAGTTGATAAGCTCTTTGATTCTTTTATTATAACACGCCCATGAACTTGATTGTTGGTACGACAATAATAATGCGTAATCTAACTTGGATAATCACTGGAAATCCAAGGTAAACAACAGTTTACCAGTTGAGATTAGCTGGATAATGGATCTGTAGAAAACTAGTGTCCAAGCTGATGGTATACTCAGAAGGTGAAAACATAAATTTTGCATTATTAATCTTTTTATCGTTTCCATAGTTACTCTCTTCTCTGTTGAGTGCTGCCTAATAAACAATGAGTCGTATTTGGAGAAAGCTGTATGTTGGATCTCGAGTTCAAAAGAAAAAAGCAGTACAAAAAAAAACACAGTTATTTATGAGTTTAAATGCAGTCACGCGCAACTGTGCCTGAACCATCGCCCATTTGCTATTTTCATTTTTTTTTTTTTTTTTTTTTTTTTTTTTTTTTTTTCGTTTTATAAATTTTTTTTTTTTTTTTTTTTTCCTCCAGCAGTTAAAATGAAAAAAATCAAGCAAGAAAAACATTCCTTAAATACAGAAGTGAAAAAAAAGAAAAGAAAGGATATGATGGCTAAAGCAGCAGCTAATTATATAGATAGCAAACTCCATATTGAGAATAAATATGCTTCCTTAATTTCGCTTATTGACACAATTTATCCACCTTTAATGTGTACTCAATGTGATACAGTGTCGCCCTCCAGAAGCGCATCGAATCATCATTTTAAAGAAAGCCACAAGAAAAAGGCACGATATCTTTGTATACACCCTCACTGTGAACAAAGTTTTATATCGCGGGGAGCTTTACGTTTTCATATTTCACGTTCACATTTGGTTAATTACTCAAGAAAGCCATTACCTGATCCACCTTTTTTAACATTAAACATCAACAACCTCAACAAGACAATACAGAACCCACCCAAACCTTCCAGCATTATTCCACCAAAAAAAATATCACCTAAAAAAGAAAAGATATTTACATCACGATTATCTATGGATGATTTGACACCTTCTCCTCCACCTTCACCATTTTCATTATATCACTCTAGAAAAAATTCCCCCAACAAAAAACCAACACTGTCTCCAAGTGCAGAGAGTTTTTTAAATACAATGTATCCACCTTTACAATGTCCATCCTGTTTACAAGTATTCAATCGAAAAACAAATGTTATTAAACATTTAACCGAAGCTCACTTGGGTCAAGAACCTTATCGTTGTATATATCCAAAATGTGCTCATCCAAGATTATATGCTACTCGTGAAGGTTTAGTTTATCATATTGTACGTGTTCATGATGATGAATCACAAATAAAAAAATAATCTTATAATAATAAAAATATCTTTCAAGCTGTCCATTTTAAACATCGAGTTTCTGTATGTGTTGATAAACATTTCGTTGAACAATATTTCATACCACATCTCAGACACTTGTAATCGCTGGCGAATCCACATACTGAACAAAACCGTCTGGCTGGGTATATTGAAGGTGAGACTTGACAGGTTTGATAACAATGGGCCGTTACTGGCTAATAATATGGATAAATAATTTGCTTCTTTTATATTCAATTAAAACTTACACTTTCTTCTAAAAGGGAATTGAGGTTGGTCTTTGTTGAGTATATGTTATGTCCCCTCGCTGTTCTTGATTTACGTGAAGTGCCTTACAAAAAAAAACATTTTCAGCTTTCATAACAACCAATGTTTAATTTTTTTTTTTGTCTACCTTCATCCTCTTGCGCTGATAATGCAATATTAATCAACCCCTCAATGTCGTTTAGTGATTGGTGATTATCTTTCTCTAATGAATCAAGCTGCCGTTTGAGATGTCTGGAATGGGCTTCCGGATCGTGATGCGTGACTTTGGCTCTTTTTGACATGATTCTTTAAAACATAAAAAGGTGGAGTTTGTATAAAAAGACTACGCTTTTAATTTTCATTTTATCATTTTTTTTTATTTCTTATAATGGACGACGCTGACATTCATTTCGATCCTACTTTCACTTTGCCTTCAACACAAGACGATATTCAAAATGAGGTTGAGGACGATTTCGGCGACGATTTTGGGGATGAAATTGATCTAAGTGAATTAGTGCAAGTTACAGAAACCGTTGAACAGGAGTACGCAGCAAATAATATTAGTTTTGTCCCACAAGAAGGAAGCGATCCCACACCACCACCTATTTTACCTGAAAATACAGAGTCATTTCACCCTTTGAATTTGGAAAACTTAAGAACATGGATTTACCCTACCAATTATCCCATCCGTGGATATCAATATAATATCATACAAAAGGCTATGTTCAACAATACATTAGTAGCATTACCAACAGGCCTCGGTAAGACCTTTATTGCAGCAGTGGTTATGTTCAATTACTGGCGTTGGTTTCCCAATTCAAAAATCATCTTTATGGCACCAACACGACCTCTTGTTACACAACAGATCGAGGCTTGTTTTACCATTTGCGGGTTGCCACAAGAAGAGACCGTGGACATGTCTGGTAGCACAACTCCCGAAAACCGTAGAGAACTGTGGAAAACGAAGCGTGTGTTCTTCTCTACACCACAGACGGTTGACAATGATTTGACTTCCAGGTCGTGCCCTGGAGAAAAAATTAGCTGTGTGGTTGTTGACGAGGCACATAAAGCAACAGGAAATTATGCGTATGTGAAAGTGATACGACAACTGTCCAAGAAAAATAAACATTTTCGTGTACTAGCATTAACGGCGACGCCAGGCTCGAGCTTAGATACGGTTCAAACGGTTGTTAGCAATTTACAAATTACCAATATACAAATACGAACAGAGGATTCCATGGATGTACGTGAATACTCTCATGGAAAAAATTTAGAAAGTATTATTGTCCCATTAGGATATACAGAAGGGTCAACGGGCCTTTTGCCGCGCATTATTGAAGAATATACATCACAGGTTTTCGAACCCACATTGCTTAGGCTCTCTAAAATGCCCACAGGTGTTATTCCCGAGCCAGCAAAAAATCCGGCATTTGGACTTCAAATGAAAAGAGTTCGTTTCCAGGCACAAGCTACAAATATAAATAATAGCATGAAGTATCAAGTCGTTTCTTTATTTCTTGTAGCAGAACAAATGAGTCGCGCCTATGATTTACTGTGTCAGCATGGTATTGCCCCTTTTTTGGAATCGTTAGAAGGAACACGTAGAGATGCGGAAGCGACAATGGCGGTCGGAAAAAGTATAAACAAGGCACAATCGCAGTTTTACAACCATGCGTATATTACTCGCATAATTCCCAAGTTAAAACAAGAGATGCAAAAATCTGATTTTATTGGTCACCCCAAGATCGATACACTTGTAGGAATCTTATTAAAACATTTCACAAATTTGCCGTCTGGTGAAGCCTCCAAGGTCATGATCTTTTCAAGTTATCGTAGCTCTGTTACCGAAATTTGTAATGTATTAAGTAGGCATGACCCTATGATCAGACCTTATCATTTCGTTGGTCAAGCGGAAGGAAAAAATGGATCAAAAGGGTTAAAACAATCTGAGCAACAAGAGGTAACTATAGTAACCAAGGAAAACTAGAATAAACACAAGCTAATATGTGTTCTAGGTCATACGAAAATTTAAAAATGACGAGTTTAACGTAATCGTATGTACTAGTATTGGAGAAGAAGGTCTAGATATTGGTGAAGTTGATTTAATTGTCTGTTATGATTCCCAAGCATCACCAGTTCGAATGGTAAAGAAAAAAAATGCCAAGCCATAAGAGGTTTTTTTTTATATATAACCCCTCCCCCCTCTTCTTTTATAAATTTTTTATAGTTGCAACGTATGGGTAGAACGGGTCGTAAAAGACAGGGAAAGTGTGTATTGCTTATGACAGAAACAGAAGAACAAAAGTTTAAACAAGCTAAAGAAACGTACGAACAAGTTCAAAGACTGATCACTCAAGGTGTGCATTTATCCTATTACAGAACAAATCCATCAGTTATACCCGTCAATTATAAACCAACTATATGTCGTAAGCGTATCGAGATAGGACAATACAAAGCACAGCCAAAAACCAAATCACGAGGAAAAGTTGCACCATCATCTTTAAGTTTGACTCCGGATGGGGTTTTGACAGAGAATACGAAAAAGGCATTTATTCGATCTTTCTGCAACAGAGAAGAGGAATATGCCACCGTGAAGCAAGTGATACAAAAATACTGGCCCAAGAAGAGCTTACGCAAAAATTTGGGTAAGCAGGTGCCATTACAAACAAAAGTGAAACCCAGTTGTGGTGTTGGTCATTCAAGGAGGACGCTTGATTTTGTGGAATTAATAGCAAAAATGGAACATCGTATCCTCCACCCCGACGAAAAAATCCAGTTCACCGCTCCCAAGCAGCAAACTCGATTGATGATTCCATCTAAAGTTAACCCGCCCTCTTCTAAATTATTCCTGCCACCGAAAAGAAAGCCTCTTGATGATAATGATCAAAAAACGGAACTCGCCATGTTCTATGATGAACATGGTGATATAACCAACGGAGAGAACGCTTTTGAAACCACGAATTTCTTAAATGATATTGACAATGAGGATTTTGCTGAGAGCTCCACTAAGAGAAGCGTGAAGGATTTTTTTGCTCCAAGGAAAAAAGCTAAACTCAACTCCTCATCAAAAACGTCCAACAAGTCTTCATCTTTGGCAAGTATAAGCAATGATGATTTCCCTGATTTGGATGATCTTCTTGATCTAGGTTTTGACTTTTCCAATGACAAATCAAAAGACGTGGACAGACCAAAAGGCATCGAGAAGCTGAAAGCCGTAAACAAGGGCAAAGGTGTTGAAAAAGGAACCCATGTTGAGGATGAGTTTATTACGGTGAAAAATAAAAAAGTGGACAAAGGCAAAGCCGCAGACAGAGGATTGAATCATGTTGAAAGTATAAGCAATAATATAAATTTAGAAAACAATCATGACAATTCTGCAAACGTCGATATGCTGGATACAAGTGATCCATTTGAGCCTTTGGATGATTTCAATATAGAAGACGATTGGGAACCCATGCTACCGGAAAGTGTATTCGACGCAGTCGAACCAATCCGTGAGCCCTCACAGAAACCGGCATTACCAGAATCTCCCGAATTAAGGAAGGAGACAATAGAAAACGATCCACCTCAAGATAAATCGGTTACAATACTCGATATGGACGAATTGTACAATATACCAACAGATGAAGAAGATTTCGATTACGGCGATTTCCCTTTGGGTGAATTAATTTCAAAGAATTTAGCTGCTTGGGAGTCAATAAAGGCAAGTGCTTTTGATGAGACAATACCCCCATTGTTTCCGTTTGAGAAGGATCAAAGTGGTATCATTGATAAAATTACTGTCTTGTGGCCTCAAAATGAACCAAGATTTAGTAAGAAAGCATCAGGACTCTTGGGTAGCAGACAAAAAATTATGGAGCAAAACACTGGTAGTTTCTTGACTATGAAAATCGTTGCAAAATTAAATAACAAGTCGTTTTCATCACCTCCATCCTTTTTATTGGAGCCTCCGGCGCCACAAATTAATACCAAGGTGCCACACACAATACCTCAGCCATTAAAAACAAACAGCAATCACCCAATCCGCAAAAACTCCCCACCACCAGCCACAACTTCCCCCCAAATAAAAGCAGTTGTTCATTCACCAGAAATTTTCGAGATTCAAGACGATGACGATGATTTCGAAATGAACGATAGCTTCCTGCAGCATGCGGCTGAATTAGTAGACGAGGTGCCTAAAGAAGATGCGATTTCTATAGTTGATAGCCAATCAGATGTGGAGGAAGGGTTTGACAGCATTGTGTATGAAGGAGGCGAATTTGAAAACCTTTTTGAAAGTCAGAACGAAGTTGATGAGCTTCCTAATTTTTCTTTTGTCGAACAACAATTTGTCAGTCAAAAATACGACCATCAAATGAAAAAAAGTGCTGCTTTGTATGGGCCTTCTTCTCTGGTATCTGAAGATAACGAGGAACGATATGAAGACCCTTTAGATAGTTCACAACCGGTAACATTACCAACAGTACATGGTAGCCCATTGAGAAATGAAAGTACACTTCTACAGAATCTATCAAAGGGTTTACATTCCCCCTCTCCGCTTCGAAATACGCCAACCTTAAATCGTCTGTCTACATCTTTGATTGGAGCCAGTGAAAGCGACGAGGAAGATATCATTTTGCGAAGAAAAAGACGGTCAAGGTTATCTCCCGTACTTCCAATACAAAGGACAAAAAAACGGTTGAGGCAAAAAGGAACTCCCAAAGAAGATGAAGATGATGGCGGCGTTATTATGTACGAAGGAATGGCATCAAAAGTATCCTTTATGGAGAGAATTAAGCAATGTCAAAGTCCAGTAGCCGCGAAACATAGGCCCAAGAAAACAAACCTTGTGCAAAATCCTTTTTTCGATGTTGAAGCAGAAAAAAGTAGCGACGAGGGTCATACAACAGACGAAGAAACGGAAGATGGAGGGTCTTCTTTACTTAACTCATTTATCGATGATGAAAATAGTAATGTTCAAGAAGCAACAGAGAAATCACCTGATGTGGATGTTTACAGGCAAAACTTGTTTGAAGAAGAAAGACCCAAAAAACATTGGATGAACCGATTTAATGCTGACAAATGGTTAAACGCCGAAGAAGATAGTATAATTGAAGGAGATGAAGAAGACGAAGAAGACGAACAAGAGGGCAGCGGGGTAATTGCACAAGAGATAGCTGAAGATGACGATGATGATGACTTTGCATGAAAATCTAATAATTGTGATGATGCTTGCCTCCAGAACATATAATTTAAACTGTTTCTTTAGTTTATAAGCGTAATTAGTTCAAATCAAGCCAGTAGGTGAACACGCTTAATATGTCCTTATACTCAAATAGAAAACTTACAATAAAAAACTGTTTTATCTATAAGAGTCGATTTTCCCTGACTTGCATTAAAATTGTCAATTTCTCAGTTTTCTAAACTCATGGAATTAATGGGTTTTTACTATATGCAAAAACTAAGTATTCACATACAAAAGACATTACGAAGCACTTATGTTCAAAAAGATTATATTTACATACAGAACAAGGTCAAGTATCTATATGTGCACATGCATTTATCTGTGTAATAAAACTCTCCTACGCTATGCATATATACGCGGTGATAAGTTCACCATAAAATCTACTTAAGTCTAACACACTTTTTTTCACTTCCTACTAAAGTCAGTACATGCGGAGATGCCGTGTTCGATTACCAATTAATCAGGGCCAACATACAAAAACATATATATCCTTAGAAAATGCGGTACAGCAGCTCCGTTTTCAGAGTTTGCTTTTCAATAAGCTTGAATTCGTTTCTTGAAAGTCTAATTCTTGTTGTTTTATTGTTGAATTCTTGCTTTGATTACGTGTCGATTCTCATTTCACATTATCTAATTCTTAATAATTACAGTTGCTTTAAATTTATTACCGTACTCACTTTTGGTAGAATTATGTGATTAATGTACTGAGGATATACATAAATAAGGTTAGTAATTAAGCAATGTTTTTACGTAGCTGAAGGTTGCATCGGCTAATTTCTTGTTGGTTACAAAAAGCGATGCTGCAGTTGGCTATGCCAAAGAACTCACTCCTTTTCATTCGGACAATTTTTGAATGATAGGCGCCTTAAATTAAACCTTTGATACTTCTATGGATTCCATTTAATTTTTTATCTGTTGACAAGATAGCAAAGTGTTTTTTTTTTGGCGTATATAAACACTATCAATCCGTCACAGCAAATAAAACAACAAAATGAAATTTTTCTACATGGATTGGCTGATGCAGTCCAATTTTCAGTTGATTGAAAGTATGTATAAAGCAAATAGTTTGATTGACTACCGTAATTCACTTCCAAATAAGCTGAATTGAAAGCAAATGAGAGCGGATTTATGAAGGAGGACAGAATTTAGCTAGCGGCATAAACTAGAATGTTTACTTAGTATTATTATCAAACTTTTTTTTTTCGAAAATTTATTCGTATTTTGCAATAGTAGCTGATGTTGAGCACCAGTTATTACTAAACTCTCATAGATATGATTTATAATGAAAAACCAGTTATGGGGCCATCGTTTTTTTTTGTTCTAATACCAACACATACATTTGTGTCAATTGAGATAAATGTCCAAATTTGCTCTTTCTGACAGCATGTTTTTTATAATAATTTGATTAATGGCTGCAAGTTTATTAAATTATTAAAAAAACATAAAGTGCTCTAAAAGCTTTTAGGTGCATGGGAATAATAAAAAAAAAAAGTTTAGAAAGAAAAGACAGCGTGAGGGAGTTATCTAATTTATCTTTAGTAAGCCAGATCTAGTTTATGTAATGTTTTGTTTAATTAATCATATATTTAATCTTTTACTTAAACAAGGAATACCCGAGTATTAGATAATGGTACATCACCTACTATAGGTATATGTGGCACTTCCAACTCAAACCACTAATCAATGGCTCATCAGTATCTGCTAACACAGATCGAAAAGTCCGAACACTAATTAACAGTAACGTTCATACAATTGACAAAAATTCACAGCAGCACCAAAATCATTGATAGCAACACCAATACCATCGAAAGCAATGATAACAGCATTGCCAAGGATACTAGCATCAATGTCAATCGCAATTGGGAACATGTGGACCAGACCTTGTCCGACCTAAACGAAGACACAGACAAGTATAATGGGTACAACTTTACGATGAAAACCGGTCAGTAGAGGGTATTCAATAACATTGCTTGTACAGGTTTAATATTGTCTTCAATTTTAGTATGCCTACCCATTCATGATTTAATGAGGTGTTTCGAATCCAAATGGACTGACAGTGGACCCCAATTGGTCAATATAAGGACTGCCCTTTTTTTTTTTTTTTTTTTTTTTTTTCTAATGCATACTTTTTTTTTCTTCTACTTTATTTATTTTTCTCGTTACAAATAAAACCATACAAACCATGGCGACGGATCAAGAAATGCTGGATCGAATTGCAAAGCTGAGTACAGCCATCGAACAGCAAAAAAATATACAAGCTTTTGGACCCAGAAAGACTTACACACCGACCCCATTTCGACCGGCTAGTTATAGTGCACCTAGAGGTCGAGGTGGAAACATGTCAACTCGACCCAGCTATGTTTCACATCATGTGAGGCCAGCACCATATGCTGCTCCATATGCTAGACCTGCTCCATATGCCAGACCTCCTCCGTATGTAAGGCCTGCTCCATACCCAGCACCACATTCCGCCCCTTATACTAGACCACCGCCCTATGTCAGACCTCATGTACCTACCCCCACCAACCACAATAGAACGCTGGTGTTGAATGGAGCTCCTCGCAAGAACCTCATCATCAATCACAAAGGTACTACAACGACCAATAATACCATGGTCGAAACCACCGATGCCACCACAGGTAGAAAGCAAGTGTCTATCAATGGTGTGGATTTTGTTGTAAAAGGAAAAAAGTTGGTGCGCAAAGACTTGTTCGATTCAAATACATCAAAGTCGAATCTTATGAGCACACTGACTGGACCCAAGGTACTTGTTCGACGTACCATCAAAAGGTAAGAAGTAACAAAGATATAAAAATCGTAGCATAAAGGAAAATAACACACTTAAAAAAATGTAATTAAACTTGTTAGACGAGACAAAAATCAAAATATGGTATTGGGTAAAACACCAGCACGTATAATGAAACCCAAAAAGGTGATGAGACGTACGAAAGGAGGTAATATGGTGTTTACGAGAGGACCCGAAGGTTATGTCCGACAAGGCATACATGGCAAATCCTTAATTTTAAACACCCAAGCGAAAAAGAAACCTCGTTACTGTGGATTTTTCACTCGTTACGGTAAATGCCCCAACGTGGGTCGTTGTCCATTTATCCATGATGTTAATCGAAGGGCCATCTGTCCTCGTTTCTTACAAAACAGATGCCAAAAAGCCTGTAAATTATCTCATACCCCCAACCAGTTTAATATGCCTCATTGTGTTCATTTCCAAAAGGGCCTCTGTAAGAACGACCCTTGCATGTACATCCATGTAAGAACAAGTGCCGATGCTCCCGTCTGTAAGGCATTTGCCATGGAGGGTTATTGTCCTAAAGGGACGGAATGCGTAGAAAAGCATATCCATGTCTGTCCGGAATTCGCAGAAACCGGAAAATGTTCAAATGCCAATTGTAGGTTACCTCATGTTGCGAGACGCACAGCAGATAAGAGTTCAGGTATTATTCGATTAGGAAGTTGGGTAAGTCCTCAATACTTTCATGCACAAAAGATGGCGAAATTGGAAAAGAGAAAAGCGCTGGAAGAAGCTGCTGCTGCAAAAGTGTGGACGAGACCGCAAGAACAGGATGATACAAAAGAAGTGGATCGAGAAAAAGAAGAACAAGATGGATTTGTACGATTATTTGATGATAGCGACGAAGACGATGGTTGGAGTCAGTTTGAAAGGGAAAGTGAAGGTGGTGATATTAAATCACTGCGATTTAATGAAGAGGAAAGTGAAGAGGAGAGTGGTGAAGAGGAAGAAGAGGAAGAAGAGGAAGAGGAAGAAGAGGAAGAAGAGGGAAGTGAAGAAGAGGTATATGAGGAGGTGTCGGATGATGGCATGTCGGATATCGAAGAGCCTCCGTTACCAGCTTAGTCGTATAGATTGTATAGATTGTATTAAAATAAAATAAATTATTGCATTAAATATGAATTGCTGGTAACATACCTTCAATCGAAAATAGTTTAATATTTGCTGGTTTTCTAATAAAATACATTTTAATGGTGCGAATCCCATATCTTTGATAGATTTAAGGTTTAGAAAATTTAGAATTGGAGCACTAAGCGTACTTTGAGACATAATTTTTTATTTATCTGTCTTTTCGTTTTACAGCATAAATGATAATCTTATAAAAATAATCCAGTTTTATTGTATTATTGTACTTGAATATTTGTAAAAATTAAAATGAAACGATCGTGACTAAACCCGTTTATTTCTTTCTTGAGTGGATAGGGCAATAAATATCATCCGCCACCACTTGCATGATATGGAATAGACTAAGTGAATGCAGGCGGGAAAAGTTTCCGTTTGTACATATAACAGACAGATCCGGCAATTGGATAACCTTACTGTCACATTAATTTGACTCTTCGGCACTTATGATTTTCATTTTCCATTCTGTATCAGAGTATTATTACCCTTAGGACCATGATTATAATTTAAAATAGTTGAGTAACTATGAATACATCGATTATATTCTTTATGATGTATCGAAGACAAACAGTTGACGTCGTCTGGTGCATTTTCCCAAAAAGGGCATTTCTAATTTTAGGTCACGGCTTTATGTTACACATAAAACTGCAACAATTCAACTGGTAAGAAAAAGATTACAGTTTATAACGATTGTAACCGTGTATTTGTGAATGAATTCTCCGCATATTTAGAGAAACATGTGTGTCATGTTACTGACTAATAACTTCAAACTTGCTCTCTCCCCCTGGAGACTTAAAACTACTTGATTTGAAAGTTTGGATGTCATTGAAAGATGACCTGAGTCAGTCCAAAATTCAGGCCATTCTATGCAGCTGAAGACATATAACCGAAAAATAAATGCACAAAGAGTCGTGCTAAAGTTTAATGTAGATTAATAAGCTCGCCTTACTTGTTCCAAAATTACAGAAATATAGACTTGCCGGAATAATATGTGGTACACCATGCTTAGTGTGCGTGTGTGATCGCAGGAAAGTTTTAAATATGTATAGCGGATACCTGATTCAACACATAATACTCGAAATATTTTTGATAAGCGCAGGAACTTTATTAAAGCCGATATTTATATCATGCAAACAAGACGTCAACTCTATGGAAACGCGATTGGCCTACCGTCTCCTGTCAAAAACACATGTCGCTCAAATAACAACGGCTAATGAAATGAAACTTCCCTCGAAATCCAACGTAATGAAACAAAAACTCTAAAGATTTTATATAGTTAGACCTGATATATGAAGGGCTTTAACAACAAATCAAAGCTTGGATTTAATAGAACTCGACTGGCTGATTTTTGTTTTGTTTTGTTTTAACCCAAAACAATGGCGTTAAATAGAGAGCCGATAAAATCATTTATATGTATCTTTTCATATAGTCAGGCATGGTGTATAGTATTTCATTCAATAGCATTGTCAGAAAGAATATCTTTTTTAAACTGAACTATATTCTTCATTGTTAGAAAAAATAATCACAATGAAAAGAGAACAGAACAGTCTCTGTAACAATGAAGGGGTGTTTCATAATTTAATCGAAGGTATCCTTAATACAACATTGCTGTGCCACATAGCACGGATTACTCAATAACAAGCTAAAGCCCTTGTAAAAACAAAGCAGCCCCTAATGAATAAAATGGGAGGTGATTTTGACAATAGCGCTAAATCTGTTCAAGGAACTCTAAAGGCACAACGGTTTAGAAAGATAAAAGAATAAAAAAAAACTTTACAGAATGTTTTAATATAAGGCAGGGTGTTCTTAGTAACTCTTAGATGAAGAAATAATTGTCAGGGAGAAAGAGAAGAGAGGGGTATACCAGGTAAGAGAATGAAATTACCGGGAGATAGCCACTACTGATTGCTGTAAAGATGAAATGCTTATCAACCGATATTACCTGACAACATTTAAAAAAAGTCCTTCCTCAATCAATCCCTAACATATGCGTATAACCGTAAGATTAAACTTAGCGAAGAATCTATTATTACAAGATACGAACGGGTTCTCTTTTTTGTTCAATGGTCTTAACTCCAACGCTGAGATTGAAACCTAAAACAAGAAATACTATGACTTGTGGAGGTCATGTGGTGTATTGTCTTTAGGATAGAAGAAGGGACACGTTATTGACTTGTAAACATTTTACCAAATGGTTGTGTAGAAGAGTTCTGAATTGATTGTGTGGGTGGCTTCCCACCTTCCCCCCCTTATTTTTACTTTTTTTGTTGTTGTTGTTATTATATTTGTTGAGTAATTATGCAAAACAATATGCAGAGAATATTTTATTATACAGATAGCAAAAAAAAAAAAAAAAAAAAAAAAAAAAAAAAAGATGTCTAATTTAAATAATACAACGGAGAGTGACTTTATAAAGAGCTGACCACTTTGACTGCATGTTCAGCAGTAAATCATGTTCTTTGGCAATGATGTGATCAGGAGCGTCAGAGTAAATGATGGAGGAAGCTGAGGAATTTCTAGTATTTTCACAGAATCCAAATGATAATTGCTCGTGTAGTAAGATTGAGAGTAAAGCGAATTTTTGAATGACTTGTGAAACGAGTTTTTCAAAGGATATCGTCCTTTTTACACGAATGATAATGATATTATTGCAATCATACACAATTTTGAATTTGATCATTGATGGATCTACTTCTTCTGATGAACATACGCTTGCATTGAATAAAATACTGCTGGTTGCGCTACTAATGATACTAAGTTGTGGTGGCGGTGTTGTTGTTGTCTGCTCTATTGCTCGTACTTCACATGTTGTTGTTGTTGATGATGATGAAGATTTCAAAGAGAATACCCTTTTTAAGGTAGAGTAACGAATAGATGGTTTTGGCTTTTGTTGTTGTTTTGAAAAGAAATCTAGCACTAAATTAGAACAGGTGACGGATGAAGGCAATAACAAGATTTGGTTGCAAAACTTTTCGATTTCTAGCTGTCTGTCAATGTATTTTTGATTTCCTTTCCTCAAAAAATTGTATTCTTTTTTGATCATTGTTAGGGTTTTTTTTAGATTGTATTCTTGGTGTAAATTTCGAGAAAAATGAACAAAGTCTGTGTATTCGAATTTCATTTCAAAGCATTGGTTGGCTATCTGGACTTTTATCGGATACCATGTAATTGCATTATTGAATCTTTGATAAGGTAGAACATGCAATCCCACGACAGGGCAATCAACAGAACTAGAATGAACTGACATCACTAAGGTATAAAAAGAAAATTAAGAAAGAAAGAAAGGGAAAGAATTTTTTTTAAAAAAAAAGAAAGGCCTTATTTTATAAGGAAATTTGCAAGCCCTATCTTTCTGTTGGGATATTTATATTTATAATTCTCATTTTACCGATATTTTGAAAACTCTAACTAACCACTTTTTTGGAAATAAAAAAATTGTTCGTATGTGTTAGGTTAAATTACCCCAAAAATAAAAAAGAGACTAGCTTTTCAAAAATAACTTATAGTCATTTTTTTCAAAACAACTCTTTATTTTTCAAGCAAGCTGTTCAGACATTGTTCTTGGGGTTTATGGGTGGTGGTGTGAGCTGAAGTGGCGGCAGGTGAGAGTGTACATCTTGAGCGTTTTTTTTCCTTGACCAATGAGATTTAACTTGTTATGTGAACGTTGTATCCATTTAAACATGTTCAAATTGACGCTTCCATAAAACGTATCACTTTTAAAGATAATGATCAAAAATCGTAAGGTTTATCATGTAAAACAATGCTCAATTAAAAGCTAGCATCACCTCCCAAGTCACTAATTCTAAACTGTGCCAACCATGCAGAAAGGAAAATAAGGCTTATAGAAAAGAGCCACAAGTACTATCCATCGATTGTCTCACATAGAGCTAGTTTCTGCACCTAAGAAAAATATGTTATGGTAATCACATCTTTTACCAAAGATTATCCCCCTTGAGATATTGAATAGTAGAACTATCCGTTATAACAAGTAAAATCAAAATATAAATGACTAATTATACGTCCTGGTTTTAATGATAATGATGTTTACTCTCTCTTTGTGGTGTTTTTGACCACGTGATGCTGAATCACCGATAGAAAAAATTTGATAGGTACAGCATGACGGACATGTGCATTAGAAAAGTACCTTTCTATTCGCATCGATAGATTCCTATTCAGGATTGCCGTATGTTTATCTAATTTGAAGCTATTCCTTTTGTATATAGAAGGCGCACATACTATGGTGACTTATACAATCATCACGTCCTGGCGGTAAATTCTTAAATCATAAGCAATAACCACTTCGCACAATTTCTCTTGACTACTTTTTCTTCTTCTTTTTAACATGGTTTGTATTAATTAGTATGATTATCAATTGATTGATTGGTGTTAAAATGTCGATCGCCAGTGAACTATGTATAGAATAGTAGAAATAGATAGTGTAATGGAATAAGATGTTATAAAAAGCTTCCATTTAAGGCCCGGGATTTATACATTTTACTTGTGTGCCTGAACAGAAACAATCTTATTGTAAAATGTATCAGTAATGCTCATACCATTTATCACATCTGATAGGAGTGCTTTCCTTTTATGTGCCACAGGTAAGTTTGTATTGAAATAGACGATGAGGTAATTCTAGTTGAAGGACATGGATGTTCTTTAAAGGCTACCGGAAAATCTCCTGTTAAGCATTTGAGACCCCCTAAGATTTCATGTCTTTTCCAATAAGCCTAAATAAAAACCTTTGAGGCAACACTTTTTTTAATGTCGCTGGGCTCAAATATGCGGCAAAAGCACTTGTGCGTCAAACAAGACTAACGTTTTTCTTCCTTGATCTTTTTTTTATTTTTATGTTTACCACCTCCCGATCAGAACAAGAAGCTTGGAATGCCTGTGTCAAAACTATTTTAGGCTTATTAGGTACACACTAGTTCGTTTTTACACGTAGAGAAGACAACCTCGAAACTAATCCAACATAAAGAGGACAGTCTTTTCAACGGCGCTGTTCCCAGTACAAAGATCAACTTTCAGAAAAAAGATTGGCTTAACTTCAGTAATGCAAGCACAGGTAATGCAAGAAATAAGACTCTAGTTTTATATTTTATCATTAACAAAAGATAACAGAATCTCTATCGACACCCAACTCACCCAGTAATGTGACAATGAAAAGAAAGCGTAGTTTTTCGGACTCGATTCAAGATCGTAAACAACAGAAACTGTCAAGTAATTTAGCTAATGACATTGCGCGTAGTTTGTCCATGTCTATGGACGATGATGTAGACATGGCCAGTCAGCCAGCGATTAATGTTTATAGTAAACCATTGAATGAGGAGAATCCGGTGCCTACCTTGAGACGCATATCCATGAGCGGAAGTTCGAATTCTTCCACCAGACCATTGACACAGTGGTTAGAGAAACAAGCTCAAATCCACGGGGTATCCTTGACGGATTATAAAAACCTGTTTGATGAAAAGCAAAAGTTATTACGACAACAATTGGAATTATTACAGAAACCGGATCAACCTTTTGAATCCATACGTGAACACTTGTCAAAAGTCTTGAGATTAGCTGATGACTTGAGTGGGGATCATACCGTATCATTTAATGTAAGAAGAGAACAAATGACGTTTTGTTTTTGTTTATCTGATCCCTGTTTTTTATGTATTTGAAACAGGAAATATTTCCAGAATGGACATTATATGAAAATAGAATTAAAAAATTAGCCATCTATGTACAGGTAAACAACTTGGTTTTAATTCACCATATGGGGGTTTGTTATACTCATCCTCTCGTTCTTAGTCTATCGAAGATATGAGCTTTTCGATTAATAACGTTATACCCCAAACAAATGATTTATTGCAAGATATTAAAGGATTACAACACACACTGGATCAGAAAATAGCACTGTATGGCGATGCACTGATTCAAAACGGGTTAGAATGGAAAGCGATGGGAATGCCAGTAGATGATCAATTATTGAATGCCACTAAAGAATGGTTACATAATCTCTGTATTGGGCTACTCAGCGCTCTAGATAAAGAGTGCAAGAAAGCACAAGATCTAGTTCATGACATGCAAAATTTGATTCGTCTGCCAATCGGAGAAAAGGTAACACCCCAAAATGTGCTTTATATATATATTTTGTGGTAAAAAATTAATATGAATTCAAGTTGATGGCCTCTATTTTGGCAGGCTTGGAATTTATCTCCGAAACCTCTACCTTTATTGGATTCACATCTCAAAAACTCGTGCTAGAATGTCGATTAATGGCAACAATTTATGGACAATGGGTGTCTGAGAATTTAGAACATATCAATGATAAATCAACCGAGAAAAAGAATACACACAACGGAACAAAGAGGATTGATATCCGATTTATGCAGCTGATGGATAATATCACACGTATCTTGTCCTGCTTATATACATCGAGTGAATTGGAAATGAAGCATCGGGAAATGTCGCATGCGTCAAGGATATCTGTAGAAAATTTATCATCCGTCTTGGTCGAGTTGACAGTGCGTGCAGTTGGCATCATTGAGATGGAAAGAAAGAATTCAGCTAGCTATAAAATTGCGGGAAATATCATGTCAAATCCTCAGACTGCCTTCATCTATATGGGTGAATCGTTATTAACTTTTGCTAACAAACTTGTGGAATTGGCTGGTAGAGAATGGGCAGATGGTGGTAGAATTCAGGTACTTGTTGAAAATCATCTAATAACAATGCATAAGTCTCATTTTTTTTGTATGTGTGTAGGCTTTACATTCTTACCTTGACGATTTGGAAAAGTCTCTGGAATCATCATGATGGATTATCACCACCACAAAAATGAGAGAACGGAGTCCGAAGCATTCAACTTTTCTCCAAATGCAGATAGTGGTCATCTGGTGCGGGGAGAGATGTATATAATTATCTGGACCTTTTTTTGCTTATGATAATATATCTAGTCTTATAAATATATCCATCCTACTCAATCATTTGAGTGTGTACAATATAAAATTTGTCTTGGCTGTAGTATAATTAAAAAAAAGAGAGAGTTAATGCGTCATGCTGGGAACACCAATCCTTCTCTTGGTATAAGCCAAAATGGGGAAACGGCCAATGAATAATTAAATTCACCCCTCTCCTTAGTTTTTTTTTTTCTTACTTCTTTTACCCTTTTACCAACTTATAAAAAAAATATGTTTTCAAAATCGAATCCCTTTGAAGAGTCAGTGAGTAAGTGAAGCTTATATAAATAGCAAAAAAAAACATGGGTTAATCTGTTCAATATAGTTGCTGCTACCAATGAAAACCTCACCGTGGAAAACTGGGAGTTAATCTTGGCTGTTACTGACAAGATTACTCGTGCTTCACCCGAGAGGTAAAACTAGTCCTTATTTTAGAAACAACAAGGTATTCATTCTCTTCCTTTATTGTATCATCAGTGCTAGAGATTGTGTTGCCGCAGTAGAAAAACGTCTCCTCAACAGAAATCCAAACGTCCAGCTTTACGCAGTGGCCGTAAGTTTTTTCCACATTCATATAGTAACTACAAAAAAAAAGTCTAACAAGTTCATTATCATTAACTAGTTGACCGAGGCACTGGTAAAAAACTGTGACATCACGGTGCACCGTGAGATCTCTTCTCGCTCCTTTACCAACACGCTAACCAAACTTGTGCATGATAAGAGCATTCATACCAAAGTACGAACCCGCATTCTCGAGTTTATTCAAATGTGCTCCTTTGAATTCAGAGCTGATTCCACACTTGGTTTAATGAATGAAGTTTACAACTCTTTACGTGCTGAAGGTATTCAATTCCCTTCTCCCCAGAAACCCAAAAAGGAATTTACACAGGTACACACAAATAATAAAAAGGAAAAGGGGGGTGTATTGAACAAAACAAAAAAAAAATTAATCTATTATTTAAACTAGTCTGAACTTGATAAACAGAAGGAGGAAGAAGAATTTCAACTGGCCTTAGCCCTCTCTCTCTCAGAATCGGAGAACCGTTCTTCATTTAGGGTAAATTTCTAAAGGATTTTAATATGTCGATCATTGCGATACTAAAAAACGTATTTATAGTCATCTGCAGCAGCTCCTGCCGCCGCCAAGGTGACCACCGCAGCCGCCAAGGTAAATAATGAAGCACTATATATATATATATTATAAAAGCGTATTAAACCCCCCAAAAAAATAATATAAAATCAGCCCACGCAAGAAGAAACATCACCTCAGATTTCAAGAGTAAGAGCACTGTATGATTTCCAACCTACAGAACAAGGCGAGCTTGGATTTGAAAAGGGAGATATCATTCGTGTGATTGAAAGTGTGTACCGTGATTGGTGGAAAGGTGAATTACGTGGAAAGACAGGTATCTTTCCTGTCAATTATGTGGAGAAGATTGTCGATCCCTCGCCCTCAGATTTGTTAAAGGAAGCCTCTGTTGAAAACGAAGTCATGAACGAAACTCGTCACATTGACCGATTATTGGAAATGCTTTCTTCTACAGATCCTCGCACAAGAGACTCATTTTCAGATAACGATGAGCTCCAGAACCTGTACAATAGTACTTTATCTATTAGACCAAAATTGGTGAAACTGATTGAAAAATACAGTTTAAAAAAGGATGAGCTTGTGGCTTTAAATGAAAAATTCATGCAAGCCAGAACAATGTATGATGGTATGCTCTCAAATTCCATTGCTAAATATTCTTCCGCTCAGCAAAATGGTCCCTATGGTTACCCCCCTCAGCAACAACAACAACAACAACAGCCTTACTCCAATGGTAATTACCCTTACCAATCCCCTGCCCCTGTTGCCAGCCCACCTTATGGACAACAACCACCTGCCTTCACATACCAACAACAACAACAACATAGTCCTGCTCCTCAACATCAATCTACCCCGCAACAACCCTCGTTTGCGTACAACGAATCCGCTCCCCCTCAACAACAACAACAACAACAACAATTTGACTACAACGCTCCTCCTCAGGGTCAATATCAACCACCTCAACAACAACAGCAACAACAACACGGGGATTATAACGCACAATCGCCATACAATGGACCACCTCCAACACATAATAACATGGCATCTCCTTCACCCGAGCACTATAGTGCTCCTCCTCCTCAGCAACAACAGCAACAGGGTAATTACTCTGCGTATCCTCCCAATGGGCCTCCCAATGGGCCTCCTGAAGGATATCCAGGTGTTGCTGGTGTTGGTTATCAGTCTCCCGGTCCACAACAACCATCTTACACTCCACCAGGATATAACGGACAAACACAACAAACGTATGCTCATAACTATTAAAAGTTAGGGGGAGGGGAGTTAAAATAGCGTAAAGGAATGTTTAATAAATATTTTCTATTGTCAGCGAGACCATGCAATCAGAAAACAAGAGTAAAAAGGATGGGAATGTGAAAAAAATAAATAAGAACAAAAAAAAAAAAAAAAAAAAAAATTCTTTAATCTAAAACTAATCTAAAAGGAATCCCTGTTTTTTTTCATCTATTCACCCTTTTTTCGTTTCTTTTGTTCACCCTTTATTTTTTATTATTATTATTATAGACAGTGAAAATGAAATTACTTGCACTGTTTGCTATATTAGACATCGTTCTGTGTATACAACATGGTGCAGATGTAACAGATATAACGCAATATCCATTTTATATCATGATTGGCAATCCACACATCTGCGGTGGAACCTTATTGTCGTATGATCCTCCTCTCGTTTTGACATCTGCTCATTGTATTGCCGACGCCGAATTTCATCCATCGGATAAATCAAGGTGGAATCCTTACTTCGTTAATTATAACAATGTCTATCGCGACAAACAAAAATCCATGTCCATCATTGACTGGTCTGTTCATCCTTTATACAACGTATCCAATAATGTCAATCAGAACTACGATGTGGCTATCGTCCGCTTGGCTAAACCACTGACACAGTCTTCCAGAATAAAGCGAGTACCCCTCTGGTCCCCTTCTACATCTTCATCCACACCCAAGCGAGGTATGTTGTCTTGATGAACACATTATATATATATATAATTTTACCCTCCGTTAATAATACATTTCATATACATCTTAGGCGAGTTGGTGGGTTTTGGCTACACTGGATTAGACGAGCCCGAGTCACCCATTTTAAAGCGAATGCAATTAGATATCACACGATTTCAAGTCAACGGAAGTTTTAATATCGAGGCAAGGACCGATATGGAATCACGGATTGCCTGCCACGGGGATTCTGGTAGTCCTCTGATTGTCTACCAAAGTGTTCTAAATCCAGCTACAAATAAACATGAAACAGTGCCGTTTGTAGCAGGGAATCTAGCCAGGATCTTTGGAGCGCACGATGCAGGTCCTAATCGGTTGACCTGTCCCATTCCTCATAAACCTGATCATAAGGACGAAGCCAGTGTGGTGTTACCGTATCATAAAGCGAATTATGTGCCCGCCAGTCAACGACCGCAAAACAATGTGATCGAAAGCTTCTGTAATGTATCCGTGATGCTGGATTGGATCTCCAAAGTGACAGGAATTTCCAAGCAGAATCTATCCGACCCATTTTATGAGCCACCTTGTGCTGACTGTCCATCCCATGATGATAGAGAGGAAGACGATAGTCAAGGTAACTTACATCTTCTTGAATGGCGTATCGGGGTCATGACGGGCTTTATGAACTCACATTTATGGATAGGTGGGATGAACCAAGACGATTTCTCGGTACAGGCTGTACCGGCTGCATCAAGTACTCCATCTACATTTCAGCATCCACACGCTTCTTCATTTGTATTATTTATTACCCTTTTTCTTTTCTCTCTAAATTTAATAATTCTTTAATCAATAATAATAATAATAATAAAAAAAACAATACGTAATTGTTTTTTTGTAATTTGAAAAATTAAAAAAGAAAACATTCATGCAGCAAAAAATGCTTCAATTACAACCATCTACTTCTTTTAAAATCACTTCTTTTTTTTTTTATTACCGAGAAGTATGGACTTTCACCTTAAAACAACTTCTTTGGGTTTTCTTTTCGGGAATTTTTTAACCTTTTTTTTTCTAAATAAACAGATTGCTCTGAGAATTAACATTTTTTTCTTTTGGGAAAAAAAAAAGTTAAAATATGACAGATTCTTATGGTTAGATCGTATATTACAAGAGAGTCTGAGAGATCAATTATTAAACTTACATCAAGCTATCTTGGGATATCAGTACAATGCATGATATGTGTCAACTCAGTGTCCGACCCTAACACTTTTAAAAACATATGACAATGCTTTTTTTCATGTTTCCCCGGCTGGAAAAATAAATGGAAGGCGACAAATACATTAGACAAGCCGTATAATTGGGGAATGAGCACTTGCTCCGAAAAATGGTGAATGATGTCTCTTGTAAAATAGTAAAATATTCAAATAGTCCTATTACAGGATGAAAACAATGCATATGTGTAGTCCCACTTTAAGGAACTCCAGAATACTTTTTTTTACGTGACAATATTATTTAGATTACTCATATTATATCAGACAGAAAGCATCAGAGTGTCAGTATTTAAGATAAATAAAGAATCACCCAAAGTTGGTATCAAGGGAATACTTATCAAAGATGACACTGTATGTCAACATGTATACAGATTAAAAGACAAAGGAACCCCCCACCCCAATTCCAGATGATGAGGTGAGCTCTGATGGGGTTTATACTGTGATAGTGAACAATAGACTGTAAAGTGTTCAACTCAAGTTATTGTATTTATTGAAAAGAAAAAGATGTCGAAAGATGAATGCCTCCAAATCTTTCAGGTTGCGCGCCAGACATACTTGACAGCCTAATTGATGATTTACTCAGCACACACAAATCGAGATGATTCAACGATACTTACACCAAATTTATAAGCTTGGTTTCCTTTTTGAAATTGTTACATATATCTCACCAACGAAACAACGGCAAAAAAGAAGAAGAAAAATGTTTTTCTCCAGAGTACACTTAGCTCTCATACAATAAGGTTGGCATCAATTGTTTTACCCTTAGAATATGTCAAGATTGTCTATTGAATCTAATATAAAGACATTAAATATCGAGCTCTCAATTTTGTGTTTTTGCAGAGTTTTAGAATTAAAATAAGCCTAGCTCAAAACGTATTGGATAACTTATTTGGTGTCCCGATCATTTGGATGCTTTATTCTTATTTAGTAGAGGCAACTTGGTCTTTTTTTGGGACTGCATTCAACTAAGAGATTAGCCTCGTATGTTATACCACGTCTGATTTATTGTACGAAGATGGTGTGGTAGTAAATAAGACCAATCAGACAACAACAACAACAACAACAACACACAAGAAAAAAACAGGGAATACTACAAGTGTCAATTAAAATATCAAGCTCACTCAACGAAAACCTAAATAATCTATTTTGCCTCTATTACACTGTCTATGTTTATTGTAACTAATGGCAGTAGTTAAAATTTTAGTGCAATATTTTAAATAGTGTTTGTTTTTGTTTCTTAAAAACATTCTCTCTTGTTTTTCAAGGCTTTTCCCCGTGATGTGGATTCATGGTGAAAGTGACTGAGAAAGAAGAAAAAAAAGAGGGGGGCGAATTAGTAATATATCTAACCCGACTTTGTTTGGTTAATTGCATGTTCTAGAAGCGCCAGTGACTGATAATCGGTGAACTGATTAATCGGTACAAATACGATTAGATCACACATGTAGTTCCAAAAACAGACTCTCTCTTTTTTAAACAATTTCGTCATTAAAATAAAAATTGTTTTTTTTGGGCGAATGTATGTGAATGCATAAATACATCTTGTTTTTAATTTATTCATTAAACAACCTGCAGGAAGCGTGTTTCATCCGTGTGGTACGGCTTTTCCCACTTTGTGTAGAATTTTTCTCCACATGTCTAAATATTCACTGTACAACGAAACGTAAGGTCATTTTAATCATCATGGCCCCATTCTGAGTAAAAAATGCACCGTATATATAAGCGTATGACGTCTTATTCTGTAAAAAGAAAATAAGGTTCTGTGTGAGTTGTGTAATGTAGATCCACATGTATAAAAATGAAAAATTGAATTATTAATAGTCATTTAATAATGGGAAAAAAACGCCCTCCATCATCATCAGCCAATATTCGATTTGTGCAGGTTATAGGATAGTTACTCATCGGCGATCTGGCACCCCTCTATCTGATTTCGAAATTCTAGTGAGGATAATCTTCGGATTTAAGAGACGTCAGAAAAGCAACAACAACTGTATAGTCTATAGTTGGAGGATTTCCTGTGTCACGTGTGGGATTTTTTTTTTTTTTTTAGTTTTTTTTTAAAAAACATCTCTTCATCATGGATGAAATTCTCAAAGTAGGTGATATAAAGCTAGAGGGCGACCCAGTGAAAGGACAAGAAGGAGAAAAAACGACAGAAAAGGTACAAGATGTACAAGAGGGAGTACAAGATGAAGGACAACAAAAAGAAGAGGAACGGGAACTTTCAGTACGCCATGAGGAGCCTCAAGTTAATGGAGGAGAAGGAGAGGTACAAGCACAGGATTTTGAGGTACAATGTGACAAGGATGAGTACTTGGTAAAGACAATAGACTGGAAGGGGAAAAAGATTCGCATTATTACACAAAACGGTAAAAAAAAATAACAATTAATTTTTTTTTTTTACGCGTACAAATAATAAACTAATCCCTTATGTGTGATAGAGAATGGGCCTTGTCCGTTAGTGGCTATCAGTAATGTGTTATTTTTGAGAGGTGATTTAGAAATTCAACCAGCGGATCGAGAAGTGGTAAATTTTGACTATTTAGTGGATAGATTGGGTGACTATCTATTGAATCATGCACCCGCTGAAGAGCAAGAGGTAAGAAAAGCAAGTTAAAAAAAAGGGGGGAGGAGGTGGGGGGAGGTATAATCAAAACTCATTTCTCAGTATGTGTAAAACAGACCTCCTCTTCGCGTATTGAGCACTTGATGAATTACAGACACAACTTGGATACGGCACTTTCAATCTTGCCAAACCTAAAAACAGGACTCGATGTCAATGTTCAATTTGATTCTATTCATGGGTTTGAACCAACAGCTGAATTAGCCATGTTTGACTTGTTTAATGTTGATCTTGTCCATGGTTGGGTTGCAGATCCTCAAGTAAGGGTTTTTAAGGAGACAGTCAAAAAAAAAAAGTTGGTTATTTGATACTCGTCAATTATGTAGGATATTGAAACATTTGATATAGTTGTAAATAAGTGTAAATCATATAATCAAACAGTGGAGTTTATTGTGCAAGCAAATGAAATTAGCTCACGTATCCGACAAGAGCCCTTTACATTAGCTGAAGAAGAAAAACTACACGAAGGTAAAAAAAAAAAAAAAAAAAAAAAAAAAGAGAGAGGTGGAATAATGGGGGGTAAGGGTAAAAAAAAAAACGTGCGTGTCTAAAAAAAAAAGTTTAAATATAGGCTATATAGCAACTGAGTTTTTAAATAATACAGCGACGCAGTTGACTTATTTCGGACTTGAGCTTTTATTAGATTCAATTCCAGTAGACACTTTGTGCGTGTTGTTCCGTAACAACCATGTGAGTGGGAGTGGGGCGGGTAGGTGAGGATAGTAAAAAGCGATGTATTGACAAGAGAAATAGTTTTCGACGGTGTACAGACACCCTCAATCAGGTTTATACATGCTAGTGACGGATTCAGGATTGGTATTGGAACGGACTATCATTTGGGAGAGTATTACTGATGTCGATCAAGGTTCATCTGGATTCTTTAATGGTAATTTCGAAACTCCCCGTAGTCCCAAAAAGGATGTCAATACCGATTTAGAGTAAGGTTATTATGTTTACAACTGATTATGTCATTGATCTTCTTTTTTTCGTTGTTGCTATGGTATTAGTTACGCCATTGCCATGTCTATGCAGGACAGGCAAGAGGACCCGAAAAGGAATAGCCAAATAAGTAACAGTAACGGATCAAGCAAGATGATGAAAAAGACAAAGGATAAATGTGTAATTTCTTGAGCCGTCTAGTCGGTTCCAAAGTGGCCTGACATCATTTTACCCAATTAGGGTACAACGATCTACCTAATTTTACTTTTCCTCTTTTGTAAAACATGAACCTCCTAAATAAAGAATATAAAATATGTGATTATTTTTTTGTTTTTTTTTTTTTTTTGTTACTTGTAATCCCCCATTTAACAATTTCCTCATTTTCATTTACCATTCCTTAATTGGTAATTTTGCTAGACCGTCCGATCGGAAAAATGAAATGATTGTCTGATCGTGACAGGATAGAAATATATATATATATTTAAAAAAAAAAAAAAATGCTATAAATTTTTTTTTTTTTTTCGTAATTCATTCTTTTTCTCTTCTCTTCTGTTCTTTTCTTTATTTGATCCCCGTGACATATATATTTTTTTTTTTTTTTTTTTTTTTTTTGCATAAATGAGATAGAAAATAAAAAATTTAATAAAAAAAAATATGACAGCAGACAGAGGTTAGCTTTTATATAAGATGGAAATTCATATACATAAGACTCATGTCAAACTTAGATAACCAAGAACCCAATACACCTATTGATGGTGAGACTACTACCGTCCGAACCCAGGCCGCATTCGTTAACAAACTCTACAAGTAATAATTATACATATAAATATATCACAAACAAAACAAGTTAATTGCTTACTATAGAATGCTAGAAGATAACACCATTCGAAGCCTCATTTCTTGGTCAGACAGAGGAGATTTATTTAGCGTGTCAAACCCAACATCCTTTTCGAAATCAGTGTTACCCCAGTACTTTAAGCACAATAATTGGCAAAGTTTTGTCCGTCAACTCAACAGTATGTCGCCCCCCTCATAAGCACGTAAAAAAATATCAAGATATTCATCTTTTTCTTCTTCTTATAGTGTATGGCTTCCACAAGGTGAATGACATGATTCATTCGAACTTGACCTCAGATAACCAGACTTGGGAATTCAAACACCCACATTTCAAAAGAGGAGAAGTAGAAGAGTTACAGAATATTAAGAGAAAGAGTACCAAGCCTTCATTTGCAACAGCCACATCACCATCACGTATACCATTAACCAGACTTCCTTCAGACAACGATGATGATGTCTATGGTCCATTGTATAAACACATTCTACATATAGAAGATCGTTTGCATCATGTATCAAAATCCTATGAAATACTAAAGAATGAAACCAATTCATTAAGGACCGTTCTCAACAGACAGCAGCAGACGATCTCTGATTTTGCAGTATTATTGGGCGATGTGTTGGAAGGAGAAGATTGTAAGTGTATCTATTGGAGTGAATCATTACAAGTAAAACTAATAATAATTATAAAATTACACTTTTTTTTTTTAGGTAATCTGGGTGTTAACACATCATCGAAAAAAGGTACATCATCGAGAGATCTCTGATGAAAAAAAAAATGTGACACTCAATTTTTATAATTAGATATAATTCTCTCGAAATTGAGTGATTTGCAAAGCCAGTTTGTAATCGACAATGTAAGCCAAGAATCATTATCATCGGGTACGCAACCGAATAACTCCAATTCACCTGTATCTACAAGATCACTTGAGCAATTTTTATCATCACAACAACAACAGTATCAATATGGGGATACATCGTATTCAAGTCGTCGATCGTCCGATGCAAAACAACCAATTCCACATGGTAGCTCACTTTTAAAAGTCATATTAATCTTTTTTTTTTTCTCTTTATTAAAATCTTTTTTATTATCTATTAGTGAATCGACGTATGGGGTTTGGTAAGGAATCCCATTTATTAAATCCTGAACCAACTATGAAGAACGATGGTAAATGTGATTTCCTTCTTTTTTATCTGATTAACTAGTCACTTACTCCTTCTTCTCCCATAGATGATAAATTCATAAAAAAACGACGTACCGATTAAGCATTATATCCCCCCACTCACCCCCTCTTCTCCTTTCTTTTTTTTTTCAAAACAAACCCTTTTTTTTATTTTTGCATTTTTTTCTTTTATAATCATTCATGTATTATGACACATCTCTCTCTTTTTACTGCCTGTAACCATGTAATATTATTTCTATGCTTACTATGAACTTTTCCCTTTATATAAATACAAGAAAAAAAAATCTCTCGCTCTTTCTCTCTCCCACACACATCCACCATGCATATAAACTTTTTTTTTCTCTCTTTTGTCAATAATAATAATAATAAAAAAAAGAAGGAGTAATCCAAAAACCCGGGTGTTTCCAAATATGTTCGCGCGAAATAATTGAAATCAAGAAATTTCGCCGATAATTCTCGATATAGTAAATAAACTCGGTTTGTTCAAATAAATTTACGGGTAGAAGAATCAAGGTTTGTGTTCTACCACATAGTTTTATTAGAAAATGGGACTAAAATCCAATTTGCCCGTTTCTCTGAATTCAGTTAAAATGCAGTTTTTTTTTGTTAGAAACAAATTCCTTAATAAGGAAGGTTTTCTCCCATGTAGTTGGTTTTTGCGCTTTTTTTTTTTTTTTGGAATGCTAATACCGCGACATTTTTTTTTAACTTTTTAAAATTCAGTGCCACATAGTTAAAATTGTCCATGCTATATAAGCCACAACGTGTGTCTTTGTTTATTTTTATTTTATTTTTTTAAATTATAGATGCAAAGGGAGGAGGAGGGGAGAGAGGGGGAATATACACACAAGAGAAATTTACAAATAGGGTTTTTTTTTTGTTGGTGCTACTTCTACCAGCCCCATAGTTCTTGAAGCCAACCTTCAATGTTGCAAGTGGCATCTGCACGCACTTTAATAAACTCGTGATTAAGCATCTCCTCAGGCGTGGGACGTTGCTCGGGGTCCTTGATAAGACAGGTGGAAACAAATTTTTGACACTCGATGGAACGATCTTCTCCGACTGTAGGCATTGGCTGATGAACAATAAAATCCAGCAACTCAAAAATCGTAAGGTGAGGTTGACCTGGCGGGGGTAATGCAGGTCGGTTTTGTGCTACTTCAATTATAGTTAGTCCTAACGACCAAATATCGGAACTGACGGAATACGTTGCGCCCTTGATACGCTCAGGCTATTATTAAAAAAAGAAGAGAGGTCACTAAAAAAAAAATCTATCAAACGTCATTCTACACTTACTGCCATGTAGTATTGCGTGCCCGTAAATGTTTCTGCCAAGGAGTTGATAAGTTCTCCAGAAACACCTAAATCACAAAGCTTGATTTGTCCCTTTCTCGTCATCAGAATATTGGAAGGTTTGATGTCTCTGTGAATCACCTTTTGTGAATGCAAATAAATCAAGCCCTTACAAACCTATATTTTTTTTACGCGTACATGAGTGATCATGCCTCCACCCATCAAAAAAAAAAAAAAAAAAAAATACTTACAGCTTCCGCAATATTAGCCAAGATGGTTTCACCAATCTTGCCATGAATCTGTGTTGCACGTTTATAGATATCTTCTAGACTACCACCTTCACAATACTCCATGCAGATGGCAATGGTACTTTCACCGTCCTCTAAAAAGGCACCATAAAAGGAAACGATATAAGGCGACTCACATGTCTTTAAAAAGGACAGTTCTCTTAGGATTTGTCGTTGTAACTGAGTATCTGGATCTACCGTGATGGTCTATAAATACGTATATATATATTAGTGTGAAGGGAAGGGAAATAAAAAACACGTTTTTTTTTAATAATAGATGAAAAATACCTTTTTGGCCATAACCAATTTGGTTGGAGCATGCACTACTTTCCACACTGTACCAGCAGCACCTTCACCTAATCTTTGGGCGTTTTCGAAATCCTTGGGTTTCATCTCCCCCTTCAAATTATCATCATCATGGCTGACAAATCGTGCAATATCTTGTCGCCAGTCACTGTGGTTGTCACTTTCCGGATAACATCCATTTAACTCTAGTTTTAATCCCGTAGGCTTATTTTTTAATTTACTGCTCATCGTCTCTTTTTTTTTTTTTTCTGTGTTTTTAATAATAAAAGAAAAAAGAAAAAGAGAAAAGACACGTTTTTCCCTTTTTTTTTGTGCTTGGAAACTTTTTGTTCCCTTCCCCCCGTTTTTATTTGCCTTTTTTCTGTTTACTTTGTGTCACACCCGTAGCATTTTCTTTTTGCTTCTTTTGTATAGTCGTGGGCGGAGTTTCCGGACCGGACTGCTTGTCCAATCGAGGTGCAAAAAAGTTATGTGTGTAGGTGTGGGTGTGGGTGGGGGGGGGTGCGTCTACTTTGGGGGGTGCAGAGTTCTCTTTTGGTACGATTCATCATAAACAGTTTCATGTTTTTAGTCATTTGGAAAGAAAATAAAACGGTTGACGTTTTCGGTCCTTTGAACTCCACTTTCATTACAACACATGTCTAAATACCAAGGATGACAAAAATAGACATTGGAATGGTTTTCCCCTCCACACAAGAAGAGAACTAAAATTAGATTTGCTGTTGTTTAGCGGTGTTTTTCAAATGGTATCTAGTATCAAAAAATAGGTGGTTCAATGTACTAATATAGAGAAAAGTACGGATAAATGTTAACACTGTGACAAAACACACCAGTATATCATCGAGTTGTTTCTATACTTTCTAGTGAAGCAGGTATAAAAAACGTCATGTATCATGTCACACAACAAAGGTACATTCACGTTTTGGGTCACTAACTGCGAAAAAAAAATAAATAAGACGCGTGTATGATGTAAAGTCTTGTCACTTATCACTGCATAACATAGTCAGCTACTGTCAAAGAAATAAAAGAATACCCAAGCTGATCATCAAAATACCTTTTGACTGCTCAACAAGTGGTAGTACAGTCATTGCTAGAATGTTCTGTGATTCTATATACTGCTCACGCAACTTACTTTCCATGTATTTTATCAAGAACAGGACTGCTGTTTTTTTTTATCAAACAGACATTTCTTTGAACAGTGCCTATTGATCTGCTGGGTAACCTCATTCCAATGAACCGCTAATTCTTTCCATCTTCGGGACCTCTAGTGTGTAGCACTAATAAGAGCTTTTAAAAGTGTAACTATATTATAAGTCCACCCTCGATGATGAACAATCCTTGTTGATATGCACACTTTTGTAAAAAGGGAAACGTTTTCGGATATAATTAACATTTATAGCTTTAACCGATCATAAAGAAACCAAATGAGGTGTAGTTTCTTTGTGTAGCTGGAAGGAGCCGAACGATATTTCTAGCTGTAACTAGGCGCATAAGTTGGGGGAAGGGGACGGGAGGGGGGGGGGAAGGGGTCGGGAAGAGAAACGTTTACAGAATGTGAAGTTCAACAGCTATTGTGTTTAATCCAAATATATAAAAAAAGGCCTATGGTAACTAACGATACAATCCATTGTGTTAAATGTATCAAGGAAGAGAAAATAACAAAAGTGCATCAAAAGGCTTTAATGAATGTCGCCGCAGATTATCATTGTCAGATAACGATCAAAAAAGGGTGGCGGAGAAGAAAAAGGAGGTTTACTGTTTACACCGATCACTTGCTTTTAAAAGAATTGTTCGAAATGTTACGACCCCCAAAAAAAAAAAGTAAATTAGAGCTATTGTTATTGTGTGTGTGCGTGTGGTACGATAAGGTGTGAGAAGAAGAATCAATGCTACACAGATATAACGCTATGACCTTGGAAATCTTGAAAAGAAAATAAAATTGTCGGGTATAGGTGTTACTTGGTACTACCCTTGTGTTGACCGTGCTTCAAGATATATAGAATCCGATCCTCACTTATGCTTAATGAGGCTATTCCGAGCAGAACATATTAAGATGAGTTGCTTGCCAGCATGAGAGTGGAAAAGGATCGTTTAGAGAATGATATGACAAGGGGAAGAAGATCAGGATGTGGTTTTTTGTACCCACCTCCCATAATGCAGTTATTACATGTCGTGTAATCAGCAATAAAATAAAAATAAAACAGTCTGCAAGGTCGTACGATAAATAATAAAAAAAAAAGAGTAAAAATCCAAGGGCACAAAAACGATAGAGTATTCTTTCTTTTTCTTCCTTATTCAAACAAAAAATGATCTTGTCAGATGATATACACTTGAGCTATGTAATTAGCGATTACACCGATTTATGCAAAATGTTAATGATTTATTCACCTGACTCAAAACCATCACAAGCAGTCGCCACCACAAAGGCTTTACTAGCCTACAAAACAAGGTACACTTTGCCAAAGTCAGTTCGCTACCATTCAGCTAAAAGTCACTTGATTGAGAACTTGATGTTCAGGGCCATTCAACATTGGTGTTGCATTAGTTTCAAGATTGTCCCCATTGAATTGGAGGTAATAAAAAAAGATACACCCAAATGTATTCTGTACTGTGTCGCCGCTATCAGTCTCGTCACCACCACCACCACCACCACTACAAAACCACCACCGTTACAAGAAAACAGACAAAACAAGGTCAAGAAAATCTATGATAAGTCTGCAGAAGGATTCAAAAAGGATGTGGGCTTCTACTTTTACGAACGAGCCGTCAGTTTCCTAAATGAAGTCCTGTTTAACGATGAAGAAGAGGTATTATCCGTTACTGCTATCCAATGCTATTTCTGTCTTAGCTATACCGCCAATTTACTACGACTGACGGGAGAACAACGTACATGGCACTATTTAGCCTGTGATCAACTCATTAGCAAGGTCAAATACATTAACGATTCAGCCGCGCTACGACAATGTTGGTATCGTTGGTACTACATTGATGCTTGGATCGCATTATCTCTCAATATGGAGTGTCTTTTACCCGATAAATTACCCTTTGTAACAAAAAGGCCGGTCAAGACCAGTACGACGACTGTTGTATCACCGGAAAAGAACAAGGGCCATAGTAACTGTTGCATCATGTCAAACGATACGCTGTATGAATTCATGTTGATGACACAATTTATGAGAAGATTCAATCGATGTATCCAATCGGGTACACTTGTCCATTGCTATGATGCTTTGACAGTGGAATTAGAGCGTTGGTGGCAAAGTATTACGAACAAGAATCTTCATCTTGCGATTTGTTATCATTCCATGCGACTTGTGATACTGTTTTCCTTGTTACAGCAATCGCATATATATAACGTAGACGACCTCTTGTTACTAGATGGTTTGGACATGACCTTGCAAATATTGCAAGGCTTACAAGATTTAAAGTTGATGAAATGCGATCAAAGCACGTACCATCACATGTTTTTTGCGGTGCATAAGACGTTAATGAGTATATTGACCCATATTGGACGAAATGAACACTATCGATATTTGGAATCCTTTGCGAAACAGCAATTTGAAATGAACCTGTGTATTTTGGAAGGAACAGAGGCATTTATCAACGATATTTATGCTATGAGAACCATTGGTTCCATGATTGAAGATGATTTGATCTCTCTGGGTTATATTCAAAACGATGAAATCACAAACACTAAAAAATCAATACATGTCTTTAGAGCAACCAAAGTGGCTCGCTTGAAACATTAAAAAAGTCACTTTTTAAATTTTTTTATTATTATTATTTTCTTTCTCTCTTTTACCCCCTACACCCTTTTTACCCTCTCAATGCTGAAACTTCGTCATTCTGTCATCAATGTATAAATAAATAAATTATCAATCTATAAAAATTAAAGTTTTTTTTTTATAATAGAATGTATTTATATCGAAATCAAGATTTCATACCACCTCAATAATAAATAAGGAAAAACTGCGTGTGTTATTTTTCGGTACGGACGATTTCGCCTCTACTCATTTAAAAGCATTGATCAAGGAAAAACGTAATGACACATTGGGCTCAACAACAACAACAAAAAAGACTCATTTTTCTTTTTTTTTATTACTTTAGAACGCGATGAGTCTTGTATTGAAAGCATCGATCTTGTATGTCCTCCCGACAGAAAGACGGGAAGAAAGCTTGAAACACTTACACCAAGTTAGTCCTTTCCCGCCGCCGCTGCTGTTGCTGCCCGCCCTCGAACTAACCTTTCTCTTTTCTTTATAGGTGAGACAAAAGGCGTAGCAGAATCCAATCATTTACCAGTGTTTTTCACACCACCGGCAGTTAACAATTTGGAAAAATGGAATATACCCACAGATAAAACATATGACCTCGGCGTCGTTGTCTCATTTGGTTATTTCATTCCTCCTCATATCATTTCTGCATTTAAATATGGTGCTGTCAATGTCCATCCTTCTCTTTTACCCAAATACAGAGGCGCGGCTCCCATCCAACATGCTATTCTGTACGGCGATAAAGAGACAGGTGTCAGTGTTCAAGAATTAGATGATCGTGAATTTGATGCGGGTAGAATTTTAGCTCAGGAAAAAGTGGTACACCTTCCTCCTTCTCATTGCAAATTGTTCTGTTTTTTTTTTGCTAACTTTCCCTCCCCAACAATAGAGTTTATTGGATAAAGTACCTGTGTATTCCGAGTTGAAGAAATCCTTGAGTGATATCGGAAGTAGATTGTTAGTGGACACCGTATGTCATTTAGAGGACCGAAAGAAAAACGCGCAAGTGCAAGATATCTCCAAGGCAACCAAGGCACCCAAAATCCAAAAGAAATGGTCCGAAATAGATTTTGAGACCATGTCGGCATGGCAAGCGGAACAATTGAATAGGGCCATTGGAGAACAATATCCCATCCGAACCGTCTATCACACCACCTCTAAAAAACCCAAGGATATTGTGATTCAATTCCTTAACGTGTTTTTACCTACACAAACAACCATCTTTGGACCACCCGGTACGTTTTCTTGGCATCGTCCTTCCAAGTCCATCCATATCATGTTTGGGGATGGCAGTGTGGCAGGGTGTACTCATTTTAAGGTAGAGAACAAGGGGATTATCTCTGCATCGGATTTTATCAATGGGTATCAAGTACAGGGTCAATTTGGTGTTCCCATGCCAACTGATGAATTAGTGTTTAAACAGAACATGAAAAAGAGAGCAAAAATGCAACGTTACAATTCCGAATAAAAATTTAAATTTTGCGTGTCAAAAACCCTTGGGAAGTGACTCGGTCTTTTTCTAATTCAAAATGCGGGGAAGAAAAAGAGAAAAAGAAATCTTTTTTCTTCTACTTACCATTTTTTTTTTAAAAAAACATAATATGAGCACTGTGGAAATCCGACCTGCTTCTGTTAACGATGTAGGACTTATTTTGAGTTTCATCAAGAAGCTTGCAGCCTATGAAGAGCTTGCACATGAAGTTGTGGCCACGGAGGAACTTCTTGCGGAATCCCTTTTTGGAGAAAAGCGTCATGCGGAAGTGATCTTCGCCTATGCTCAAAAGAACGCCGAGTCCCCTTTAGAACCAGCTGGTATGGCTCTTTATTTCCACAATTTCTCGACCTTCTTGGGTCGTCCTGGACTTTATTTGGAGGACCTCTTTGTGGATAAGGAATTCCGAGGCCAAGGTATTGGTAAGAAGCTCTTGACTCAACTCGCTGTCATTGCAAAGGAAAGAAGTTGTGCTCGTTATGAATGGGTTTGTTTGGATTGGAATAAACCTTCAAGAGAGTTCTATGAAGCCTTGGGAGCTAAACCTCAAAGTCAATGGATCATTCATCGCGTCGAAGGAAAGTCCCTGGACGATCTTGCCGCATTGTAAATATTACCCCTAATTTATTATAAAAATAAATCTTTTTTTGTTGTTTTACATCTACCAGAATAAAAAAAAAATAGATTATCAGTTTGTAAGGCCGACAATTTTCACTGATCTTTCAAGGAATCCATCCCAAAAAGAAAAAAAAAAGCTTGGATTAGTAATGTATTTTTGTTTGATGGTTTGAAGATGTACCTTATTTCTGAAACGTCATAGTGATACAAACCGATTAGTAGGAGGATCTATCAGATAAAAAAAAATGAAATGGAAAAATGACAGTTAGCACAAGTACTTTGGGCGGCATATAGTAGTAAGTGGATATACGAGTTACCCTCTGTGCAATAGATGTGTACTTTTGTGAAATATGTGGGATCTGCTCGAATATCAGTAGCACCCAACGTTTTATGATGAGTTTGAATTAGTCAACCCACCGTTCTCACGGTAATCACTCAGATTCTATTGATGAGAAAGTAATTGTATTATTTACACCGCGAGCTAAATGGGAACGATTCAATATCTTTATCAACAAGAGCGCCTACTTGCTTAACTGTTAAAGATATATGACACTTTTATTATTATTATTACTACAGAGAAAATGGATGGATGGTGTTGGTTTTTTTTTTTTTTTTTGGCAAAAGGGAATTCACACATCAGTGGTAACAGTTCTTGAGGAAAGTCCTCTTAATCGACTAAGCGCCAAGGAGGATGTCGAAGTAGATGATTCCGCCGGATCATCCTCTGTATTTGGCTCTATTTGTTGATTTAAGGGATGTGCGGGTTCACCTGTTACAATCACACGTTCTAGCAATGGCGAAGTGGATGAGCCAACGGTCGTCAGATCACTCAGAGTAGCGGATTTACTGAGTCGATCGTAAGGCGCATTACATTTGGATGCACGATGACGAAGTTCGCTCAGCTCTGGCCATCTTGTATTTTCATCATTGCCAATGATATCCTCGGGATCCAGATACTTTTCAAGCGCTGTAAGGGATTTAAAAATATTGATAGCGTAGGCCTGTGTTTTTTCGGCTTGTTCCTTGATCAATGTAGCTGTAAAACGAGGAAAAGATGTTAAGTTTTTTCCCCTCTTTCGAGATCAATCTCTTGTACCTTCCGAAATCCTATTCGATGCTGACTGTGCTTGATTAAAAGCGGATGTGATGACTTGTGCAGATTGAGTGCTAAGCTCGTCCACATACGCAATTCGTCGTAACAAGATACGCTAATAATTCTCCCATGATTTAGTCTCTAGAATACAATGTAATGAGACTTTTTTTGTTTTGTTTACTTGTTCATTATTAACACGAGTCATTTGCTCTTTCAAATGAGCCTGGAGTTCAAAGTAAATTTCAAATGCAGGATTCAGTGAAGTATCTACACGCCCCAGAGCAGTTAAAAAACAAAAGAGAGGGGTTTGCATACAATGAAAATTCGTGTTGTATTACCATTGTCTTTTACAGTAGATTTCGTGTTTGATTTGAGTCCTAAAAGATGCTCGAGACTGAAACTTTTATCTTGTTCTTTAACAAACGGTTCGAATCTTTTGATGGACCGTAACAACGTCAGTTCTGGATCCTCTTCTTCTTCCCCAGGTCCTTTTACGACTTGGATTATACCCTATGCGATTCATTTTTAGATAAATACCCCGTCATAGACAAGGAAAATAATAAATTAACAAACCTCATGGACATCTTCATCCTCTGTCGTTATCCTCGAACTGTCTGTTCAGACATTAATAAGGTGCATGCATGAATGCCCTAAAACTTACCGAGATCTTCGTTTTCATCGTCTTGAGAGGGATGGATAAATATTTTGTTTTGTAAAAAGCTTTTACTATTATGAGACGTTGAGGATGAACTAGGTGTTACGGCCGGTGATGAGCGAGCTCGTGAAGGATTGGATTGATCTTGACCCTACCCTCAAGTTAATGAATGACAAATGAATGCTAATAATGAATTTTTACCATGCTGAAAAAAAAAATGAAAGGCTCTATTTGTGGTATGTAAAAGAAGACCCCGAATTTTTATCAAAATCTTTAAAAAAAAATATGGTCCTTGCGATTCACCTGGACTGAATTGCTTTTCGTTTACTAAATCAAACTCCCTGTATCACATTTTCATGCGTTTTGAAGCGTATTCAAGTTCTACACTGGAATATTTTGATTGGGCCCTGGATGAATGAAAAAAAATTGGGAAATATGCAATCATTCTTTTTTCTTCTGTTCCTTTTTTTTTTAACTTGTACGTTTTATACATGTGACATTCTAATTAGCCTAAAGTAAGCCTACAGTGATGTCTTCCCAGCTTATCTAAAAGAGTCAATCACTCATTACTTTTTATATCAAGGATCATATTTTAAGTCTGCACTTCCATGAACATTTAAACCAAGATAAAAAATCATGCGTGCTACCGATATCGTCTATTGCATCTTAAAATTTATTTTTTTGCACTTGGTATACTTCAGTTGCAGTTTCTATTTGTAAATGAATCCATTGGGTAAATATTGTTGAAGCTCCTGCATTTATTTGTTGTTGGATTTTATTTTGTTGAATTTTTTTTTCTTTTTGTCGAAGCGTTAAGTTAAATTTAGGACATCATGAGTGGAACATTGTTCCCGTAGCAACTTAGGAGACAGCATGAACCCAAAAATCAGGGTAAGAAAAGGGTGGGGGTCATGATATACCATGTACGTTTTTATTATGCATTGCCTTCTTATTTAAATAGTAGAGGGAAAGGTATTGAATAGATGCCTTTTCTTGTTTCTATCTTCAACAAAAAATAATGCAGTACAAGTTTCTTTTATTCTTATTCATCGCCTGTATGGTCTCGGCAAATGCTAAGCCCATTGTCGAAACCCGTAGCACTTTGAGTGACAATCCTGCCGAGGTGTTTCAATCTGTGTCTACAGAAAGCCCTGAAGAACAGTTAAGTGAAAACTCTAGTGAACCAGCTACTGAACAATCCAGTGCTCAATCTACTGATCCCGATGTTGAAGCAATTATAGCAGAAACGGAAGCAAGAGTCAATGAAATTATCAATCATGGTAGCTATTACTAATACCTCTATTGTTAAATAAACTTTCGATTCGTAAAAAACAAAACAAAAAAAAGACAAAACAAAAAAAATATGTAGATGTAAACGGAAAGCGCATTATCATTTACTGCAAATGTCAGTTCCTGGAGACAGCTCTTTTTGAATTTTTAGCCTGATTTTCTTTTTTTCAGTGTGATTCTTTGAAGTTTCAACTAATCTTTTTTCTCGGACACAATTGGTTGAGTGATGTAGAAGAAGAAAAAAAAATCTGAAACATAAATGTGGGGAAACATTTAGGCTGGCCAATTAATTGCGTCAAAGAGGATGGGATGAAATATTACCATTTTCTATTATCAACTAACATGTTTTGATGTATTCTCCAGTCTTTTGTTACAAACAAGACCATTTAAACCATATCGTTTTTTTTTAAAACAAAATGCAAGACTGAAAACGAGAGAAAAAAAAAAAAAAGAAAAACGCTAATATAGTTCGCATAACGAATTTTTACGCTAAAAGTACGCTGGAAAGTCAAGCAGTAAAAATGGAAAAAAGAAAAAAAAAACCTATTTGTGTATCTTAGAAACGGTAAGCACGGTTTAGATATCAGGTGCATGCACTGCTTGCTTGGAATTACCAATGCATATTGGCTTGGCAGCAATAATAAGGTACCTTGAACATTCTTTTTTTATTGTTTTATCATTGGCTATTATGTCCCGTGTTTACTGGGATTAATATTATATCCTGGCAGTTATTAGTGGAAGATAAGATAATATAAAAATAGGCAATATAAGTCCAGGTTCCGTGTTACGTGTAAATGTAGATCCGTCTGTAGCCACTCAATGGATTGCTATCATCATTGCTATTGTTCACGCTTGTTGTATCGAGTAAAGCTTGTAGATCTCTGTGTAATGAAAATATGTTTTCTGAAAACTTCATAAGGGACTAGAAAAAAAAAAGATGCCTGAACTGACTTAGTGATTTTGTTGGCGGGCAATTGTTCATTTTAACTTATGATTCGTTAATGCACTAAACCACAAATGGTCGTCATTTTAATTAAGGTTCCAAGCCAACTGACATTTCTGTTACACTCACCATTGGCTTATTTGCGTGGCAACACCGTGCTAAATGGGAGAAACTAAGCAATCGAACTTAAAGATATGACGTTGACTTAGAAGTGTATCAATTGTTGTCACTTCAAATATACTGGGGAAAAGACAATTGCTTCGTACCTTATTCTGCTCATAATCCAAAACGTAAAACAGGGGTATGAGTATGGAAAAATTATTAGAAAAAAGCTGGGTGGGCAAAATTATCATGTACTAAATTAGAATCTCAGCACAACTATTTTAGGACATGTATGATATCATTTACCTGATTGGACAAAGAGATTAGGTTTCGAGCATCTTTTTAAGCGGGTACAGAAAATCGTCCTGATATAAATAAGCGCATATTTTCCCATCTTTCCTTCACATCCTTTCAATTCTCTTTTTAACCTTATCTACATTGTCCAAAAAATATAAGCATTTGCCACCATGCTTTCAAAATCATCCAATATCACTCTTGATTTACTCGAACCGACTATTTATGTTGAATCCAACTCTGTCAACTCTAATGTCATCAGAGGTACCGTCAACATTAACCTTCCCAAAACAACAACTGTCAAAACATTATCCGTGATATTTGAAGGACAGCTAGATACAAAGAGTTATTCTTGTAAGTAGGCTAAAAGGTCCTTTAGATAAAAATGTCGTTACTGAGTCATATTGAAATAGTTGAAGCAATTGAATCTTCTGGTTCTTTCGCACGCAAGAAGCCTTTAGCTCGTCAACGTCTCGTATTATATCCTACGCTTGAACAAGAAAATGCAAGCCGTCCATTAATATTAAATGCTGGCCTAACTCAATACGGATTCGAGATGCAAATCCCTTCTGGGTTACCTGAATCAATTGATTGCTCAGAAATTAAAGTTGAATATAGCGTCACAGCTGTTATGGACGTTTACCCGACCAATTCGTTTCTCCGCGTCTCCCGAGGTTCTCATAAAGAAACATTCAAACAGTCTGTACGTGTGGCTCGCCTCCCCTATGAAAATGTATTAATGGGTGATTCCATGTCAGAACCGATCGATTCTCGTAGTCATCAAGCCACTTGGCTCGAATATCAAATTGTGGTTTCCAAAAAAGCAGTGGCTCTCGGTAATAACTTACCAGTTACATTCCGCTTTTCACCTACCCATGAAGGAGTTATTGTGGATCGTGTCACTCTTCAAATGCTTGAACGTCGAGACGTTCATCGAGATGTTACTCATTCAAATCATTCTGTTTTCGGTATTCAACCTTGCAAGAAAAATGCTGTGACATTTCCTCGTGGTGTTTTGAAAGAATCTTGGGAGGGCACTGTTTCATATCAAATCCCTAATGGTAGATCACTTTCTCATTCAACACAAGATTATTCTGACTTTCGAGTCAGTCACACACTTTTGGTCTCCATCACACTTTCTGTTCCTGGTACAGGCCGTTGTCGAGTTACAAAATTGCTCACGTTCCAGGCTAATATTGATTTGCTTGATAAAACAATTGGCGATTTAGACACTTTGGAACTTCCCACATACGACTCCCCTCCTCCCTTTGACAATACCAAAGTTGTGTTTGGCGAATACGAGCGTAAATTCGCTGATCCCCCTAATTACTCTGATATATGTGCTTAAAGCCATCATACTCTTTTATACCCTCAGACTGTAAAAACACAAAATAAAAAAAATTTGTAAATAAAAAAAAAACTTTTTAGAAATTCAATTTTGGCAGATTTTGTCTTGATCGTAAATTTATTTGTAAGCACAATATAATTTCCCGGAAAGTTTTTTTTTTTTTTTAGATGGGCATGCTCCCGTAAAATGATCCGACGGTCTAGAATGTATTTAACTTGTAGAACTCGAAAAAAAAATTAAAAACAAAGGCACGACCTAAAACAGTTTAATTTATCATAAAATTGAATTGCATCCCAAATACGACCTTCCTGTTCACTAGCGACTATGACATAATTTCAAATGCATTTATGTAACACCTGCATGATTGTTACACCACTAAAAGAATGCCCAAATAGAGGGTGTCACGAAGTTTAATAGACAAGGAATGTAATGGCATTACACTTTTTAACCTTTAAATTGGACGATATCTTTGTTTTTTCGGGTCATTTCAAATATTTTCTCGAGAAAGTTGAGATTCAGAAATACCGATAATCAGTTTGGACTATTTGGGAAAAGTGTTGTTCATTTCACCTGTAAAGCTTCCCATCATCAGATTGGAGGCAACAGGTTACTTTTCGAAGACATTTGGGGGTCCTTGATCATTCCGGATAGGAAAGGTAATAATTACCTTATTTATGGATGCCATAATATTACGATTTCGGAAGAATAGTTTACTATTCATAATCGTAAATCAATGGTCGGTAGAAGTTTGATGAATGGCCGTCCAAACCCGTTAATATTTGAAGGCAGCTGATAGTAGAGTTTGTCTATACGATCGTAACCCAAATCCCTTAAACTTGCCTAGAATTTTTGATATTGTGGCAACTGTTAGAGAGATTCAATTACAACGAACTTTTTGAAACTGATCTCTAAGAACCCTTTGGATTTTTTTTTGTTTTAAGACGAGGTGTGATTTAATATATATATATAGTTGCATATGTGCCGTAACTATAAATATAGTAACGGAAGAAAGGATCGAAACTGTTATTTTGGCTAAAGATCACTTCAATATTAATTTTTTAAATATCGAGCCTGTTCTTCGTAAATTGCTCGAGTTTTGATGATAGCGGCTACATGTATAAGCGTCTAAACACTTAAGATTACGATTAAAGGTGCGGGAAGGATCATATCTTATTCATCATAAATCGGTAAAAAAATACAAGCTTATGTCAGGATAGAAATGATTATTGGTTGTTTGGTAATTAAGTTGCGTTATTCTTTCACTTTCACTGGTTTTTATTAGCGGTTCAACATTATTAATCATATTGCAACGATGTCCAAAAGAGCACAAAGGTAAGCCCATTGTCAATGGGATCACATTTATTCAACTTAACCAATAGTGATCTAGTTTTTAAGACCACCATTACAGATGAAAGTTTAAGTTTTTTACTGAATAGTTATGACCGATGCGAAAAAGGATTATGTTTGAAAAGCATACGAAAATAATATGTAACAAGTTTTATTTTTATTTTTTTATTTTTGCATGATCAACAATACGATATTCTTAAGAACGATATTCTCTGAATGAGACTTTTTGGCTATGCAAATAATGTAGTGCTTAACAAATATAAGCCCTCATTCCAGTCCATTTATGACTATTATCATACAGTAACCACTTTTAAACTATAACTGTACGGAAAACGTACGATACCATCACAACTCCTCCCTTTGTTTGATCTACAGGTTCATGTTAGGTTCCATCAAACTGATACGGGCTTTACATATATTGGTATATGCTCAGTCCAGGCAAAGTTTAAACGGAGTTCGCTTGGTGTCTTTTTTTCTTGTAAACAGTATCCAAAAATTTTCTTTATAGAATCATTATGTTGTTTATGTGTAGATTCATTAAAGTTGTTAATGTCTTAAAGTTTCTAAACGATGAAGTCCAAAAGTTAATGTCGAAGATGTTATTATCGAAATGTATTGCTCATACTGAGGATAAAATCAATTATGTCGATCTGGAATTTTTTAGACTTTTTGCGAGAAAATTAATCACTACAATTGCAAGGTCTCTATCAACGCATTAGAATATATTAATCAGGCTTAACCTTTGAGTTGTATTCTTTTCATAACTTGGAGAGTGCTGAAAGTTACACAAGTTTTTATCATTTCCTTTGATGCAATTAAATCTAATCGTTTATGCAAACGTCGGAACGCATTAAGGCTGTTCCGACATTGGCAGCGTCGCGGTCTGTGCCAGATATATAAAGGCGGGAAATTTATGCTGCTGAAACTATAGAAACACTGGACATCTTAATTGTGATGAGAAGGTTTCCGGGTACAAATAATAACATCACTGCCATAACACCAGATTCATATTCTACATTCTCTGTACTAGTTCAATCCGCACTACTTATCATACCTCTAACTTTCTTGTTCGGCTGCGTAAATGTTAGCACTAATGATCAATGCTGATTCGTATTGAACTCGAATCATATTTTTCGAGCAAGCTGATAAAGAGAGTAGAATTTCACCTCTACCAAGCCTTGCCTACAAGTCCACGGTACGAGTGGGATGTTCGGACTTCTATGGCATCAACCTGTGACCCTTCCATGTATACCAATCTAAAGCTAGTTGATAATCGACAGTGTTGTCTCCATTATTATATAATATTTTGTTAAAGGTTGGGTATGCACCTATAATTTAGAGGTCATCCGTTCGATACAACCATACTTTATGGATCGACTTATGCTAGCAACCTTTTTTTTGGAACTATAGCCTCTAAAGCTAGGTATGCTTCTTCCATCGTCAATATGAGAATTATATTGGATCACCAGCTAAACGTCGTTCCAGACAAACCAGCGTGTTCAATGAACTGAATAGGTAGTCTCACATCGTTCAATTACTGACACCGCCATCATAGTAATTTGGCTGACACTGAAAACTGATGACATTACTATAGTCGTCTCTATAATCAACACCTGCTCAATCTTAATCTCTAATGTACGAACATCGGCATCTCCGTTAAACTTTTAAACGATTCGCCCAAAATAGGAAAGCATCTTGAAAAAAAGAAATTGTAACCGTTGTTGAAGGAAGGTGTTGGGATGATTGCCGAAAGAAAAAAAAAGGGTAAAATGGGGAGGGGTTAACCTCAAGCAATTGTACGGAACATAAAGGCGCCCCCAAACACATAACAGCATTTCGAATATATATATACATATATATATATATTATAAAAAAAAAAAAAAGAAAAAAAAAAAACTGGAGCGCCATTAGCGCTCGTTTTAAACAACAATAAGACCACAGTGGATGGTAATTGTGACTGAATAAAGTAAGACTTTCGGTAGATAATTTATATTGGAAAAAGAAGAAAAAGAAGGAAGTGTATAAAGAAGAAAACATAAGAAGGGTGAAAAAATGAGTAATCTATGAATTAAGATCTGTTTGGAGGAGTAAATTATCTTTCAGTAGATTTTCGTGAGTGCATAAGATCAATGCTTTCAAGTCCGCATTTTCTTGTGGTGATCTTCCATTATCTTGTAATTTTTGTAAGGCTAATTTGCTATCCAAGTGTGGCTTTCTTGGACAGAGTTTTATACCGCCTTCCCCTTTGCATTCAGTACGACTGCAACATCCACACCGACTAACACGCTTTGTTACTATTGCATCGACACTTACTTAATATAGCAACGGGTGAAATAGGCCGGTTTGGCTGGCTTTGAGGAGATAGATAACTGTGGTATATGTTATGCATATGATTGCTAGGATAATTAATTAGGTTGGATATAGAAGAAGCGATGGTATTAGCAGTTGTTGGTGTATATTCTTGCATGTTACCAACTACTTTGGTGTAATAAGTGTTTGGGATGTAATGCGTGTACCTGAAACTTTATTTAAAATATAGAAACCAACTACAAAATTGTGAGTAGGGGATAAACTAAAAATAATATGACCTTCTTACCAATACCTGTTGCTGGTTAAAATGTAATAGTTTGAATATTGAAGGAACAGTAATTGAGGAAATCGAGGTTCGGCTATTACAGGGTACCGAATTAATATTGAGATTTTTACAGCTCATGGAAAATTGGCAACTAGATGTTTGGCGTAGTATATTCTCCATCGTTTTGAAATTGCTTTCAGAGGGATGACACCATTGTTCTCTAAAAGCAGCTTAGCTAAGGAATGTCTACATGGAAGATTGTAGTTTCTTCTTAATGAGCAAAGGCAAGGTGTCTCTCCAGGAATGACATGACTCTTGTGGTTTTGGTCTTCGCTAGCCAATCTCATTTCCACAAGCTCCAATTTTATGTTCTCAAGCGCAAAGCTAGTAACATTCATTTTTATGAGACTGATTTTGGCCATAATGTCAGAATCAAGTAGCATTGTTTGCTGCGACAATGCTTCTCTCGTCGACGGTAAATCTCGGTACTCCTCCTACATTTGATAGTTAGTTTATGACAAGCAAATGATTTTGCAAATATTGAGAATAAATGTAATTAAACTTAAAAAAAAGTTAAACTTTACTCGTTTCTGGGTCCATGCGCTGATCTTGTCAGTTACAACAGATATAGTTCCGGAAGAAGTATGCGCGTGACGTTTAATATTATCATGGGTTGCTTCAACTCTGTTAGAAGTTCGATTACCCATGTGCATGAGTGCATTCACATGATAGCCTGCCCAAAATCTAGCTTTTTTCATCATGCTAAAGAAAATAGTTTAGTTGATTTTTGACAAAACATTAAATATTTCCACATAAGCTTCAATGAAATTGAAATGACTACTTACAATTTCAAGTACTTTCGCATAATAATAGCACCATCTTTAGTGCAAAGGTCGGGCCGAGACAAAAAAGCATCATACTCTGCTTTTGCAGCTTTGAATTGTTCTAAAGTGGAGCAAACAAAAGACATCTGAACAATTTTTAAAAAACTGCGAACTTCAAGTTGCATTCCGGGATCTATTTGATTGTAGTTTGAGTTAGTCTAAAAAATACATGTAATCTGGCTGGCATAATAGCTTACTGTTTGCTTTTACTTTCGA